ATACGCTGCAAATGCCCGTTTGTCTTTGTGATCGATCAGTGCAGGGCATTTTCGAATCTTACTTACACATGTGCGACTTGACTTGCGCGTGCCTTCAACATGTCTGTTGGATAGTTCATGGAGATAAGGGAACCCATGCCCGCGCCCATCTTCTTTCTTGGTCTGACTTCAACTCATCTGTATTGAACATCGTCCAGAAGTCAGTATCGTGTGATGTCCAGCAAGGATCAAGCGGGTTTGGGAGAAGGCGGTTCAACTCGATGCTTTTCTGTAAGTGTATCTCTGGAAGGAACAGTGATTAGCAACGGGGTTACCTCATCCGTACCTAGCATCACCTCCTGCACCACATCCCTACCGGAGACAGACGCACATGCTATGCATTTCATCCTAGGTAGAGTTAGGGCAAGCGAAGCTGCCGCGGGCGATGGCGCTTAGACAGAGAAGTGAAAACAACCAATTTATATGGCCTTTCAATTGCAGCACCAAGTAGCAGTAGTCTATGGAAATCCATGGCGGAGGTCCATCTCTTATATCAAGTTCATCGAGCCCAATATAATCCCCTTCACTGCCACCCCCTTCCTATCATCCTCGAAAAATTGGTAGCATACCGAGCCCTTGCACTTGCATATATATCTTAGAGGTGAGTGCGAAAGCACATTTTTTCACGATTTCAAAGACTTGATTATGAAGTGTGTCCATCAACGTCCACTCATTAGGAGGCCTCTTCAAGAGCTTCATAGGCTTCCCTGCCTCTGCGTAGTAAGAGCGTCTCGGTACCCAGATCAACACTCAAATGTCAGCTAGCAAGTAGTCGGCTCCAATGCGCATCTTTATATCGATGGGTATTCATTTTTGAATATACTACGAGCGAGGACGGCGATAATAGGGGACATGGTGAAAGCGATGGTGCTGGTCAGCCGCGTAGAGAGCTATTGGTCCTACATTTTGGTATGATAATAATGGTCCGTTCGTAGTAGGACACAAGCTATCGTCGCCCGTCGTTTCTCAACTGACTGTTGGTTCGACGTAGTAGATCATCCAGACGGTGTTGTTTTGTCTGACTTACAGTCGCTTGTAGTACCGTCCATCGTTTTCCGGTTATCGGAGTCGCTGCCAGTAGATTCACGTCGTCGCCAGTAGAGTGACGTCGTCAAGGTCCACGGCGCAATTCGATAGGTGGCTTTGGCTTCACGTGGATATCACATTGCATTATTCATCATCTCGAACAAAATTGAAGTAAGACGTAATTTCATTTCATGTCGCCCTGATCCTTTCTACAGTTCTATGAAAGCCGTAGAAGACGGCACCCGGAAGGCAATCATACTCGCCCGAGAGTCATGCCAGTGTCGTGTCGTGTGTGTGTGTGTATGAGGGGGTTGTGGAGGTATATGGGAAGGAAGGCGGCTGGAAAAAAAAGAGGAACTTTTAAGTGCCTTTTGATATCACCTGACCCAAATTATTCGCATCCTGCCTGGCCGTAATCTGTTCGGCCACCCAAACGCAAGAAAGATGAACCAGATACACCGCATTAAAGCGGCCTCATCAAAGCCGTAAACATCCTCTGCGCGAACAAAACACTAGAGATTTTTCTCAATTGTTTTGAAGCATTTATCGGGAGGACATAGCCTTGGTCACGAGACGCTTGAGAGCGAGCTCCTGCTTCTTCAGCTCGTCGGCACCGGAGTCGGTGATCTCGAGGGCAGCCATGGCCTCGGAGACCTGCTGCTCGATCTTGTCCTTCTGGCCACGCTTGAGCTTGAGGGACAGCGTGGGGTCGGAGATGATCTCCTCAACACGGCCAATGTAGGACTCAAGCTGCTGCTTGGCCTCGAAGCGCTTGCTGAAAGCCTCATCGTTGGTCTTGAACTTCTCGGCGTCTAGGGAAGCAATTAGTATTGATTTGACATGGAGTGATTGTCAAGAGCAGCTTACCGTTGATCATGTTCTCGATCTCGGAGGAGGAGAGCTTGCCAACAGAGTTGGAGATGGTGATGTTGGCACTGCGGCCGGAGGTCTTCTCGGTGGCGGTGACCTTGAGGATACCGTTGACATCGACCTCGAAGACGACCTCAAGGACGGCCTCACCGGCTCTCATGGGAGGAATGGGAGCCAGAGTGAATTCACCCAGGGAGGTGTTGTCCTCGCAGTTGACACGCTCACCCTGGAAAACGGGGAACTGAACGGTCTGCTGGTTGTCGGCAACAGTGGTGAAGGTTCTCTGCACAGAATGTTAGTGGTTGATCTCATGGCTAGCCAATACTACAATATAGAAACAATGCTCCCCTCCTGCCACACATGAAACGCGTGGAAGGAAGGCACTGGCACAATGAGGAAGGCATCATCATAACCAGTGCACCCATCACCATGACACTCGTGAAGAGGGCGAAAACATCAATAAAAAATCGAGAAAAATCGATGGAGTCAGAAAACTTCAAAGGAAAATGGGGGTTACTCGCCTTCTTGAGACAAGGTACGTTTTGCCCGCGAGTAACGACGGGAGCGAAGATGTTACCCTCCATGGCGACACCAAGGGACAGGGGGCAGACATCGAGCAGGAGAAGGTCGGCGGTCTCGGCGGAGGTGGCCTTTCCGGAGAGGATACCGGCCTGGACGGCGGCACCGTAGGCGACGGCCTCATCGGGGTTGATGCTCTTCTCGAGCTTCTTGCCGTCGAAGAACTCGGACAGAAGCTTCTGAATGCGGGGGATACGGGTGGAGCCACCAACGAGGACGATCTCGTCAACGCCGGTCTTCTCCATGGAGGCATCCTTGAGAACCTGGGCAACGGGCTCGAGGGTACCGTTGAAAGCCTTGGCGTTCAGGTCCTCGAAACGAGCACGGGTGATCTGGGTGGTGTAGTCCTCGCCATCGAAGAGAGAGTCGATCTCAATGGTGGTCTGGGCACCGCTGGAAAGGGTACGCTTGGCACGCTCGCAAGCAGTGCGGAGACGACGGAGGGCACGGGGGTCGCCAGAGAGGTCCTTCTTGGTCTTGCGCTGGAAGTCCTTCTTGCAGTGGTCCAGAAGGTTGGTGTCGAAGTCCTGACCTCCCAAGTGGGTGTCACCAGCGGTGGCCTTGACGGTGAAGACACCACCCTGGATGTTAAGGAGGGACACATCGAAAGTACCACCACCCAAGTCGTAGATGAGGACGTTGCGCTCCTTGCCAGACTTGCCGGCACCAAGACCGTAGGCAATGGCGGCAGCGGTGGGCTCGTTGATGATACGGAGGACGTTAAGACCGGCGATGGCACCGGCGTCCTTGGTGGCCTGACGCTGGTTGTCGTTGAAGTAGGCAGGGACGGTAATGACAGCCTTCTCAACCTTCTTGCCAAGCTTGACCTCGGCAATCTCCTTCATCTGTTGAGGAGGTCAGCATACTGCGCATTGCAGGAGATTTGTGATGCCGGCTGTCATTTTCGGTCTCATCACGAGAGAAGAAAAACGCACCTTGAGGAGGACCATGGAGGAGACCTCCTGGGGGGAGAAGGTCTTGGTCTCGTTGAGGTACTCAACCTGGACCTTGGGGTTGCCACCCTCGTCGACGACCTTGAAGGGCCAGGTCTCGATATCCTTCTTGACGGTAGGGTCATCGAAGCGGCGACCGATGAGACGCCTGGAAACGGAGGCATGGTCAGCGATCCGTGTGGTTGTGGAAGTATTTTTTCCGCCTTGCACACTTTTTGCTCCGGATTACCCCTCCTTGGGCGGGGAAAATTCTCACCCACCCCGGCCAAAGAAGGAATCGCAGAGCAAAAAGCGGACGGAGAACGGCGAGGGCTACTCACTTGACATCGAAGACGGTGTTGATGGGGTTCATGGCAGCCTGGTTCTTGGCGGCCTCACCGATCAGACGCTCCTTGTCGGTGAAGGAGACGAAAGAGGGCGTGGTGAACGACCCCTGCTCGTTGGCAATGATTTCGACATTGGTACCCTCGTACGTGGCAACGCAAGAGTAGGTAGTTCCTGTAATGGGAAGATTCGGTCAGCTTGGATGCTCTTTTCCCCAATGGTGGCAGACTCTTCGTTGAGTCTCCCATCCGTGATTGTTGATTGATGTTTGGTGATATTTTGCTGGGTTGGTGGAAGCGATAGTGTTCGTGATGCTCAAGAGAGACTGAACCCCTCAAGCGAGCGGCGACCGGCTTCGCCACAAAAACAACACCCCCAAAAAACCATCATCCATCAGCAACAGGATAATAAAAACTTACCCAAGTCGATGCCAATGGCACCATCGTAGACCTCGTCCGCCATTTTGAGAGATTTGATATGCACAAAGACAAAAAAACGGCCTGTGTGAATGGGGGAGGGAGGGGGGAGGATTGAAGTTGGGAGGTTTGCGCGGAGGAGAAAGATATGTGAAGGAGGGCGGGCGGGCGACGTGGGGTCCTTTCAAGAAGAATTTCTCTCGCTCCAGTCTCACTCAACCACAGGATTTTTGTGAAGGCCGCAAAAAAAAAATCAATTTCGACTTTTTTTTTTCTGGGCCCCCCTAGCCCCACCGACCCCCCCTCCAGTGCTGAGACCGTGCTACTAGCGCCCGGGCCATGCCACAAAAATTCGAGAGATTCAAAGGGCGGCGAAGCAATTTTTTTGCCATTTCCATCCCGCTGTGGCCCTTGCTGGTGGGCTGTCTCTTATCTTATCGCACCCCGGCCCGCCATTTTCTCGCTTCGCTGTCACTGCCTGTGTGCGCTTCCAATTGTAAAGTACTTTACGGATAGTGTGAGTTGAGTTGAGTTGAATGCATGTTGCAACCACCTGCTCTGCACCCGACTCGGGGAACTGTTTGAGAGCGTCTTGATGGTGGCTGGCTGGCTGTATCCGTAAAGGTATTGCTTCTTCGGGTACTGTGCAACTGACACCATGGATGACATTCTCGTCTTTGCGTTCAAGTAATAGTTTGCCAACTTGGACAAAGAACACCGTCATTGATACCAAAATACCCATCCCGACTTTCAACAGTCTGCAACTCATCCCCTTCTCGTCCACATGCCTTGTCGGGCTAAGTCCTCGTCCTCTCTGAGTCCCTCGTGCAGGTACCGGCGCTTAACACCATTTCAAGGTACTTGGTCCATGACATTGCCTTCCTCACCGCCTGACTCGACTTGGACAAGCAACCCAGATGCCTGGCAGTGGACTCCCGGCTTTCTGTGGCAATCCCACGGGAGACCCCTTCCTTCCAGCGGCAAACCAGTCTCAAGTTGCCGTGGTGTGCTCAACTCTCCTGTCTCTGGAGACTGGAGACTGGAGACTGCTCAGCCAAAGAGGCCGTCATGCAGATATGTCGGGCTCCCCGAAGTCGGTTGCCCAGCCAGAAAAGAGTCCCTTTTTTGCCGCACTGTCTCCAACTCCCCATGCACGTTGTAGCCCCTCATTGAGTTGTTCCTGGAGGGGTCCTTCCCAACTTGCCAATGCCTGCCAAACGATTGGCTCTCGCTTGCCCATTCAGACGAACGGCCGATGTCTTTCTCGCAGGAAAACAACCCGATATCGTCGGCCGAGAGTGAATCTGGGCAATTCTTCGGGACAGGGGCACTCTACCCACGGCAATCTGTCTCTTCGTCGGCCAATTTACAACGTTTTCCAAGTTCCAAAGAACGGGTGGAGCCGCCGCCGCTGCAACTGTAAGTCGCCCCGGGGACCGCAGCTCGCGAGCCACCGAAACCCTCATGCACGAACCCTCTCCCCCCACACACAACGGCATCAACTTTGGACTATAATCACATTCTCGTCGCCCAGTCTTCAACCAGCTCTTCCGGCTTCAATATCCGGAAGCGATCATCAGCGTCGATGGTTTAGTGGTAAAATTCTCCGTTGCCATCCAGCAGCGTCGGGGAGCCGGGGGTTCGATTCCCCCTCGACGCAATCTTTTGCTGCATCTGCTCAGTCGTCAGCCTGGGCGTTCATTTTTTGATCTCTTCCATGAATTCATGAGAGTGCTGGACAACTAAAGCTCTTGGGGGACTCTTCACTTTTCGTATTCAGGCTCTGCAAAGAAGCATCTTCACAAACCCCCTTCAGATTATCCTACATCAACTACAACACCTCCCATGTTTGGCTATTTCCTTGAGTGACATTTGGTATCTTAAATTCCATTACTCTCTCCACTACCGATTCAAGTGAAAGTCGGCGTGATTCTGGCGTTCATGCCACGCCGCCAACGCCGGAAAACCACCGCCTCGGACCTGGTCAAAAGCTACCTAGTACCTAGTAACAGCAACCTCCTCAATGATCAGACAACGGATCTTGTGCTGAACCCATCCCGCCCTCATTGCCTTGCCTGCTGTCCTCCTCCCGCAGTAGGTACGTGTATTTTAGGAGTTGATAAATCAGAGTCAATACAAAAAGCTGCCAGAGAAATGGACGGAAGAACTCAGAGACCTTAGAGACAAATGTTGGTTTAGGTCGCCTCATCTCACATGCGTGGTCGGCAAGCGAACCGGGGGCTCGTCGTTCAATCTCATCCGTGCGGCCAAAGAGGGTGTAATAGGCCGTTCGAGACTCCAACAACCTCGTTCTCTGGCTACCAATGGGCTCTTCTCCATTGGCACCCTCGAGGAGCGAGATTCTCTGAACCAGAGGGACGAAGGATACCATTACCCTCGATGTCGGTAGTTGCGACATCACTAGTCTGGATGAATATGAAGTAGTGACGAACCCATCAGACGTTGGGCTCTGTAAGGTGGGTGACGATATCGGCGCTACTCCTGGATCGGGGATCTCAAATTGGCCCGGTACGTAGTGTTCGCCAGGCTGGCGCCATTCGAACTCAAGAACCTTGAGAGACAGACGAATATTGACAGAGAGCCAAGCCGCGTAGGCCACATCATGATGAATCATCTGAAAGATTGACCGAATAGATGGATTCGGGCCATTCTCGGGCTTCTCGGGCCAGGTCATTCTCACCCAGGTCAGGACTGGCCTGATGAGCAAGAAGGTCTTCATGGCATAATGGTCCACTTGCTTCCAAAAGAGAGGTGGCAAGCCATGATTCTCTTCTATTAGCATTTCCACTGTTCTTGCTCTCAATTCTGATCGCTTGAACCCTAAGAGGCAATCAGTTGCTGCGTCTTGTTTGCGGCTCCTTGAATACAGGGGAGAAACCTACCTTCATGCTTGATGAACTGCTGATCTTGATGGAGTAGTGAAAGCCGCTGCTGGTTGTCTGCGCCGAATAGCTGAAGTGAAAATATCTGATCCTCAAAAAGCTTCAAAAAGAAGGCTCTCATGACGAGTATCCGTTTGTAATTACAGGCGATCAAGTCGTCCCAAGGGCTATGATCCCGGGGATCTGGCCGAGCAACTTTCTCAATGGTACGTTCCAGTTCCAAGCTCTTGTCGCCAGTAACTACGGACCATACGGGCCCCTCGGGTGGGATATCGCCAACTTTGAAAATCTGCTTGGCGTGGAGATTGATGTTTGATATGATGGCCGCATAGTGATGTGTAAAAAAGTCGTCTGTGAGTGAAGAACGTGGAAGGCCCCATTGAAGGAAGAGTCGCTCGGGGCTGAATCCTTCCAATTCTTTGAGGTCTTTGGAGGCGAATGCTCTGGTTGCTGATGAAACTGCTCTCTTGTGCTTCCGGTCCCACTGTGCCTTTGAACTGCAAGCATCGCCACAAGTCCAATTATGTGAAGCCGGGTGCTGTGGTGCCATCTGTGGTGATCTGAATATCGACCTAAACGTTTTGTATCGCTCGAAAGGTTCGATGGGTGGACGAGGCTCGGTCGATGAAACTCTAGATGGTAGGAAGCTACCAAATGGTTATGGCCTGTTTAGGAAACGTCGTTGCTAACTTCCTGTTTATGGTCATGTTTCTCTGTACATCGCGGCCGCGTCTTTCGAAGCGCGAGCTCGGCTTTATGACTATCACACTGCTTGCTCAACTGCCTTGTCATACGAGGATGCCCTGCAACCTAAACGGTCCGCTGATTGTTCCATGGTTTTGGTCGCCATCTTTGTGAGTACTCAAAGGAAAACGAGGGACAAAAGATACCCGGCCATTATTATCGATGCCATTGTTATTTGTCTCCAACAGTTTGATACCTGATGCCGTCAACCTACAACGAGATACATGCGATGTATACAGCCGCTTGGCAGCTACGCAGCGGAACAAAGACAGCTTATCCCCTTTTCACCCTGCATTCCCATTCTGGCTCTTGTCACGGAAGCGGACGACGGTGTAAAGTAGAAGGATGAGAGTGAGTAGAGCAAGTGTCTTGTTTCTTTCACTCAATATTGATGAGCACAATGCAGCCCCTCCGGGATGATAGTGCCCCTGCCCATTGAGACGACGTCAATAGAGCCTCGATGCATGTGGGGCGGAGTGTGCAATGACTGAAACGAGCAGAGCGGCCTGGCCGAAACGAATGCCAGAGCCATCACCGCTTCAAGCCGGACTCGACTCGCTTGAGTTCTCGAGTGCAGGAGAGGGTGACAGAGGATGACGGAAAAGATGCCTAGCTTGCTTGTCGGTTGACTCAAGATGAAGAAATTTTGATCGAGCCACCTAATCCTAGAGGGGTAGGAGACTGGGAGGAAAGCATAGCTTTTCAAGTCATTGGATGCAACGGGCAACGGGAGAGAAAGCTTCTGGAAAGGTCCCCGAAGTTTGAAGCCAAAAATACGAAGCCGGTGCTTCGAGGCTAGAAAAAAGCATGATGTCGAAACAAGGATGTGTCTTTTGGCGTAGGAAGGGGCAAGGAGAAGGGGTCAGGAGGCGGCGCTCGGTTCAGGCCGAGTACGGAGAGTACGGAGAGGACCTTCGGGATTGCATGCTGCAAACAGCTGGTAGAGGCATGAAGGGTAGTTTGGAACAGGAAAGAAGGAATAATCCGGATGACAGGAGTAGGAAAGTAGCAAGCACAACCCTAGCAGCCGGAAGCTTCGTCTGAGCTGTTGGACATGGACGAATCTGAAGGCAGGAAAGAAAAGTTATCCGACTTATCAGCCTTGAGCAACAACAGGCAACGTAAGCCAAAAGTCAACAGTCAACACTGTGATTAGACCGCTAGTCCTGGAGAGAAAGAGGGAAGAAAAGCAACCCAACACCAGCGAAACGGATTGCATGGCGTTGAAGACAGACACTCAACAAGCCTCGCAACACGACACGGAGTTACAAGGTTTGTAGGCTGACAAGTGCTACTATTGGAGCAGTCGACATCCACTAGGCTGCTTAAACTTCCGCAAACCTGGTCATGAACGGGACCAGGCCGACCTTGGATTTTTCCTCTCCTTCGTAGCTTCGCTTCTTGAGGAACCTGAAGTGACCGTATCCATCGTGCTGGGCTCACCTCGGCTCCGCTCTCACCTTGAGCAACGGGCCCGGGGCTCACCTAGGATTCCACTGATGTCGGGGCTTTCCTTCGCCCTAATTAGCACCCCCGGGACCGCACTGAGTGGGTGGCATCTGCCTTACGTCCTTGTTGTGGCAGTTGTGCTAGGTCGTAATTGTAAGGTGCCCTGCGCAAAAAAACGAAAAAAAACCTAGGCCGAGCCCACCAAGAAAGGTACTAAGGTACACCTTGTTAAACCCACTTTTCCGAAGCCTTGCTCCCCTCCCGTTGGCCAAGCCCGCTTGGGCATTTTTTTGCGACTGGAAAGGCTCTCACTCTCTCTCCCAGACTTCTGTTTGCTGCGCGCAATCCCTCGCAAAGTGCAAAACCCATCGCAACTTCCCAATTCTCGACCTCGTCGTCTACCCACGAAAAAATTAGAACGTCACCGCCCGTTCTAATCTATCCTCTAATCCGCCCTTTCCGATCCTCGCTGACTTGCCTGGCGCAACGTCGGAACCTCTCCCACATCCGAATATCTGGAAGGAAGCAATCGCCCTCCAGTACTTTCCCAATAGTGAAGCGAGCAACCGTCGTCACCACCACCTTCAGCCACTCTCGTGCGGAACCCTCCCACTTTCCAACTCTTCCACCCTACAACCGCGACCAGCGACCTCTTTTCCCCTCGGCTTCTTCGACCTTCGAGACAGCCTACCTCGTATTTTCTTCAAGAAATTGCTTCTCAGCGCCTCTGACGACCTATTCTACCCCTCATCGGTCCGATCCGTAATCAGCCCGAAAACACCACAATAAACCCATTCACGATGGCGACTTCTGTGCAAACACCCACGAACCCTGACCAGCAGGTCGACCTCTCCACCATTCCCATCTCCCCCGAGGGCGGTGAGAAGAGCGAGACCAAGGAGAACGATTCGGAGAAGCCCGTTACTGTTTTCCACGACAAGGAGAACTTCAACGTCAAGCACCCTCTGCAGAACAAGTGGACTCTCTGGTTCACTAAGCCCCCCTCTGGCAAGGTCCGTCTATCCAGCCTGTACACGGCAAGCGACTTAATTCTAACGTGGCGTAGGGTGACAACTGGAATGACCTTCTGAAGGAGGTCATCACCTTCAACTCTGTCGAGGAGTTTTGGGGTGTCTATGTACGTGCACCTTCCTTCCCCGCGGCCCCTCTTATCGCTCGCTAACCATTGACCAGAACAATATCGCCCCTGTCTCCGAGCTTGCTCTCAAGTCCGATTACCATCTCTTCAAGGCCGGCGTCCGCCCCGAGTGGGAGGATGCCCAGAACAAGCACGGCGGCAAGTGGTCCTACCAGTTCAAGGAGAAGCGCAGCATTCCCATCGACGATCTCTGGCTTCACGTCATGTTGGCCGCTATTGGCGAGACCCTTGAGGCTGAGGACGATGGAGAGGTCATGGGTGTTGTCGTCAACGTCCGCAAGGCTTTCTTCCGTATCGGTGTCTGGACCCGTACCATTGGTAAGAGCATTCCTGGCCGTGGTGACGGAGACGTGGCTGGTGGCAAGGGACGTTCGCAGGATAAGGGCCGTGACATTCTCCTGAATATCGGCAAGCGCTTCAAGGACATCTTGGCCCTCCCGGCCAACGAGGTCGTCGAGTTCTCCGGCCACACGGACAGCGCACACAGCGGAAGTAGCCGTGCAAAGGCCAAGCACACTGTCTAAAGCGACGGACACAGCCTTTGAAAAACCACAGAAACGAATCACACACGCTTACAACTCATGCTCACCAACGCATATTTATGGAACCAATGGGCTCCTCCACCTACCGAGAAGGCCGACTTACGTCTGCACGATATCACTTCTCGTCGCACTTTCTCAGCCGACTTCTTTTTTTTTTTTTTTGCCTGATGCCAGTAGGGGGAATACGGGGGCAATGCTACGCTATGCATCGATGATAACGCATCTCTGGGGCGGAAAAAGTTCTCTCTTATGACAGTCCTTGGAGCTCTTGACGAAGGCGTTTGCTGAGAACGAAAAAAAGAGATCAATGGGTTTTATGGAACTTCTAGACGGCCATGATCGATAGTACATAGGCGGATGCGAATATCCGGAATAGATACCTAGGTTTAGGCCAGAATGCCCTGGTGCGCATGTTACCCTTTACGAAGTGAAGGGGTTAATTATGCTCTTTCTTCTTAATCAGGTATACTGTGTCTAAATTCTATGCAGCGTCCCTCCACGTCCTAGTCATACAGGTATATGTGTATCTCACAATGTGAATGGAGCAGTGCCCACGCAGTATCAGAAACTCTGGATTCTTACAATTCATCACCGCTAAACTGGTCCTCAAAGACGGCCTGGACCAATTGCTTCTTATTAATCTTGCCCATGGCGTTGCGCGGGATGTGGTCGACGACCTTGAGCACCTGGGGAATCTTGTAGTTGACGAGCCGATCCCGGAGGGCCCTCCGCATGGCCATCGGGGACCAGTGTGGGACGACGTCCGTGTTGAGGATGACGACGGCGCCGACCTTGGAGCCCCACTTGCCCGAGGGAACGGAGACGACGGCGGCCTCGGCCACCTCGGGGAGGGAGAGCAGCTCGCGCTCGACCTCGAGGGCGCTGACCTTTTCGCCGCCCGTCTTGATAATGTCGGCGCTCTTGCGGCCCTGGATGAAGTACATGTCGCCCTTTGCCCAGGACGCCTGCGCGGCGTTGAGCCCCGCGTTGGGCACGGGTCTCCGAACGGCGACGTCGCCCGTCTTGAACCATTTGCCCTTGCCGTCCTCGCCTTGGACGAATTCCTTGGCTGTGGCTTCTGGATTGCGCCAGTACTCTGTAAAGATTGTGGGACCGCGGAGCTGGATTTCGCCGGAGCGTTCGCGGCCCGTTTGGGTGTCGACGTCTTGGCCGGGAGGGATGACGAGGCCGGTGTCCATGTCGACGAGGCGGGCTTCGACGCCGGGCAAGGGCCAGCCGACGCTGCCGTCGACGCGGTCTGCGAAGTCGAGGCCGCAGGAGAGGGCCATGCCGACCTCTGTCATGCCGTAGCGCTCGAGGAGGACGTTGCCTTTTGACAGGGTCTTCCAGGCCTCTTTGATGGGCGTCGGGAGGGCGGCTGAGCCGGAGATGGCGAGGCGCATGTTGCGCGGGGAGACGGCTTCGCGGGTGGGCTCGGCGGGGTCGAGGGGGAGGAGTTTGTGGGTTGCGAGGAGGCGGGAGTAGACTGTTGGCACGACGGTGAAGAACGTGATTTTCTCCTTGGGAATGTTGTTGTGTGTCCCGTTTACGCCGTTTGTGCCATTACTTCCATTGACGCCGTTGGATCCGTTGGTACCATTTACACCGTTTGTGCCGTTAGAGGTGATGTAGGGCGCGGCGAGGCGCTTCCAGACTGCGTCGGCATTGAAGGGGAACATGAACTCGATCGTGGAGCCGGACAGGAGAGGCGTGAGGACGGCGTTGACCGTGCCATGAATGTGGTGTAAGGGGAGGACGTGGAGGAGGTGATCCGCGGGGGTATAGTTCCATGCTTCGATGAGAGATTTGGATTGTGCTGTGAGGACGGACTGGGGAAGGAGGACGCCTTTCTGAGTAGGTTGTTAGAGATCATGCTCACAGCCGCCAATTGAGTTTAGAAAGGGGGGTAACAAACCGGTCTGTTAGTAGTGCCGGAAGTGTACAGCATCATGCCCGCGCCATCGGCATCGGCATTGTCGAGCTCAACTTGTTCATGCGCACTGCCACCGAGGTGCTTCTGGAGCTCGACTTGCGTAGGGCTCGAGACGAGCTCCGTGGCGAGTACCTCCTTTGCTTTTGCGGCGAACTTTGCCGAGGACACCAGCAAGGACGCTTCACTCTGGTTCAGGATGTATTGGAGCTCGGCGGCGGGGAAGGCCGGAGAAAGGGGTACGGCGATAGATCGCGCGGCGAAGGCAGCGAGGAGGGTCACTAGGAATCAAGCAAGCGTTAGAGCTGGGGCGCATTGCTTGGGCTATGGCCAAAAGAGGTCTCAGAGCTGTGTGAGGGATATGCGACACGGCTTACCTACATAGTCGTAACTGTTCTCTACCAAGAATGCGATGCGCTCGCCATGAAGATCCGACTTGCCAGCCGAGTCCAAGAGCTTGTTCCGCGCGCGGCGCACATCGCCGAGAAGCTCTCCGTACTTGAAGCGGCGGCCGGACAAGGAATGAATTACGGCCGTGGACTCGGGATCATGTCGGGAAATTGCCTCGAAGAGAGGGATTCTTGGAAGGGACATTGTTGAAGCCATTCTTGCGGATTGTGATGCGCGGACGGCAGCAAAGGATCGGGATGCGGGACGGGAAAAGTTGAAGCTTGCGGGAGCTGGTGTGCCGGCGACGGCGACGGCGGCGAAGGCTGAGAAGGGAGATATTCGGCAGCAGCAGCAGCAGCCGGGCCGTCGAGCTACATTCCGCAAACCGGAGACCAACATAGGGGTGGGGGGGGGGGAGGAGGAGGAGGGGAATAGATATGCGTCGTTATCAATTGCGTTATGATTAAAGGAGGATCGGGAACACGGCGCTGTGACGGAGTGGATATTTGGGGGGGAGGGGGGAACGGACCCCGGGAGTTGCGAATGGTTGCTCTCGGATCTGGTTGCGGCAGCTGTTGGCGTAGGAGTGCAGTTTGGGACCTTGGGTGCGTATGTGTGTGTGCGGTAAACTGGTAATATTCTTTGGCTTCTGTCAGGTCCCGGATCGGACTTCTCCCTGCAGGACCACCGGCAGGATCTGCCGAAGACCGGACGGAAAACTTGGGTCGTTAAGTGTGGCTTGCCCGGACACCCTAGCCGCTTCCTCCCCCCTCTCGCGCCCCTCTAGTTGAGGCTTGACTCTTTTAATGGAGCTCCGGAGTTGAAGGTGTGAACACCAGAGACGCGGAGAGGAAACCCGTCAGATGGTGTGTGCGCCTGTGTGGATATTGGACCGTGGCACCGTGGGTTGTTGGTGCACTTTCACGGCCCAGTGCTCTGGGAGTAGTGTGTTCAGATGCCGTGATGCATCGGTCCACGTTCAATCCATTGATGTATCCCTACCTGGCCCTAGGGATACCTAGTGGGGGAGAACCGTTCGAAGCGGCCGACGTTTCCCAAGCGGCGTCTACCTCTGCCTACCTTACCTATCCGTCCCTCCATCGTATAGCGTCTAGGTAAACCTCCGAGGTTGATGTAGCCAAGGTACTCATGCGTGCCAAGGTAGAGATACTTGCGGTCCTCTAGGTAGACGTTTCTGCTGCTTCGCTGGACGGATATGGATGTGGTGGTGGTGGTGACTCTGCTGCATCTCTACCCGCTGCCGACCGACAGTGTTACCGTACCACACGTCACTACATTCGATATCCATGCAATGTGCCTGGGAGCTCTCCCCAAAGAGTCTTCTTGGTTTCCCCGCCCGCATGCATTGGCGACATTGTGAGCGAACAGCTGGTATTCTGGAACCGAGAGATCTAGATGATCAGGTGCCCGATGGTGGGTGCTCTGGGCTTTTGTGATGGGTGGTTGCCGAGGGTTGGGGGGTTGGAATTTTGGGGGTCGGGTACGGATACGGATCCTGGATGGGCATCTGTGGTATTGTTCAGGAAACACGCGGTGAGCAGAATGGAGCCAACAGGCAGGGCACGAGGGCGGAGGAGTCATCCCAGGTGTGTCGGGTGCCCATGTGTTGTTGATGCTGCTGCTGCTTGCTCCGTCACTCTGTGTTCCGTCGTTCCCCAGTTGTTCTAGGTGTTCTTGTTGGTCCACCTAATTCCAACGCGCGTTAGCGCCTTTGGACCACTGGTGACTGAGAAACATGGGACGGTAAGGCCGCCCGGGGTCTAGCAAGCTGGGCTGGTTCCAAGAAGCAAAGAAAAAAAAAGGGCGGTGGGCATAACAGAGAGAGAGAGAGAGAGAGAGAGAGAGAGAGAGAGAGAGAGAGTCACTGACACGCACTTACTGCAAAAGCAAAGCTAACTTGGTCGACCACCTCACACTGACACGAGGTCGGCGGGGAAGTTTTTTGGGAGGAACTTGGAAGTCAGTCATCTCTCCAAGACATGAGAGGCCAAAAATACAACCCAACCGGGAAGATGAGTGGCAACGGCTGACTCTTTTCCCATTGCCATCTTACTTGCTTGTACCTATATAGCATTCATTGTGCGAGTGCCCGTGTGCGAAAGTGCTGGAAACACGAGAGAGGGAAAAAAGGCGTCCGTAAGCAAGGTTTGCCTACCTACCTACCTTACGAGGAAGATTCTCTGTACTTCGTACCTTGGTGAATTCGTACAGACCAGCAGAGACCAGACAGGCGGATGGAATGAACAACACAGGTATGCAAGCAGTGAAGCACGGTGAGGTAGTACATACCCATGGCCAGCATGTCCCATATTCCTTCTCATCGCACCGCTGGCGTCTAGTGGAAGTTTGGAACTGCGTCCCCGGTGCGGGTCCGCCGGTTACCAACCGGAAGGACAGAGGCAAGGCCCCTGGCCTGCTGATTGGCCGGGACGCATGTGCCATGTTGCCTGCCAAGACCATCCCGCATGTCCGCTCTTTTCTCACCGATACACCGAACCTTCTCTACCTTCTTTTTTACACAACGTACCTGGACCGGGGAGGGGGGGGAGACCTTGACTCTTGAGGAAAATCTGCTGCTTGCCATCCCATTTGCTCGTCTGCCTCCATTGTGCTTTGGGCTCGTCTCCATCATCCACTCATCCTCTCTTCTCCTCCTTCCTCTCTCTCCTCTCCTCTCTTTCGCTCCCTCTGTCAACCCACCACTGCCACCCCCATCTCCCATCATCCATGCTTCGGTTCCCAGTCCCAAGTTCCAGGGTCACACTTTTTGCACACCGTACCTTTTGCATACGCAGCAGCGCAGCGGCTCCATTCCTCTGCTTCCCGCTCTCGTCGCTCTCTACCTAAACCGAAAAAAGTCATTGGGCTAGCAAATCACAGCAAACCACAACCCACACCGCACACCGGTATCCGTACACTACACACCAGCGCAAGGGCAACTTTCTTATTCTCCCCTGTCCAGTTTCTACACCTCCTTACCGCTTCTCGGTCGACGCACGCTGCCGCAAGCCGTACGCCGCACGCCGTCGCATCCTACTCTTGTTATTTTTTTTTTACTTGAAAACCTCATTCCCTTCTTCTCTTCTTTCCTCCCTCCTTCTACTCCCCATGAACACATTCCGCCCCATTATCGGCAGGATTGGGAGTAGCTTGACCGGAGGAACAACACACCTACACACACCAATGTTGCGAAGATACGCCCTCGGCTTCTCGGGCGCTGCCAGACCCCACGGAACCATGGCTTCCACCAACCCCGTTGAGGACGCCATCCGCTCCAAGGTACGATATCTTGCCCTTGAGACAGTCTCAATGTCCACGAGCCAACTTTGCTGACTGAATATCTTTAGGTGACCGCGGCCTTCTCCCCCACCACCCTCGAAATCTACAACGACTCCCACCTCCACAGCCACCACAAAGCTATGGCCGGTAGCACCTCCAAGGAAACGCACTTTAGGTACGAGAAAACCGACTCTGTTACTTCTCAAACCGGAAAACCCTTTGGCTAACACACGTCACACAGACTTGTCATTACCTCCGATTCTTTCAAGTCCAAGATGCAGTCCGCCCGTCACCGTATGGTCTACGCCCTCCTGCGCGAGGAGATGGCCCGCGAGGGTGGCATTCACGCGCTCCAGCTCAAGACCCTCACCCCCGAAGAGGAAGAGAGACAAAAGGCCAAGAAGGCCGCCGAGGCCCAGGCTTCCGAGGATTCGACCTGAGTCCCATTACAGATATCATAAAAACCATATACCCACAACACAACATTACCCCGGGGGCGACCTCGGGGGGTGTAATGACACGAGAGATACGACCTTTGAGACATGACGGAATATTGCAACATCACAGGGCAACTATGGGGGAGCACTGGAGAGAGGAAGGGTGCTTTTTCTTGTGAACACTACCTATATGGAGTCGGCTCATGGATTTTTGCTGCGACACGAGAACCCAAATAACACGACCCCCGCCTTCCACCTACCCACCACCCTCAACTTATTTGCGACTAGGATACGACGGGAAGCATTTTCGGGTTTGGCGAAATGCTTTTTCCAAGGGCACATAGAACACCTTCAAGACTCTCCAGAGAGCCGGGCACGTAAAAAGCACAACTAGATCCAGTCTAGACAGATTGATTGCCAGAGCAATTTAGACCTTGGCCTTGTTATTTTGGAGAGTAATATTAGCTTGTCCACCTGTGGCCTCATCGCACTCGTGGCCTAATACAATAGATACTTTCTACCAAACTCGCTACAAATAGGGGTATTATACTCAAATCAAGTCTTCCGTCCTTCGCCCAGTGTGTGTCGTTATGCTTCATTTCCATTTCCATGTTGCAGACCGAGAGAATGCTGGTTAGCACAAAGTGAACCTCGAATGACAGCTACTATCAAACCACATTGGTCTCCCCGATTTGCCTGACCCCGAATCGACTTGTGATGCCCATGTTCTCGCCTATACCCATAGCATTGCATGAATCAAGGACTGTTAGTGAAGGACATTCCACCCATTGGCTTTCACTATTTCAAGATCTGGGAGGCATCGTGCTGGACGGTGACTTATACCGTCCTTCCCTGGCCATCCTCTCCATCTTGGCCACGGCCAATTTCCTCCTCTCCTGCTCCGTCATCGCCGTCTTCTGTTTGGGTTTCTTCACGCGGCGTTCCTGGAAAAAGGACGTCAACGAGCTCTTTGGTGTGCCACCCGCCGCGGGACTCGCAGCCGGGCTGGTTGTCAGTGGTACTGAGGCCTTGATCGGCATCGAAGCGGGAGGCGGCCGCCGCCCGTCGGAGAACGAGGCCGGCAGGCTCCGGCGTACCGCTGGGTGCTGGGTAGTCCGTTTGGGAGGAGGACCGGCTATGTTGCGCGGCGGGGTCTCTGCGATGATGGCGTCCTTGGTGGGCTTCGAGGATGAAGGGGCTCTCTGCTGCTCAGGCAGTAATGGGTTGGGTGCTGCCTTCTGCGGCAGCAGCGTGGTGGTGCTGTTTGTGTTGGTTTCCTTGATGATTTCCTTCAAAGGGTTTGCGGTACGAGGGCGCGGGGTACTAGATAGGAATGTGATGTCTTCGTCGTCCTGCAGAGCGTTTGCGTGTCGTTGAATGGCCGGGGCAGATGCCGGAGGGTTCCGAGGGCTTGATGCCGCGTTGTTTGTCAATCGCTGTTTGCCCTTGTCCTCATTCGCAAGGGGCAGACTCGGCGCAGGAGGCGCGGCATTGTAAGTATGGACTTCATTAACAGGCTGCTGGCCACCATGGCCGCTGACGTTTATCTTTGACGGAATCGGCTGTTCCGCAGGGGATGAATGTACCGAAGAGAGGGCGGGCTTGCTGGGCGTGCCGCCCGAGGCGCGAGTCTCCAGATGAGGTTTCGGGTTGGGGTTGCTCTTCTGCGCAACTGGCGTATTGGGACCTCCGCTCATGTTCAACGCCGCTGATTGCTCAGAGAGACGCCTCTGTGCAACTTCCGGAAACGGGATTCCGCTCTCCAACACAGACTCCCTTGCTAATTTGTATTCGCTATTGTAGATCTTCAAGACCAGGTACAGGTTTTCGCGAGTCACGACGCCGCCCTGATATGCTGGCCGGTCCACGTACTCGACGTACCACTGATATGCCGAGAGCGACTCCTCGTCGTCGTCCAAGGTTTGGATGTAAGGGACGAAGCCGTCCACGAAGGCGCGGATGAAGTCGTCGTAGAGCCACTTGGGAAGCAGCCGTTTCCGACGCAGGTCTTTGATCGTGGAACAAGCCCTCACAAAGTCACCTACGCTGCCCGAGAAGGAGGGGTATGCGTAGCGGAAAGCTTCCAACGGTCCCTGTGCAAAAGAGGGCCTCGCGACCAAGCCCTGCGGTCGGTGATGGGCATCGAATGTTTGATATCGACTGTCTTGAAGCACTTGCGGGCTAGCAGTCGACTGTACACCTTGCATTGAATTGGGTGATGTTGGAGGCGAGGGATTGACGGGTGCCACTTGGGATATTGTTCCGTGACGGCTTGCGGGCCTCGATGAGCTCTCGGCGGGTGCTGGCCTTCCTTCACCCGGGGCTGTGCCTCGAGCCTTTGCCGCTTTCGACTTCTCTGCCTCGAACAAAGAAAGCGATGCCTCGGCGACTTCTTTGGAGAGGATGAGTTTGCCGTCTGCAAGTTTCGAAGCCGCTTTATAAAGCGGGCCATCAGGCTTCAACCACAGCTCTGAGAGTTGTGTACCGTTCTTTGATGCCTGATGGGTGACGTTCATCAAAACCTGAAGGCTCTGAACCGTCAGAGTTGACCGGAGGTGCTGGAAAGCGGTCGGGATCCAATCGAGACCATGCTGTTTCCAAGCTTCGTTGAGATACGATATTGCCTTCTGCCGCTGGACCTCATCCTTTGAGGATTTCAGGCTACCGCCCTCAGACGATACTTGACGAGTGGCCAGGGAAACATTGTCTTGCACCTTCCTCCCACTCTCGAGAGTTGCTCTGACATGTTCTCCCCAGGGCTTAGGATCTGGGTGGGATGTCTCCTCTGCCCTATAGACAGGACCGGCAGTTCCAGAAAGACTCGGGGTACCCTTGACGACCTTGGCTGTTCCTAGTTTCGGTTGCTCGTCAGTGACAAGAGGTGCTGACGCAAGCGGAAAACCTGAAGATGTCTGTAGAGCCCCTTGATAAGTTTGAGGAAGCGGGGCTATAGATTGTCGGTCGGTTTCTGCAGAAGTGCCATCCTGTTCAACTTCTTGGGAGCTCTGGCTCATGTTGACTGCCTTCATCCGTCTCTTCTTGTAGACTGGTTCTTCCACCTTGTCGGAGCTCTTAATGTCTTTGTAGGTGGACGGAACCATGCTGCCTTGGCCGCAGGGAGGACTGGTCGCGGCCTGGGATGCAGTAGTCAAACGCGCAGCTCTTCTATTGATGGGGGATGTCGCTTCGCAAAGAGCCCCAGGGATGGCGGTTTCCAGCTCGTCTTCCACACCGGCACTGCTGGACGGGAATGCGTCAAGCTGGAGGTGACGTTTAAGGCCTGTAGGAGGCGATATCTGTCGCTTGGTTGCTGGGACAATCGGTGGTGAAGACTGTATCTGAGGGCTGCTTCGTGTCTGAGGTGGTGGAGACTGGGAGATAATTCTTCCTACAACAGACTGGTCTTGGGTCATAATCTGTGACCTGATGGAAGGCGCTGGAGAGGGAGTCTCTTGCAGCTCTCTTCTGGGTGGTCGTGGAGGAGACTCCGCCCATGAGCTGACGGGCACTTCTGGCTCAGAGTCTGATTCATCTTCCTGCTGACCGTTGGGTGTGTTCTCGGAGACTGAGGCAGTTGGCTCACTGGAAAGAGGCCCATTTGGCTTCTGGGCAGGTGGCGGCAGTGTCCGAGAGGTATGAAAATACTTGATTTGTTCAAGGACCTTTGGCGGGACTCTGGCGGTATTCTGCTGTGGGTTGTTCTTGAGAGTTGAGATCCACGGGCCTTCAGGGTCTGAAAAGATTGCTTGTTGATCCTTGGGAATTTTCACAAGCTTCCGAGAAATAGGAGCTCCATTGCGAAGACGAAAGGGAGTAGTAGATGTTGTGGACTGTTCTGAACTACTCGATGGACTAGTCATGGTGGTGGTGAGGATCGTAGCTTTGAGCTATGATCATGAAGGTCCGCATCCGGGGTTGGGTTGCTAGCAGGTGTAACGAGAAGTATTCGGCATAAAGACGAGGCGTTTGATGTAGTGTCGATTGGTAGGATGACAGACAATGCCTTCAAGGGAAGATTGAGAATCTTGGAGTGAATGGGTATGAATCAGTATGAAATTTGTCGACGGTCGTAATCAATGGCAGGAACAAGGCTTCTGTGAGTTGTGACCACCAAAAGAGCTCGCTCGGTGATAGACGCGACAAAGATCCCAAGGTACCTAACCTTCTTTGAGAAAACGCGTTTTTCGGCGTGTCCCTGGTTCCCTGTTGAATTCCCATGCTTGATGTCCAAGGTAAAGTGGCAGCAACTGCGGGGTTCCTGGGTGCTGCTGTATAAAGGCAGGACAATGGTCCGAGCTTCGGAACCTGAAGTCCCCAAATGCCCAGGACCCAGGTGCTAAGGGTGTGGGTGGGTCAGCTACCTAGGTACCTAAGGTGCCATAGTGCTTAGGTCCAGTATTGCTGGTACCGGATACATCCACATGTGTTGTAACGGATGAGGTAAGGTCAAGTACCTTAAGCCCCGATAGGTATTCGTACCGCTATTTGCCTTTGCCCAGCTTGCATTGCAACGGGCTCTCTCATATAGAACTGCCTGAGGGCGTCTCAAAGTCAGCCATTCCCGAGGTATCGTAGACAACACTAACGCCTTCTTTTCGGCGACACGTTGTAGCACCTGCTGCGTTGTGCAGCAACCCTCCCCCGGGACTTGTCAACTGCCAGCTCAACCCAACCCCAACTTCGTTGCGTCGCTGCGTCATCCCACCTAGGTACGTTTGACGATTGTGCCGACTTGGTCATCGCAGGGCCACGCGGGCCTAGACCTTGAAGGGATAGCGCTGTCTGGCTCGCAGTAGTCTACGAATAGTACGCCCTCTAAAATCCATCAGCACCGTCTCCAAGACTGCTTGTTCTGCAGCACTACAGACAACATTACGCGGGGGGGCCTAACACGACATCCTGCGCTCCATCTTCTTCGCCCGAGAACACACTCACACATCCACCTAGAGCCTGATCTTCGCCACGTCAATTCTCCTCCTCGTCTTGTGTGCCCTTCTTAGATCCTTGATCTTGCCCGCGTTCTTTCCGAGACTACGCCGATATATACACCACCTTCGAGTCCTGAACTAGACATCGACAAAGAAACCCCTACCGACGACAGCGAACCCCTCGCTTCTACGACCCACGAGTACATAAGCTAGACTTGGTCCGATTGGGCGGAGGTTGACGACGAGGAGAAGCTTTCGATCTTTCAAGATACCTCACGAATCACTGCATCCACCAACCGTCCATCATGTCAACCTGAGATGAAAAGATGCTAGCGCTACACACGCTCTAGACACCATCGAGCTCAGTCATCCACTCGTCGCATTCGTGCCCGCGCAAGATGGCGAGCAACAACCCATCGAAACCAAACTCTCCGGCAGTTCTGTCCACGCCCCCAGGCTTTAGGAGCCGCCATGATTCTATCAACTCCATATCCACCGCTTCGCAGGCCGATAAGGACCAGCTAGCCCATACTCTGAACAGGATCCACACCTCGGCGAGCCAGTCCGACTCTTTGACGACATTCAACGACTTCGCTCCTCCTCCCTCGTCTCTTCCGGCGACAGAAACAAAGGTTTTGGCAGGAGAGCTAGTTCAAAATGGCCTCAGCGGGCTCTACAGTCGGCTGAAAGAGGCGGTGGGCGCTGGCGCAGCGAGGCAACAAGACCTCGATGATGGCGATAGCTTCGATGCTGCGTCGAAACGCAGCACTAGCACCACGGCTACAACCCCGAAAATACCCATCGCTTCTCTCACCCGCGTAGAAACCGCCGCCACGAGCTCTTCGTTCAACTCGGGGACCACGCACGACGGTCCCATGACAGGCACTTCCTCGTCAGGAATGAACACCGTCATGTCTGATAGCCAGTCACATCCCCCTCAGTCATCGAAAGCGACATCCATTTCCGCCATGACGGCGTCTAAATCGAGCGCCGCCAGTAGGCAAAGTTTGCCAAGCGTGGCCAAAGCCTCGGCGGTCACGGCGATTAATCCAGAGGTCGCTCCGGCCACAGCACCAAGAAGTGTAGTCCGCATGGAGGATGGCCCAGTTCGATCCTCTGGGAGGAGGAGCATCAGCAAACACCCTGATCCTCGGCTATTTGGGATCGGACATGAGCACAAGTTTGATGTTCTAGAGCCAAAGCCCAGCGCAATCCTCCCCGAGCGAGCCCATGGAATTATTCCCCGGCCCAGACGTGAAGACGCGGCTGTCGACGGTCCTTCGGATAAGCCTCTGAGCCCGATCAAGACCAGCGCACCGCAGCTGCCTAAGCTACAAACTGCGGATCCCCGGTCGCCTACATTATCGACGTCGTCTATGATGCTAGTTCCCAAGCGACCAGCAGTTATCGATCGCATTAGTCGTTCCCGGTCACCCGGCTATGCCCCATCAAGATCTTCTTCTATGGAGCATGTCACCGCAGAACCCAGCCCCATCAGTACGACTGCCCACGACTCTGTGTATCATGACTCTTTTGCCCACGCCGCTCAGCCCATACATGGGAGGACGGGGGCTTTGCGCATTCCTGGTACAACAACCAACGAAGGTGCCCCTGAACAAGTCAACGCTAGGCTTGACAGGATGCGGCGTCAGGTTCTGAGTAAAGAATTCTGGATGGCCGACGAAACGTGTAAAGAATGTTTCATATGCGGCCAGCCGTTCTCGGCCTTCAGGAGAAAGCACCATTGTCGAACCTGCGGGTGTATCTTTGATTCCAAATGCACTTCCATCATCCCAGCCTCTAAATTCGGAATGACCGGGACTCTTCGAGTTTGCAAAACTTGCCTGAAAGTCATTAATCAGCGACTATATGAAGGGAGCGGCTCTGACGACTCCGGAGACGACTCGTTTTTGCCAGCTCTTTTCCGTCAAACCAAGGCGACCCCCAAGGTCACGCAGGCAGAGGCTGAGGTTGAAGAGCCGAGCTTTGCTGATCGCATGGACGACTTGGGCGACGCAAGATCTGTCCAGACACCCATGATGGCAATACCCGCGACCAGAAGGATCAACGACTCGAACCGAAACTCGGCCATTCTCGAAATAGATGCACCGCAGCTCAGCCGCCCGAGTTCCTCACGTTCTCTGAGGTCACTAACATCCGCAAATCGGCCACAATCGTCAGGTCACAGACGACACCATTCGAAGCATCACAACAATTTCATGTCGAGGTTCAAACCAATGCCAGACGATAGAGCCCCGTTCCGCAAGGGAATCACCGAGGAGATGGCGAAGAAACCGAAATATCCAGCTTTCCATGACGACAATATCATCGACCCTGAACTGGCTGCCTACATGTCAGACGAGTCCAGCGGCGATGAACAGATGAGCATATTTGCCACCATGTCAAATGCCGATCTGCAACCGTCAAGCTACGACCATGAGAAGTCAAGTTTCGGACCGTTCCTGAGCACGGGAAGGAGACACCGACTTGGGCGAGGAGAGAAGAGTGTTAGCGGGTTGAGCTTCACAAGCCGCGGAATGGATGACAATGGTGGCTCTGGAAGTCTTATCGGCCATGGCCGCCCCGCGAGAAGACGCAATCTCAGCAATGTGAGCCATCAGATGAGGTCCCCACGCCCCAAATCTGGCATCTTCAAGGGTCCCTCCGCATCCAACGAGAATGTTTTCACCATTGAGAATCCTGCTATCGAAGCTACGAAATTGACTAGAAGTGATTCGATGCAAGCGGACAAGCAGCCACAGGTGGAGCTCAACCCATCCAGCATGTTGCACGTCAAGAGACTCCTACATCAGTTGCTCGAAGATTCCGGCATACCTAATGTGCCAGCATGGGAAAAGGCTCTAGTCCCCATCTTACTCCAGTGCACCGACGACGTAACCCCCGATATTAGAGTGGGAGATGACATGGACATTCGCCATTACGTCAAGCTGAAGAAAATACCAGGCGGAAAACCGGGAGACACGAGTTACGTCTCGGGCGTCATTTTCACAAAGAACCTTGCTCTCAAGAGCATGCCACGCCGCATTCTGAATCCTCGTATTGTCATCGTCTCTTTCCCAATAGAGTACCAGCGGCACCAGCAACACTTCATGAGCCTGCAACCGGTCATCGAGCAGGAGAAAGAGTTCTTACGAATTGTCGTTAATCGCATTATCAACCTGCGCCCGCAATTACTTCTTTGTGAAAAATCCGTGTCTGGCGTTGCGTTGCAATATCTCTCTGAAGCGGGCATAGCTGTCGCGTACAACGTCAAGCCATCGGTCATTGAAGCCGTATCAAGATGCGCGGAAACGGATATCATCTCCTCTCTCGATATGCTGGCCTTACAAGTCCAGGTAGGGAGATCTGGCGGCTTCGAAGTCAAGACCTATGTCAACAAAAACTATCCCGGAAAGAAGAAGACGTACATCTTCCTTTCAGGGTGTTCTGAGAAGCTTGGTTGTACGATCGCTCTTCGCGGTGACTCAACTGAAGTCCTGTCGAAAATGAAGAAGATAACGGAGTTCATGGTCTATGTTGTCTACAACTTGAAACTGGAGACGTGCCTGATGAGAGATGAGTACATCCAACTACCAGCAGAGCCCGAAGAATCGTCCTCCTTGTCATCATCTCTCCGCCACAATCCCGAGGATGGTCCTAAATCACTCAGCGCATCAACTGAACTCGCAGAGACGGGACCACAGATATTGAAGACCTCGCCCCCTGAGTCTGAACTCCCCACACAAACGAGTGACGGCACGTCGCTAGTCACTGCTGAGGGGACCGTTTCATCGGATCAGACTGAAGAGCCTGTCGCAGAAGAACGACCTCCACTTGTGTCTCTTCATGCCTCTCACGTTCCGCCCACGTCTCCTGAATCTCAAGTGCCAGAAGACGTGCCGATGCCAACATACTATAGCGATATGGTTGCGAGATACGAGACCAAGATTCTGTCGGCCTCTCCATTCGTCAAGTTTGCGCAGCCTTACTTGCTCATGAAGGCGCGAGAGCAGGAACGGAGATTGGTCTACTTGAAGCGCCTGAGAGATCAAGATGTTGTTGAGGAACAGATTGATGCCGAAAAATCAAAGTCACAAAAGTTCCAGCTCATCAAGCCTGAAATGGTACATGCTATTGGACAGAAGGCGCCACGCCAGGTTATGGAAATTCTGCATGCCGTCCACGATGCCGAATATGACAAGGCGCTTTACAACTACCAGGTTCAGACCCGGCAATGGGAAAACTACATCCAGGGCAATCTCGACCTTTTCGACCCCTATTCTCACCAGAACATTGTCGTTCTGTACTCAGTCATTTGCACAGAGACGAAAATTCCGTGCTCGGAGCCTGGATTGATTGCAATTGCGTTCTACGATGAGCATGTCGACGAGAGCGGAAGCATGGATCCGGACTGCACTCTCGGCCAGTACATTGAAGACCTGTGCATCAGTAAGGACTCGATATGCACAGCCAATGGCTGTGACCGGAAGATGACGGCGCACCATCGCACTTACGTCCACGATGAGTCGCGAGTCACCATCTTTGTTGAGCCGGCGGCGAAAAGACGCAACTTGGACGGCATAACCATGTGGAGCTACTGCAAAACATGCAAGAAGGACTCTCCTGAGATGGGAATGTCTGACAGCACATGGAAATACTCTTTTGGCAAGTACCTTGAGCTTCTCTTTTGGAGCAGGGGCCTGCGGCTCCACGAGTTCTCTGGCTGCCCGCACGACCATCACCGCGACCACATCCGCTATTTCCATTACCGCGATACCTGGGTGAGGATTCATTACGATCCCATCGATCTTCTCGAAATTGTCGTTCCCAGAGCTCGGATTACGTGGAAGGTCGAAAACGACCTTAAGCTCAAGAACGAGATTTTTAACAAAATCGAAGAACGATGGGCGCGCTTCATCAACTCTGTCAAGTTCAGGCTCAAGAGTATCCGCATCGACAGCGTCCTACCTGAAAAGGCCGATGCGTGTAAGACTGAAGTTGACCGACTTGCCAAAAAAGCGCAGGATGATCAAGTCGCGTTGACCCGCAGACTCCAGGAGACTTACGTCAATTCCAAGTACTACGAAGTCATTCCGTTTAATGCCATTGTCAGAGAGATGCTGGAGAAGGCTGGTGATTGGGATGCTTCCTTCACCAAATTCGAGACCGACTTCTTGCCGGACAAAGATTTGCGACAATTGACGATGCTCCAGCTCAAGAAGATATTCTCAGACAACGAATCAAGAGAGTCTCTTCCCTCCACAGATGGAAACTCCACTGTGGACTCTGGGGAACCGCCGTCTCAAACTTTCTCGGATGATGCTGATGAGAAGTCTTCGACTCAACCAACGGACCCAACTGAACCTAGTGAGGAAGGTGTCTCGGAGACGAACAAGAATGAAGGCGAGCCAGAGAACGAGCCTGAGGAGCTTAAGGAAAAGGAGCCCATTCCAGAGTCAGAGCCATCTCAAGACCAAGAATCTGGACCTGATGCTAAGGACAAGCCTGCCGCTGGAGACGAAAATCCTGAGTCGTCGGAAACTAGCAAAATCAGTACGCCGGCCGAGTCCGTTCTGGAGAGAGTGGAGCCACTGGACTTGGCTACTCCTAGCTCACCGAAGGGGAAGAGTCCCTTCTCCTTTGCTGTCATCGACGAAGCTGGAGAAACTTTGAGCGTTTCGGGCGCTATTGAGGCGACTTCACCGACAGCCAGACCGCCACTGACTACGACCTCCACTGGAATTTCGCTTTCTGAAAAAGTTGAGCAACTTCGACGTGAGCAACAGGTCATGAGTAACGAGTTGCCCTCAACCAACGAACCCGCTGAGGCACCGAAAGCAAACCCGGAGCGAACTTTGGCTCGCAGGGCTCCGATGATTAGAACTCTATCTCAGCCTGCACAAACGCTACCGAGATCACAACCAAGCTTTGCCAAGTCAATCTTGCCAAAGGATAGCGCCGGGCCTAGCGAAAACTCCAGCGAGACATCCTTCAAAGTGGAAAAGAAACCGTTCATGGCGTTGGGAATGAAGAGCCATAGAAAGGCCGGTCCCTCCTCAATCCCTCGGCTGATCACCAAGAAGAAGGATACGCATGTGTCATCTCAGGTATCTAGGATTGCTAAGCACTTTGAACAACTGAGCCGTGAATTCGAGAAGGAAAGGCAAAGGGAAGATCGGAGAAAGCGCCTTATGAAACACCAGCCTCGTGCCGGACTGCCACGCTCGGCTACCAAGGCCATTGTGGAGGTCTATCACAACATTGACAATGCCGTCCAGGAGGCCGGGCCATCAAACACGGAACAAAACAACGAGATCAAGATTCTCGAGCCGAAGACTGCGCCCGTTACCCCGGCACCTCCAGGTGTTGTGCATACGGAACCTGACACAATGCCGCCCGTGGGGGAGCCACATCCCGCAACAGAAGCTCCGGCCGCATCCGAAGAGCACCATGTCGGCGGAGAGACTGATGACACTGCGACAGTAACTGCCAGTCACGGTGGATCTGATGACGAGGGGCAAAGCGACAACGAAGAATCCATATTAGGCGACCTACTGCCCGATGTGAAGGAGCTTGCAGACTCTCTCGAGCCCAGCACGGAGATTCCGTTGGAACTTCCAAAGCATCAAAAAACTAGCTTGATGAAGATGCTCACAAACTTCTGGGCCGAGCGATCTGCGAGCGGCTGGCCTCAGTTGGATTACCCGGTCAATGCCAGTGATCACATTTTCCTCGACTCGGACGTGATTGTACGAGAGGACGAGCCTTCCTCCGTTATTGCCTTTGCCCTAAGCTCTGATGACTACCGCACGAAGCTGGCTGATATTCGCCGTCAAGAGCGCATGGCCATACAAAAGGATTATGAGGCATCGAATCTTGAGGGCAAGTCCTCTGGTATGTCCGACACTGGCGGTGAATTCATGATGGAAGAAGGCGACCTAGAGAAGAGTCTGCTCAGGGCCACGGGTACCCATCTCAAGTACCAATTCAAGGAAGGTTCTGCAACAATGCTCTGCAAGATCTTCTATGCCGAGCAATTCGATGCGCTTCGCCGGAAGTGCGGTGTGGCAGATCGCATTGTCGAGTCTCTTTCTCGCTGCTTGAAGTGGGACTCGAAGGGCGGGAAAACAAAGTCGGTGTTTCTTAAGACCCTTGATGATAGATTGGTTCTAAAGGTAAGATGACGCCCCATTCTCTAGATTTCCATGCTGCAGCTCATGATCTAACGTACATGTAGGGCCTGTCGCCGATCGAGACGTCGGCTTTCCTGCGATTCGCTCCAGCCTACTTCGGCATCATGGCAGAAGCTCTATTCCATGATTTGCCCTCTGTCATTGCCAAGATGCTGGGCTTCTTCCAACTCATTATTAAGAACCCAGTCACTGGCGTCGAGATTAAGCTTGATCTACTCCTGATGGAGAACCTCTTTTACGACCGTGGCCCGACCCGTCTTTTCGACTTGAAGGGATCAATGCGCAATCGCAAGATCCAGTCCACAGGCGAGCAGAACGAGGTGCTCCTTGATGAGAACATGGTTGAATTCATCTATGAATCCCCTTTATTCGCACGCGAGCATTCCAAAAAGCTTCTAAGAGCATCTGTAAGTTGCCTAGACAAGGCATCAGAGGCTTGATACTGACAAAAGCTTAGGTCTGGAACGACACCCTGTTCCTCGCAAGACAAAACGTGATGGACTACTCATTAATGATCGCAGTGGACGAAGCTAAGAAGGAGCTGGTTGTTGGTATCATTGACTGCATTCGGACGTACACGTGGGACAAGAAACTCGAGAGTTGGATCAAAGATCGAGGATTTGCTGGCGGTGGCAGAAATCGCCCGACGGTGACTAGTCCGAAGGAATACAAGTCTCGTTTCCGGGAGGCGATGGCAAGGTATGTGTTCACTCGATATCCTTCGACATGTTCTTTGCGGTCATTGGCTAACAGGCTGTCTAGATACATCCTCCAAGCGCCAAATTGCTGGCATCAATTCGGCGTGCCTCAAATCAACAACACCATGAGGCCACGATTCGAATCAGATGCCAAGGCCGATTAATGCCCTGGCCACCTATGAACATTGTCTATTACGGGTTCGTGGACTGTAATTACATGAACTGCTATAGCACTGAGAGCGAGAAGAGCATTGCATTGCTGGCGTTTCCCTTTGACAACCTGGATGGAAGGATTGATGATAGGTATGGAGGCATTCTAGTCTTATGGAGTGGACGGTACTGTTAGAGTCCGCAAAAGAAACAACACAAGGTAGCATTACGGCGTTGATGAATCACGGCCTTCACAATTCAGATACCCTCCAATGACATATAAACGATGAATGAAGCCCTCCGTAATGATCGAGCAGGTATGGTGGAAGGTAATGGCGAGGCCATAAGTACCTTGTGCTGTCCGTGAGCTCAACCTGTGGAAACGGGCAACTCGGTCCACTGAAATGCCAATTTAGCGCCACATGCTGCCGTTCCCACCTCGCCTAGCGTTACCTGGAAGCCACTGAGTCGCAGCACGGGGCAACCTGAACAACCTAAGGGTGAGGTATCCATCGTCGACCCTGTGTGCACACTGCCTACCTTACCTTAAGGTATCTTAGTCCACTACCTCAATTGTTCAACAACTCGGCCCTCATTTCTCTTTCCTCCTCTCACACAAAACAACAGCTCTAATGTCAATAGACCTCAACTGGGAAACGCTCACGACGGGCCCCGACGGAGAGGCCCTGGCCCTCCGCATCCGCGACTTCATTCACACCAAATTCCAGGCCGTGCCTCTGCCTCGCTTCATCAAGTCTGTCAAAGTACACGACTTTGAATTCGGCACCATCGCACCCGAATTAGAGCTCAAAGACATCACCGATCCCTTGCCGGAATTCTACGAGGAGAACTCCGACATTGAGGACGACGAGGAAGAGGAGCAGGCTATCCTCGAGGAGCAGGCACAGCAGCAGCAGCATGGGCCCCGGAGCCAGCTGAGCGCCGGCGAGAGGAGGAGGCAGAGGGAGGAGGCGTCGATGCCGCCGCGACTGAGCACGCATGCGCTCCGGGGCCAGTCGGGGGATTTTCCTAGTCCGTTTCTGGGTGTTTCGACGCCGGGGATTCTTGGTGGGACGTCGAATCTGCATTATTTCCAGTCGCATCTCGGGACTGGGTGGTCGGGCACGCAGACGCCCCTCGCCGCGGTGGCGGGTGCGCACATGGGCAACAGGCTAGACACCTCAGCCGTGCTATCCCCCGTCGGCTCGCCGCCGGCGAATGGCTTCTCGCCAAGTCACAGCCGGAACCCCTCGCAGAGCTCCATCTCCGTGAGCGACTTCAACCCGGCGCTGGCGCAGCTGAGGGAGAAGTCGAGCGTGTCGACGCTGGCGCCCACATCGGCGGGGGCGTCGAGGCCGCCGACGCGCGACACGCACCTCGCGGGTTCAGCGATCCAGGAGGAGGACGAGGAGGTTCTCCCCGGAGAGGAAGAGGGCGACGGCGACGGCAACAACAATCACAACGGCAACGCGCCGCGGTTCCGGGAGCCGAGGCCCGAGGACCTGCAGGCCGTGTTCCGCATACGGTACGCCGGCGACGTGAGGCTTCGGTTGACGGCGGAGATTTTGCTCGACTACCCGATGCCAAGCTTCGTGGGGATCCCCGTGCAGCTGAGCGTCACGGGCCTTACGTTTGACGGCGTGGGCGTGATGGCGCATATCCGCAAGAGGGTGCAGTTTTGCTTCTTGAGCCCCGAGGACGCGGTCACGGCCGTGGGCGCGGATGATGCGGGCCCTAGCGAGCCTGGTAAGAGGTTTGGTGGGTTATTGCAGGAGATACAGGTTGAGAGCGAGATTGGTCTGCGGGATGGAGGGAAGCAGAGCTTGAAGAACGTGGGCAAGGTGGAGAGATTTGTCCTGGAGCAGGTGAGGAGGATATTTGAGAATGAGTTTGTGTATCCCAGCTTCTGGACGTTTTTGGTCTAGGGCGATGATGAATGGCATGGGATGGTTAATTAACCTGGCGTTCTTCACGAGATATGACATGCGTTGTTCACGGGCAAAAGGGATAACAAAAAATGGCTGGTAAAAAACTAGGGGCTGGTGGGATTTGCTCTGCATTGGTATCTATCTACAAGGAAGAACAGAAAATTCCTCTCAACACATCTTTCCCTCCTTTCGTTCTTCATGGGTTTCCCCTTTTATTTTACGTGAGAGTGCTCTTGAACCCCTGGTAAGCCTGCTGGATGTCCATCTCAAGCTCGCGGGCCTGCTGCTCGCTCAGCTCGTCAGTGGCCTTCATCTGGTTCAGCGTGATAAGCCACTGCACAATCTTGCCCCTGTTGTCAAAGTCGCGGTCCGTGACCTTGTTGACGGACTGGATGACGTCGGATAGTAAGGGGTGTAGCTGGTCCTTGGAGAGCAGGCCCAGCTTGACGGCGTCGAGGAAGGTGATGAACTCCTGCGTCGCTTCCAGGATGAGAGTACCACTCGTGTTACCGGCGGCTGCGGGAGCCGGAGCGGCGCTTGATGAGGCTGTCACGGTCGTCGAGGGCATGCCGACGCGGATGCGCTCTGTTGCGCGGGGGACTTCGAGCTGTTGTTTGGGTAGGCGACATGGTCAGTAAGGTGTACGATGGTGGCTAGTAGAGAGAAAGGATATACGAACATCCCATTCCGCCTTGAACTCCTCCAGGCCCCTAAAGGCCTTTGCTACTGTTTCGTCTGCCAAAATGGACTTGTATTGCTTCAGGGAGCGCTCGCAGATCTCGGTGTAGTCGGCCTCGGGAATCGCATCTTTCAGGAAAGCCTTCTCGAGCTCGTCGAGGGTTACGATGATGCTGAAGATCTCGGCGAGCGAGTCTTGCAGGTCGCGCTCGGCGCGGGTGTCGGCTAGCTTCACCTCCTGTTGTGACGCATCGTCATGTTAGCTAGATGTTGCCTGCGGGGGCGGGGCAGTTGTTGGAGGGGATGGGTGACGGTGATTGAACATTCGAATCGACTTACCTCATCGAGATTTATGGTTGCCGATAATGTGGTATTCGGGATGTAGCTATGCGGTGTCGGCGCATAGGGTTGCCGGGGCATCATCTTTGCAGCTGTGTTTGGATCGCGGTCGACTTCATGGTCGTCAGATAGCTTTTGAGCTGTCGTCGAGCTTCCAGGAAGTAAATGCTGGTGCAGACGGGTGTGTAGCAGAGCCACAGCCAAGGACGTAAGACATGGGTGTTGAGGTTCCCACGCCGAAGGTACAACGTGGGGCAACCTTCGAGGACCAGCACCAAAGGTGGCTTAGCGTGCTTCTCTGATAAGATAAGCGTTCAGAAAAAATTTGGACGGGCGCCGTGCAATTGCTGCCATTGAGAAAGTCTCGAAGTTCCCGCGTCCACTTCCCAGAGTCCCTGCAGCCAAAACTTCTCTTTTTACCCCCCCAACATAGGACCGAATCCCCCCCCGGCTCCATACTTCATCATGGGTTCCCAGAAGAAGAACCTCAAGGCGACCAAGAAGTTTGAAAAGACCAAGCTGAAGGGCGTTTTGGACAAGAGGAAGGAGACGGCAAAGATCAAGCAGCGCCACCAGGTCAAGGCAAAGAAGGCGACCAAGAAGACCAAGGATTCCGAATTCTTCAAGAATGACGAGGCCGCCGCCAAGGCGAAGGCCAATGGCCACAAGAAGGATACCAAGGTCAGCGCCATGAGTGTGGACGACTTTTTCCAGGGCGGCTTCGAGGATATCATCGACAAGAATGCGACAAAGAAGCTCGGCAAGCGGAAGCGCGACTTGCCCGCCAAGAAGGCTGAGGAAGAGGACTCTGAAGAGGGCAGCGAGTCGGAATTCTCCGTCGAGGAGGAGCCCATTGGAAGCGATAGCGAAGACGGCGAGGGTGACGAGGACGACGACGAGAACCTCGGCATGACCAAGGAGGCCATGGACAAGCTCGCTCAAAACGACCCCGAATTCTACAAGTTCCTCAAGGACAACGACCCAGAAGCTCTCGACTTTGACGAGAATGCCGACCTCGCTGAAGTGGACGAGCTCAGCGCCGGCAGCGACCAGTCCGACGAAGAGGAAGAGGAGGAACAACCGAAGAAGAAGCGCAAGAAGGCTTCCAAGAAGGCCGAGGTCGAGGAGGTGGTTGCCGCGGACAATGAGCTCACGCGCGAGATGGTGGGCAAGTGGAAGAAGCTTCTCGCGGAGAAGCAGAGCTTGCGTGCTGCCCGTCAGGTTGTCCTGGCTTTCCGTTGCGCCGCACATCTCAATGAGGACGACGCCGACGACTCGACCCCGCAGAGATACACCATCTCCAGTCCTGAGGTCTTCCACGACATCTTGATCGTTGCCTTGAAGCAAATACCCGAGATCATTTCGCACCACTTGCCCATCAAGGAGTCTGCGTCTGGCAAGATCTACGTGCCTACCGACTCGAAAAAGTTCCACACCCTGTCCATCATGATCAAGACCTTCACTGCGTCCATCATCCATCTTCTCGGCACATTGTCCGACGATGCTACTCTTAAGCTTACCATCGGCTCATTAGAGCCCCTCGTTCCCTACCTCATGTCCTTCCGCAAGCTTCTCAAGGCTCTTATCAAGACTGTTGTCAACTACTGGGCCAGACCGGCCAGCTCAGAAACAACAAAGATCACCTCTTTCCTTGTCCTGCGGAAACTGGTTGTCATCGGCGACAAGGGCCTTCGCGAGACCGTGCTCAAGACGGTGTACCAGGGACTCGTCTCCGGTTGCAGGACAACAAACGCCAACACCATCCAGGGCATCAACCTGTTGAAGAACTCTGCTGCCGAGCTTTGGGGCATCGACCAAAACGTCGGCTACACGACGGCCTTCACCTTTATCCGCCAACTCGCCATCCACCTCAGAAATAGCATTGTCAAGAAGGAGAAGGACGCCCACAAGATCATCTACAACTGGCAATACACCCACTCACTCGACTTCTGGTCATGTGTGCTTTCGGAGCACTGCAGCCCCCTCAAGGAGGCGGAGACTGGCAAGGAGGGTCAGCTCAAGCTTCTGATCTACCCCCTTGTGCAAGTTACTCTGGGAGCTATGCGCCTCATCCCTTCCCCGACGTTCTTCCCCCTGCGTTTCCACTTGATCCGTTCCATCCTCCGTCTCTCTCGCGCAACCAACACCTACATCCCCCTCGCTTCAGCTCTGATTGAGGTTCTTGAGTCCGCCGACATGAGACGGTTCCCGAAGGCCTCGTCCATCAAGCCCCTCGACTTCCACGTTGCCTACAAGGCGCCCAAGTCGTATCTCCGCACCCGCGTCTACCAGGACGGCGTCGCCGAGCAGGTTGTCGAGCTCTTCAGCGAGTACTTCACCATCTGGTGCAAGAACATTGCCTTCCCCGAGTTCACCCTGCCGGTACTCATTCAGCTGAAGCGCTGGCTCAAGGGAGCGCGCAAGATCAAGACCGGTAACAAGAACAACAAGGTCATCTCTCAGATCGTGCTTCTGGTACAGAAGCTAGAGACCAACGCCAAGTTTATCGAGGAGAAGCGTGCCAAGGTGGAGTTCGCGCCCAAGGATCGCGCGCAGGTGGACGCCTTCCTACGCGATTTCGATTGGGAGAAGACGCCGCTCGGCGCGTATGTTGTCGTGCAGCGCAAGATTAGAGAGCAGAAGGCCAAGGCGCTCGAGGACGCGAGGAAAGAGGATGAGAAGAAGCGCAAGGAGGAGGAGAAGGATGCGCTCGCGGAGAACGCCGCGGACGACGACTCTGAGGAGGAATATGCCGACGAGTTGATGGACGACGAGGCTGAGGACGACGACGAGGTTGATGAGGATGAGGAGGAGGAAGAGGAAGACGACGATATGGAGGACGATGAGTAGAGATGCGGCTATCGAGGAAGATTTGAGATACAAAAGTGTTTTTACGGCGTAATCCAGATACGCTGGTGTTAGGTTATATCATGGAGGCATTTGCAAATAATCCTGGAGGTTTGTAGCCCTCAAATCTAGCGTCTTCACTGCACCACTTTGCGTCTCTTACATCGAAAACTGTGTCCGCCTGCTGACCGTCGTCACGATCATGTCTCAGATACTTGACCATCGTTGGGTCAGGTGGGAAGAGGATTCTCTGCTATAAAGCAGCCCGCTTGCAGACGAAATATACACCCCGGGACATTTACACATGGATGATGCAAGGATGGAGACTGGAAAATTAGCACGGACCGAACACTGAGACCGCCCTTTGCTGGGGAAGGATTGGGGGCTTACATCAACACCTAAACTTCGGGAGGATGCATTGTCTGTAGGGAATCTCTGTGCGGCGGCACAGGCAGCTGAAAGTCACTGTTGGTCTTTTCGACAAACGTCTGCCTAACTTCAGATCAACACCTAAATCACTCTCAACTCACCTCGAGTAACTTCAACTACCCACATCTCTCCATACGTGTCCTTGGCTTTACATCTTTTCCGCATCTCAACCCGACTCAATATTTCTCTTCAAATTGTGATTTGACCCCAGACCATCTCTCTAGTCCAGTCACCCGCATTCACAAGTCTCTCATTGGATGCGGTGAGCCATTCCGCAATCATGGCTCCCCTGGCCGCAGACCCCCGCCAGCTCGTGGTGGTGCTCAACCCGGCCCGCCGCAAAGCGTTCTACACCCTCCTCTTCGACATCACGGGCTACATGCGCTCGCAGCTCGAGCTCAAAGACGGCGACCAAACAGCTGACTCGGGCGGCAATCCGGCCTCACCGTCACTTCCGGATAGAAACGCCCCGCTCTTCGTCCCGGATGCCAGCCAAAGCGGCAGCAGCGGCGGACGCAGCAGCAGCCCTAGTCACCCGGACCACGGCGGTTCTGGTGTGCACAGCGCCCAGCTGCGGGCTCTGAGGAGGGCAGCGCTGAAGCACTTTGACGAGTGGCGGAAAGGGGTTCTGGAAAAGGTCAAGGAAATTGTCTCGGTTAGGGACGATGATAAGATCCTCGAGGCCAGGAAGAAGCGTTTGGACGAGCAAGAGAAGCTGCAAGCCGAGTCTCCCGGCGTCGGTGAGGATTTGATCAACTTTGGAGATGCATCACAGGCTTCTTCGGTGCCGGCGGCGAACAAGGTCGATGAGGAGGTTGCTGCACTCCAGGAGCATTACCACCCCATCCCGAGCCGGTTTACTACGATTTCGGTGAATGATAGGAAAGAGGTGCTGAGCTGCCTCCTGGTCCTTGTCTTGTCTACTGGTTTCTACTCAGCACACTCTAGAGTCTTGGCCCTTTACCTCACGTCTGCGTTCGGGCTGCCGCTCTCAGCCCTCATCGCTGAGGAGACGGAAATCGCAAAGTCCCTGGTTGAATCCGCGACTTCTTCCGAGGGTCAAAAGGCCAGCATGTCCGCCGAGGCCGAGGCCGCAAAGCGACGACAGGAGAACCAGAAGAGCCGCTTCTGGAAGGTTGGTCTGGCTTCCGTGGCGGGCGCCGCAGTCATCGGTATCACGGGTGGTCTCGCGGCCCCGGTGGTCGCCGGCGCAATCGGTGGCATCATGGGAAGCGTCGGACTCGGAGGTGTCGCGAGCTTTCTCGGAATCTTTTGGATGAACGGTGCCCTGGTCGGGACTCTGTTCGGTGCCTTCGGGGCCAAGATGACGGGCGAGATGATGGACACCTACGCCAAGGAGGTTGAGGATTTCCGTTTCCTCCCGCTGAAGGATGAATGGGGCCAGGACTATAAACGCGCTGACCCCGATGGGAAGCAGAATGCCCGCCTGCGCGTGACGATTGGCATCAATGGCTGGCTCAATGACGAAGGCGACGTGACGAAGCCCTGGCGCAGCTTGGGCGACGAGTCTGAGGTCTTTGCCTTGCGCTACGAGATGAAGTCGCTCCTCGCCCTCGGCGCCGAGCTCGAGGGTCTTGTCTCGTCGTACGCTTGGAACTATGTCAAGATTGAGATCCTCAAGCGTACCGTCTTGGCTTCCCTCTGGGCCGCTCTGTGGCCTGCCTATCTCATCAGTGCCGCTTCCAAGATTGACAACCCCTTCAACCTGGCCCGCAACCGTTCAGACAAGGCTGGTCGTGTGCTTGCTGACGCTCTCATCGCCAAGGTCCAGGGAGAAAGACCCGTAACGCTGGTCGGATATTCACTCGGTGCCCGCGTCATCTACTCGTGTCTTCGATCACTTGCCGAGCGTCAGGCCTTCGGGCTTGTCGATACCGTGGTGCTCATCGGTGCCCCTGTGCCGTCCAACCGGGAACACTGGCAGGTCCTGCGGTCCGTGGTCTCGGGTCGCATCGTCAACGTATACTCGGAGACGGACTACATTCTCGGGTTCCTGTACCGCACTACCTCCCTCCAGCTAGGCATCGCAGGCCTTCAGGAAGTCAAGAACATTGACAGAGTTGAGAACCTGAATCTCAGTGCAGAAGTCAGCGGGCACCTCCGCTACCCGAGCTTGATCGCCAAGATTCTGACACGATGCGGCTTCCCGAATGTCAAGGGCGGCGAGGGCGTCATAGAAAAGGACGAAGACCTCGATATCAAGATCACGGATGAGGAGGCGGGTTCGCAAATGGGCGAGCTTATCCAGCTTGAGGCCCAGCCTGATCCTGAGTCGGAGCCCCAGCCGATCAGATCCAAGCAGACTGCGAGGTTCCCGAACGAGCTGCGTCACCCGTTGCATCCCGACCCGCCTGAACAGAAGAAGAAGAAGAATCTGAACCGGAACAAGGTCTCTAGATCTGGTGGCGCAGCTGTTTCTGGATCTTTCGATCCTTTGGGAGGTGGTGGTGGTGACCCCTTAAACTTGGCAAGTCTTGGGCAGGCGAAGCAGGAACCGCGCTCGCCTCACCACGAGGAGCTCTGTAGTCTGGGATCTCCACCTCCTGAGAAACAAGAGTCGCGAAGCTCTCAGCCTGCTGATCCTCTGAATCTCAGCGTCCTGGGAGCAAAGAACAAAAACGCAGCCTCTACTACTGCCGGCAAGGATGCCAGTCAGCCTACCAAGGAGCCGGAACATCCTCCCAGGCCTTCTGCTATCCACTCATTCCAGAGTGATGGTGCTATAGACTCGCACCATCGTCCGGAACTGCCGATTCGACCTAAGACCTTTCCCGTTCCTGTCCAGGAAGAGGAGGACGATAGCGACGATGAAAGCTTCAAGGGAATCCAGTTGGTTGACAATGAAGACATGACGAGTTACTCGGAGCTCTGAGAGCCGATTAGACCAGATGTAGTACAGAGACAATGCGCTAAATTGGCCGTTTACTAGGAATACAGTACTCTTAAGCCAAGACTTTTCGAATTCACACACTAGTAATCTAAATGTAAGTACTTCGACGGGAATTCCACTGCCTTTGGGTATTCATATTCCATACGCATCTACAGAGTTTTGCCAGAGCGGTTATCCTACCTGGCCAGATTTGTAAATGGAAGTCACTGAAGACGGCTCGCTCTGAAGAGTCCCTCTCACGCGTACCGAGTATTGACTATTCAAATCCACCCTCCGCGCACGGGATGATGCCTCCTCCTCTTCAGCAGCCTCCAGCTCGTTGAGGTCATCGGCAAATAAGTGCGGCTTGAACTCCCAGCCCGGTCGTTGATCCCTGTTGGATGGCTCAAGATGACCTGCAGTATCATCATCTCCCCCCCCCCTTCTGCGGCACATTTTAGGTAGGAACGGTTCGTTCCGGGTCGTCGTAGCCTTTGTATTCTGAAATGAAGCATCCAGAGAAGATGGGCGATACTCTTCGGCCAGCATTGGTGACGCGTCGCTTTCGATGTGAATGAGATCAGCAGCAAAACTGCGGGAGTCTATAAGGCAGCTACTTCTTGTTATCTCTTGCGAGTCTTGCTCTGCAGATGCAGAAGACATAATGAGTTTGGGCCTGCCTTGGCTGGGAAAAGTGTTGAGGGAGCGGTCCTTCGCTATATATAGCCTCTTGAGAGTCCTAAAGAGAGAGAGAGAGAGCGGTCCAATCTCTGTGATCTCAAGCATCATTCTAGATTTAGTATCCTATCTATTCTGATGAATAAAGCAATCGCGTCAAACCCTCAAGATCATAGCGAAGCCTGAAGACTCCATCGCGTATAGTGCAGCCTGCGCCTATTGGAAGAGCACTGAGTAGGGAATTTTGTTGAGGTCGAAGGTGTCGCTGTTCACTCTTCCCTCATCACTGTCCACCTCCTCTTTCATTCCCAGCTCCTATAAACCATTATGGTTCTCTGCCTCCTATCGGAACTGTCTTGATTTCATATCAGATAACTATTGAACATGATTCTATTGTTCTCTTGAATGTGTCAGTACCACATAGGATTGTTGTCAGAACTAGGTATGGAATTCAAAGGTCCAGCCATTTCCAACAGCGGCCGGCTCGGTACCTTGAGCTCCTAGGCCCGCCTCAAGTTCTGTCCTTTGATAGGTTTATATGATCGTCGCTAGCTAAACGGCCTCGATCACGAAGACACGTTACGGGCTGGAATCGCTGATTTTCCGCATCGTTTGTCAAGTCATCTCGAAGCAGATACGATGGCAAGAACCCATCTAGCCTGCATAAAACCTAGATCTGTCACATGTTGATGCCTTACTGGCAGATTACATTTTCATCCCAGGCAGCAAACGTAGATACGCCGTTCATACTTCGAGAGAAGTGAAACGCAAGCCAGTTGAGAAAGCTGTCTAGCCCTCAGTCCCCTCTTATTCATTAGATTTCATGGATGTGTATGTCTGAACTGCATCGGCCGTAAAATTGATTGGGTTATGCTTAGTTACTCAAAATATCAGGCAATCCAACCTACTTGATTGATCATGTCATGAATGACAGCATGTCAATATCTTTCCTTCATCGTCTTGGCGTGTATATGTTCACGAGCATGACAATCATCATCAATCTGGGAATTCGGTGCTTAGCAGTCCGCATGATGTTATGGCCCATTGAACATATCCAACTTGATTTAGTCTCTTGACCCAGTAGGAGGCAGAGGTTATCTTCGAGTGATATTGCCTTTGCTACATAAGGCTGAGTTAAGTTGACTAGTCAGCCAGCCACATCCATGATTACCTTACACAGGCACAACGTGCCATGTTCAAACGGGTAAGCCCTGTCACGTCTGAGGCAAAACTTGCATTGAAGAGCTTACGGTTCGCGGCCGACGAAGTCAAGATGGAGAGGCCGGCACATTGGCAATCACGAGGTCTACTAGCCATTCCATTGGGCTCTGCCCTCTAGGGTCGCCTGCTGTTCCCCCGCTCAAAGTTGCGATGAAGTTACCTTACGCAACAAAACATGTGTGGGGCAGAATTGGAAGCATTCCACAACCAAGGGGTCTGCCAAATGCCACGGCAGTACCGTTGTGGGTGTAGTGATTGTAAGTTTGTGCTTGGACCAAGGCCACTTGAGACTAACGGGCCCCTGGTGGTGCTGAGTGATGGATTCTTCTGGGTCTTGTATCGGTCTGATATTGTGTAAAGTCAACTCTCGCTGATGAGGCTTAGACGGACCCGAAAAGAATTATTTGCGACGAAAATCTCCGCCGAAAAGCGGCAACCCGTTCGGAGATGTAGCGTCATGCATCCTTCGGGAGTGACATGCAGCCGAACGGGACCCGCTCCACGATACGGTTTTTGACAGAGATAGTATAATGCAGAGATCCATCGAGCTGAGGATTAGGAGGGCAGCTATGCTTTTTCCTGCTGCACCGAGCAGATTGAGGTCCAAGCCTTGGGGGTTGTTGAAGAGAAATGGAACCAGTGAGATTGCGGATGGCTGTGGACGGGGCGAAGGAGAAGATTTTGGCCTGAATGCATGAAGCGGAGGCAGGGAAGGGCGGGATGACCGCAGGGATGGAAGGCTTTGAGAATGTGATTGGCTGCGATGAAAAGGACCCTTGTTCCTGAGACGGTAGGGGACGGGCTTGTAAGGCGGCTGTTGGGTTGTGTAGTTGAGGCGGTCAGTCGAGGTCAGATGAGCCCATGGCCGGAGGGGTTTGCGGCCATAGGGCAAGCGGTATTACAAGGAGGCTGATGGGAAGTTCAAGGTGCGTTGGCCGTCGCGGAATGGAAGTGTGTGTGTTTGCGAAGGACAACCGAAGAAGCGCGCCGTTGGCTCGGGTTTCTCCTGTGTCAGGTCCGGCAGGTCTCAGTCGAGGTCTCAATCTGACCTTTTGGTGGCCTCAATCCTTGCAGGATGCTGTGATGCGGCGAGGGTTTTGTGAGAGGGGAAGCGATGAAGTCTACCTTACCTTGAGAAGCAGAGGAGCAACCTTTGTCGGTCGCTAAAGCATAGGCACCTGTGATGTCCGGGTTCGCCATTTCGGTCCGTCATGTTGCGGTTTCCCGGGCTGAGCGACAAAGTTGGCTCAATGAGGATGTCATAGGCCCAGGATTGTCACTCAAGCGTAAGCGTGTGATGGAAATGACTCGGGTTGCCCCTGTCCGTCAGGTGCTGACTTTTGACAGACCCAGAGAGGTACCGGTAGAGGGGCCGATTTGCCTTGTTTTGACTCCCCAAGTCCAAAGTCCACCATCTTTATTACCGAGTTTCGGTAGAGAAAGCGACAGCGTGAAACTTGGGGAGAGGCAGGACCGGTTGCGAAAAAACGAGGCACCCACCATCCCAACGGCGGAATCGAGGTTGACGATCGCGTGTTCCAGGCCCTGCACGACCAATGGACTCTTGGAAGCTGTAGAGCGAATCAGTGACCTTTGTTGTACTGTAGTAGTCACTGGGAGTGTAGTTTGCTCCTGCATGTTCAGTCCGAAGAAGGAAATATACCTTGGCTTACCCGTGGTTGGGTGGAGGTACCTCGAGGGAAGCGGCGGGAGGAAAGATACCTTTAGGGGTCCAAGTACCGGGCACAGGAGCGACAGAGAGAAGTGCGGGGCTCTCTTTTTTACCTCAAAGTCCGCGATTTGGCCCGACATATTGACATTAATGATTTGGGACGGGGACCTTGCAAGACTTAACCTCCAGAATGTCTGAGGGTATCCGTAACGTGATCTCAAAAAAGTCCATCATAGGAAGCTGCCAGCCATAAAAGGTACGTGCGTGGAGACAGTTCCTTCTCTGAGCTACCATTTCGGGTTATGTACGTGAGAATACGGCAAGGTGCCTTGCGGTAGGCACGCACGCACGGTGGGAAGGACGCTACCAACCATGAGGCGTAGCATATGAAGCAGGCACCAAATATTTAGCACGGTCCAGTAATATCAAGAGATGGAAACCCTCAAGAAATGGAAGGTGCTGGTCGCTTGTTTTTCTTGAAGGATGGGAAGGAGATGATGGGTGGTGCCTCCTGTGTTATTTTTGTCAGTCAAGGCATTCCCCGTCCAGTCCCAATCCCAGCTGTCCAGGTTTTTTTTTTTTTTTTTCCTCTCTCTCTCCTTGGGACACTCCAACCGCAGTCGCCACTGCACTCACTCACTCTACATAGTATGTATCCAGAGAAAGGGCACCACCATCTCACTGAATAATTAAGGTCGGGGTACCTACTCCGTACTCTGTACGTATACCGACCTACCTTACTCTGGGCCTTACGTACTTCGTCTTTGTACCTCCTTCTGAAGGAGCCCGCGCCCGAATCCCCGTCCTACGTCCACGTCCCACGTCCACGTCCACGTCCCACCCGACAGGGCCCACGATCAAATATCCACACCCTGCACCTAGATTCCCCATCACAACTCACCAACGCTCACGCAACACGCCCTCGCCTCGCCTCGCCCTCCCACCCTACCCGCCTCTTGCCGCTGACTTCCGACTTCTTCCCGTTTACACTCTCCCATGCTCACGGTTTCCTCTCTTTTTCGACTGCCCCTCATTGAACAAGAAAAAATCAGCCTCTACCCTCCACACGAACACGACAACAACTTACGTTGAAGCGCAGACCGCTTCACCTTTCAAACTCCCTTCTTCGGACGACACAGCGACAGATCGGCCCCTAGCTCCTTCCCGAACCCCCCCTCTCTCCCTGGCCGTGACGTACGATTCAATAAATCGGTCGACCGAAATTTTGACGACTCCTCTCCGCCAGCTTGACGAAGACACCTCGACTTCTTCTACGGCCGCTATCAGTTCCCACCTTACGTAGGCAACTTGTGAGCGGACCAACAGCACGACACAGAGGCTGCGTTTCCAACGTCTGTCCTCCTGGTTGCGGGCTGCTACAAAGATCCCATCCGATTGCACACCTGTTGCGCCAAACCTCAGCTACAGATTCCACCCTTCTCGGCCGATACCGAAAATGAAGGGCCGCCCCATTGACCAGCTCGTTTACGAGCACATGTTCCCCAAGCCTCGCGCAAGCGATCCTCAGAACTTCCATGCTCTCCTGCAGCGCAGCCTGATTCTGGAGGTTCGTCAAGAGGTTCACTCCTTCTACGGCCATCTCGACACCCAAGAAGCCAAGTACCCGGGCTTGGATTACTGCAACCCTATCCATCGGATCCGTCTGAGTCGTTGGACCTGGCACCGCCGCTTATTCCGAGCGTTTGACAATCTTCGTCTGACCCCCAACGAGATTGCGGGTCTGACCAAGTGGGAGGGCACAAGATGGGCCAAGGAGCGCTATGAGAAGGAGCAAGGCATCTCAATCAGAGACACCGCGGGCGATGGCTTCCCTGACTGGATTGAGCCAGAGGACCGTCCAGCGGCCCCGGTTCGAAACCCTCGATCAAGGTCTGTGGATATGGACGATGCCACTGACCCTGGAGACGAGGACATGGACGGCGAAGAGAGTGAAGAGGAACTTGAGAGCGTCGGTGTTGCTCTGAATCAGCGATTGAGAGAGGGGGCAGCACGACGAGAGGCCGGAGACATGTCCACCGTCTTGGACGAGGAATGGGAGCAGTGGCTAAAGAACGTCATTGAGAGTGGCGAGCTGCCATATCTCTCAAACGACGACATCTCGCCATCGAGAGCTGATCCGGCAGCCGTTGCAGTTGTGCCGCAAGCACTCTTCCCTCCTCGCATGCTGAGCGCTGCCCGTGCTGGTCAGTGGCAAGACATACCCGACTTTCTTCACGACATTATCCGCCGTACTCTTGAGAACCAGAACGCCAGCAGTGGCGAGGAGACTGCAGCACCTCCCCGCTTGCCCTCTATCTCAAGTCGCAATGCGGCGCGCGAACGAAGAGGCACTGACGAACATCACATTGGCGGAATCACGAACTGGAGACGTACATATTCGGATCTGCGACTCCCTGTCGGCGACAGTGCAGCTAGCCCAAATTTGCAGAGGACGGCACAGGCACCCGGCGCCTAGGAAGTTTCGGCGCCTGAACTTTCCTCTCGTGGGCCTGAGACATATATTGACCGGACGCATGTGATTAGCGCGGAAGAGCTGTCTCGAACTGTGCATGAAATCATGGTGCCGAGCAGACGCCCACCGACCATAGACCGACCGATCATAGATCCCCTGACCGGCGAGCTCGATCTCGATGCCTACCATGCTGAGTTCGTGGGACCTTGGCCACCGAGTTACCCATACACCGACCCAGGCACTTGGAGCACAATGTGGAATTGGGCCCCGTTGTCATCCTTGGAAGATCTGCGATTTCCGTAGTGTCGACTCTCAGCAACGGGTGTGACGCGCCATTTCTACAAGTACCTCGACCCGCATCTTTAGTCGAAGAGGCGATTTCTCAGTCTGATTCTACTTTCTTACTAGAGTTTCTTGAGTTTCTGGGCAAAGGGAGGATTGCTCTATTGGAGCGACAGCTTTACTACACATTACTCGGTTATTCCCCCATATGGCGTTGGAAGGATTGCTCTTATGTTTCTGTGGGACTTGCAAGGGATTGGATGAGCGAGCACAAGAGCTTACGAGAAAACGAGAACTCTCTGCATTTCGAGGCCCGCATCCAACGAGGCCGTCTGTATCTAACTAAGAGCCCTTAGTTATAAAAGTGCTAATTTTGGCGATAACCCTGAGCAACTTTCTATTTGTGCAATGTATCGTGCCAACAAAAGTGTCATGCCCGTGAAGACAAATCAAATGCAATTTAGGCGCGACTTTTGGTAAAATATCTCAATTCAGTCGTTGGCTTGATAACAGCCTCGCGGCGTTCCTCCAAACGCCACGACCAGACCCGAGAAGAAGCACCCTGCTGGTAATCTTCCTGAAAGCTCTACCTGATAGTACCTTATCAAATAGAGAAATTACAGTCGCCACCCAACGCCAACTAACTCCTTAAAGCTTCAAACCCCAACCCAATCCGATGTTTTCTTTTCGTTGCACTTACTTCGTGACCAACCAAGCCTATAACACACGACGCACCCTATGCGACCGCCGCCTCAACCCCCCCGAAGGAGTATCGGTAACCTTTGGAGTTTCCTGCGGCGGCGTTTCCTTCCTTGGATCGCCCTTCCCGGGTTTCATCGAGCCCTTCTACGGCTCGAGGTGAGACCATTCGGGGATGGCCTTGATCTGTTGCCACATGTATTTCTCCAGCTTATTGGCGCTCTTCGCATACGGCGTAGATTCGTTATTGTACTTGCGACAGTTGTCAAAGACGAGCTTGGCGTCCCGGATAAAGTCCTCTGGCGTGGCGTACTGATCTGCTTCGAGTTTGGTCTCCATCGTACTAAGATCCATGGGTTCCTTGATAACTTCGTAGTAGTCGGCCACATCGTCCTTGTTGACGGGCACGAGGAAGGGCCAGGCGGACTGGTGGTTCTGCAGGTCGTTAAGGAGGTGGAGAAGCTGGTTGTAGTTGGGTCCGTGGCGGGGCTGGCGGGCGAGCTCGTCCATATCGGGGGACCAGCCTGATGCCCGGATGGCGCTGATGCTGAGCGGGTCAATTGGCTTTGCACCGGACTTCCATTCCTTTGGCGGAGCGTGAACAATGTGTGATTTCGAGTAGGCGCGAATCTTGGCCTGGACGCACTCCTTTTGCTTCAAGAGCATGCGACCCATTTCAAGATATCGGATGCGGGGCAGCATTGAACACTGCATAATCGTACCGCCCTCATAATCCTTGATGTATCCCATCCATACACTCTTATCTAGCGTGATCTCTTTGGTGAAACCTTGTTTCTTGAAGTATCCGATGGCGTAATTATCAGCGTACGTGAGGAAGTGCATCACGTCGCTCGTTGCCTTGACGTAGTCCTTCAGATGGGACATCAGATGTGCGCCGTATCCCTTAACCTGCTGATCAGAACTAATGGCGCAGAAGACGATTTCGGCGAACTGGCGGCCCTTGAAGGGCCGGTAGGTGATGCCACCGACAACCTCGAGGGGCTTCTTGACGATCGCGATGGACAAGTGGGTCCGGTCGTAGACGAGTCGCGCGATGTAGTCTTTCGGCATCTTGGGGAGCTGCTTTTGGAAAATGCATTTTAGACCGGTGAGGATGATGAGGGATTCACGCTCATTGTCGTTGTTGACTACCCGGAACTCGATCTCGCCGGTGCGCTCTTCGATGACGGCGGGCTGTCGCAAGTCGTGGTCAGCTTCAGCGGGTCCGAGTGGAGGACGCGCTTGGAGAGCGCGTAGCGAGCATCAACTGCGCGATGATCGCGATGCAGCTTTGGGGAGTAGGACTCACCTTTTCAGGGAAGGGGATGGGCTTCATCGCCGGCTTCTTTTCTGGTTCGGCCGACTCATTGTGCTTGACCCGTTTATTCGCGGTCGGGGAGGACGGCTCCTCCTCAGCCTTGCGCTTCGTGGCTGCGGCGCGATGTTAGTCCGTGTATAAAGACACATGATACACAACGGCCATGCGACTTACTCTCTTCCTTCATCTTGACCTCGATCGCGAGCCTTCGCAGGCCTACCTATGTCGATGAACCTTGTCGATGAATGATGTCGAAGTGGTGCCTGGGCGGTTGATGACATGCCGCGCTAGGCTCTGCCGTTTCTCCGTTGCCGGATGGCGCCAAGTGGGTCGATGCACAAGGGGAAAGTGGGATGGAGCTAATCCCTTTCTGGCTCAGGCCACAATTCACGGTGGGACCCTTTGAAGCTCAGAACACGTTTGGGGAAAGCTACAACCCGCGCTTCATGATCTCCCATTGACAGCACTTTCCGGATACATCTGGAGATTCACGATTCTGTGCAAGCCTTGTTCAACGGTCCGGACCACCTTCTCCGACATCGACGCAAACGACTCAGACATAACAAAACAATCAATTGTCTTCTCCTCGATCAGCAGATGGACTCCTCGTTGCTTGAGGTCTGGCAAGCTGCTGCTAGCACGCCGTTCCAACCCGCCGTCGCCAAGGATTCCCAATTCTTCATTGCGTTCCTTCTTCTCCTCATTGGTGTTGCTATCACTGGTTTCTTTGCTCTGAGTAAGCTCCGCTCGAAGACTTCCATTCGAAATTCATCGCCTAATTTTCAATACAGACCGGTCCTTCATCAACATCCCAACGCTTGGTGTGCCTGCCTCAGCAGCAATTGCGTAAGCCAGACAGCCTCCATTCCCCATTTGGGACCCTGTACTGATCATGATTCTAGATTCGGCACGGTTTACATGTTCTGCGCGGTCGGAGTCTACGTCTAAGATACCCCAAGAAGCTTTTCGAGTCGGCGGCGACCTTGTACTTTAGAAACAACCAAGAACTTCTATTCCACCAATTTCTCCATATCGGGTGACCTTCCACATATACAGATCTGCAGCACCAGTAGAAGTCATGGCGGCTGCTCTTCCCCAACCCAGTGCGGTACCGCAGCCGCTGTTCCGTGCTGTGGCCAGCTCGACGAGACCGCTGTATCAGTTACTGAGGACCATCAGCTTCTCCAACAAGGTCCATGTTCAGCTCCAGGAAGATGGTATCAGGTTCGCCGCGGATCTGTCTAGGGTCATGCAAGGCAAGTTTGACGACAAATGTTGATTGTGGACAGGATGACTGACCATCGTCTAGGTACTGCCTTCCTCGACAAGAAGCTCTTCACGTCCTACGCTTTGAATCTTGCAGATGATGAACCCTTGCCCAACTTTCAAATTACTCTCCCAGCACTTCTCGAGACGCTTCAAATTTTCGGCGCAGTGGACGTTGCAACACGCACGCAAAAGGCCGAGCAGGACCCGTACCGCAGCAATCTCCGCAACTACCGACCAGATGCGTTTAGTAACCAAACTCTGGGGATTGGCGGGACTTGCAGCCTGGTATATACCGAAGAGGGCGGCCAATTCAACATTATCATCGAGGAAAGCGGGGTCAAAACTACCGCCAGCCTCACAACCTATCTACCAGAAATCCCAGAGGAGATACCCTTTGACCGAGAGAATCTGTCTTTCAAAATCATCATGCAGGCGCGCTACCTTCTTGACGCCTTGGCCGAGCTGGCACCTACCGGCCCCAGCCGCCTAACCATATCAGCCTCGAAGAACCAACCTTACCTTTCCCTTTCCGGTGCTGGCGACCTGGGGTCTTCCACCGTGGACTTCGCCAAAGGCCGCGAGCTACTGGAGACCTTTTCAATCCAGGACCGATGGACCCAGACCTACAAATTCGATCTGATCAAGTCTTCGAGCGAGGCGATGAGAATCGCTAGCAAAATTAGCTTCCGCGGCGACGCCCAGGGCGTTCTGAGCTTGCAATTCATGGTTGAGGTAGAGGGCGGCGGAGTCAGCTTTTTGGATTTCCGCTTTGTGCCATTCATCACGCACGATGATGATGAGGATGAAGAAGGACAGGATGAGGATGAGTAATTCAAGGCAACATGGTGCCCTATCTACCTTACCTTAGTACGCAGATGAATGATAATGGAACTTCCTCAGGGCTGCCGGCATCGCACCGAGTTCGAATTGTCCGTTGCTATCTCTGGCTTTTCGCATACCTTCCGCTTGCGCCAACCTTGACAATAGACCGTGCTGCATTCCCGAGGCTAGGGCGAACAATGTGCGGCGCTAGCCTTTCCTTGAAGAATTTGGCTCCCAGTCCGCATATACGCCATGTGCGCCTCCCTTGAGAATGACAGCTCGGCTGTTGACCCACGGTCTTCACGCCAGCCTGGTGCCTCCAGCATCGATCGCGGGAGCTTTGTGGCTCTTGACTCCGGCAGAGGCAGCAGATGGTCTGTCCTACAGATGTGATGGGCTCCTGAGAACATGACGCGCTTGGTGAACGCCCATTCCTTGCGGAACATTCCAGCCATCGGCCAAGCCACCGTGGAGCTGGGCAGCGAGAACTGACAAAACTGATTCCCAGTAGGCCGGGGCTTACACAATAGGCCGGCCGAGGCAGGAATGTGACCGTGAGGAATTTGTTCGCAAACGGCAAGGGCGTTGACGGGGCGTTGCGACGGACTTGTTGATGTCTCAGTCGGGCTGAGGTATGCGTAGAGGCTGCGCGGGCTGCGCGGAGGGTATGCGTGGGCATGTTGGCTGGAATCTTTGTCGTTCCTGAGCCCATCATGGGCGTTGTCAGAGTGTGTGTTGACAGCCAGCGGCCACTATTTGCCCACGTCGCCCTCCCCGCTCTCCTCTTCCCACCCGGTAGATATATCTCTCGTCCGCTTGCGGAAACATCCTACTCCGCCTCTACCCTTTGCGGACGTACCATCGCGAACCGGTCCTGAACTAAAGTATCCTATCCTTCAACTTGTGGTGGTTATAGCTCCATCTTATTTTTCCCTGCTGCGCTTTTGTTTCTCAACTTTCCTTTGAACGCCTCTCGAGAATCCCACATCCTATCCGGCTCCCGATCTATCGTGTCCATCTGACAATTCGATTCCCGTCCCGCGTGGCTCTTCTTTTGTTCAGCATCGGCAAAGTCAGACTCATCTCTTTACTCTCGTGTCTTTAAAACCTCGTGGTCCATCCCGTCCATCCACCTTGATTTCCGCTCTCAGCATCACAACGCTCTCAACGCCTTTCTAACAATCAACATTCAAACAATAGCCCTTGTCGACTACTCTCTCCCAAAGCCTTCAATGAACACCCCTGGATCCTTCGGAATCGTCGATTACTCATTCCCAATGTGGTCCAAGAAGCACGTCGGTTCCTGGCTCGATGCCTTCAAGCCTGGTCGCCGCTCATCCACCTCTTCCTCCTCTACCGCTTCTTCATCGGCCCCGTCCTCGCCTCGGTCCGCCACCTTCTCCTTGTCCTCTCGCATTGGTTCCAACAGCCGAAGCGGCTCCTTGGCTTCTATAACGTCGATGGGCACCATGGAGGAGCAAGAGTCCCTCATGGGCGACCAGCCGAAGCGGGCCGCTTATGTCCCTCGCCACGCGGCCAAGTCGTATATGAAGACGACTACCTCCAAGGAGATTCGCAAGCAAAGCGAGATTATATGAAGGAGCTCAGCTTTGACCCAATCATTTCAAAAACAAAACACCAAAAAATACAATACTCGATACCCGGAAAGTCACCATTCTCCGACTCAGCCTATTCCAAGAGGAACCAACTCGTCAGACTATGACAACCAAAGAGTCCATTGAGATGGCAGACTATTCCACCTGACTACCATCTTGTTCCCTTGAGTCAAAACAACACTATTTACTCATATTTTCCTATTTCGAATCGATTATCGACGCATTTCCATGCAGTCATCAATCAACGGCGCTTGCTCGCTTTCTGCCACTTGGCAAGGATAGAAGTTATGGGCGGTTAGAAGACGTCCAGGAATAGGATCACGAAATGAGCCTATACTCTCTTTTGTACAAGGAAATCATCACCTACCAGAAAAAAGGCCAACCCAAGGGCCGCAGAGTCGGGATGAGTAAAAGGATGAGATGCTGGCGGTGCAACATCGCGCGCGAGTAATAGCAAGAAGGACTCGGCAGCCCGAGCTAATCAGATTAATATCAATACCTTAACATCCTTAACATCCTTAACATCAACACCCTTCAATGTGACTCTCTCCCTTTCCCGTGCTTACATATCCCCGTCTATGCTTGCAATAATTCAACTTAGTGCCAGATGTGGAAGCGGCTCGCGAATCCGACGCTGACCGGCCGAAAAGACGAGGATCTAATTGGTATTGCACCTTTAATTGGCGATGGGAAAAGCAGGCCTGTTACCCGCCGCTGCCGACCTCGTCGTGCCTCGCGCGTCGATCTGTAATGTCGTACGTGCGTACAGAGTCTCCACCCTCAAGAATTGTTCTATTACTTCTATTGCGGACCTTTTCTCGGCAGGATCGGACCTAGGAGGTCCCCAAAGACTAGACAACTTTCGGACGCCTGAGCTGCTGGAGCATACCTAGTCGACTGATGCCAAGTTGGGGCCTTGTGCGCGTTTACGTCCGTACGGACTCTGGGGCACTCGTTCCATGGGCCACACGCACTGAACAGAACAGGAGGATCAAGGGAAATCCATGGAAAATACGGACGGACGGCAGACAATAGATATGGGGTCACCAGGGGTGGAACATGGGGTCAGTAAATCACCGAGACCGACAGCTTCTCTACATGAAATAGAAAAAAAGACTCGGGAAGGAAAAACAAAAAAAGCAAGGCTGCCTCGAGAAAGTTGGAGAGAACGAACCACGATGTCTCAGCTCGTTGCTGTAATCCGAACAGCGAAGGTCGAGGGGCAATGTAACGCGGGCGGGCGGGCGGCAGGGGGGTTAAGAGGGACAGGGGAGTGATTTTGCAGCAGGATAGCAGAAGCTGCTGGCCACAAGGTGCCATTCGTGAGGTCGGAAATAGAACGGCTAGCCTTCTAAGGCTGTCTTGTCTTGGCCTTGGCCTGGTAGAGCTTAGGCGTATTACTCGGTTCCTGACTCTCAACGGCCTCGTCGGCATGGTCAATCAAGGCCATTCCCCAAGAAGCGAAGTCAAAAGTGAATAATTGACTAGGCGGAGTCATCGGCTGGAATTGTGCGGGAATCGCGCCGGGTGGGACTGAGAGGGGAAACAGCGGAGATCGAGACGAGACATGGGTTGTTCAGTGGCCTTGAAATCGGCAGAAGGAAAGAGCAACCGTTTTCTTTGTTTGAAGCCGTGGTACTGGTTGGTTGGCAAGAGTGGAAAATGGGCAGTAGGCTCGCCTGATTCTTCTCATAACAGTCGAGTTTCCAACGAGGATGTTGGGGATTCAAGACCAACGGTGACGATCCTCCGCAGCCTCCACGGCCCCCAAACCGAGTTGCTAGTTCAGGACACAAATATGGGAATCCTGCAAGGGCTAGGAAGGTTAATGGTGTCTCTGTGTCTCTGTGCCTCTGTCTCTGTCTCTGTCTCTGTGTTTGTGACTTTGTGTTGGTGTTTACCGGCATGTCAAGGACCAGAGAGAGAGAGAGAGAGAGAGCAGGGCGCCCTGGCAAGTTCAACTCAGTTTGGATGTCAGCTGGCGGGCAACTGTGGGGACACCTTACCTTAACAGCGGCCGCTAATAGCCCATGCCCAACTTATCCGCAACGCATCTGAACCTTCGCAACCACGCAACTTAGCCACAACAAATCAGCTGCAGGGCACTGGGCGGGCGGTATCGAACACGAACCCTTTGCTTCTTTATCACCGCCTTGGCCAACGAGCCGGCCAACCAACAGCGGCATATCATGTACGATGGACGTCACCGGTCGATATTCTGCTTGCCCGTTTACGGCCGCCGGGGAAGGGGAAAGACTACGAGAAGCAGTCTTCCGGACCCCCTTCGTCAGCTTGGTCACGCCCGCTTGGCTTGTCTGACTAACAAACGGTGGATGGAAGACTCTGCAGACTCGAGGACATCCACACATCCCCATCTCAGCCTGTGATGGGTGAAGATTCTCCTCCTGTCCTTCGAACGCATGCTGTTTCTGAAACAAGCCCCTCTCAATACTCATCCATTCCCACATCGCGTCAGAGGGAATACGCAGGAGAACGTGATCCGGAGGCCAATCTCTCTTTTTTCCAAGTTCCGAGTCGTATCCCCCGGCAGTATCGATTCGCGTCCTACCCCTCGTTCGGTACTAGAGGCTCTGCATCTCCTCGACCTGCGTCCGGTGGATGCGGGTAATGCCGAATGATTGACACTGGCAAGCCGCAAGCCTGGGGATTGCCTCGCCCCGTCAGTTCCCTGTCTGGATTATTCGGGTTCAGGGCCTCTCAATGAGGGACCGATTCCCTGCAGCTTGTTCTCGAGGGCTGCGCTGCCTGCACCAACCTAGAAGATATGGGAATAGTCACCCATTGGAGGCAGCGAGTTGCTGCTGTCTCAACTGCGGTCAAGCAAGTGCTTACCGCTCGGTGAGAGTGAGGTGAGACTCGGCACTTGAGAATCCCCATTTGGAAGATCTTCGTCGGTCAGCAGTTCGTTGGCAACCGCCGGCTTTTTGTTCTCGAGATCGCGGCATCGCCAGTCAATCCCAGCTCCAGATCCCCCAAGCGAGCAGGGCACGGCCCGGTTCCATGGTTCTCCTGGGAGCGAGCTGTCACCGTTTCGACGTTTTCCGCTGGCAATATGTCGTGCTCTCTGGGCACCAGCCGTCTTCTTTGTCAGGACGTTGAACAGCTTGCGATTTCTCCTGCTTTGGAGCTCTCGCAAACCCCTCAGTCGTGGCTGGCAGGTCGGTGCCAGGGTGACGGGCCGGATTAGATCCAACTGGTTACTGCTCTCTGCACGTCGCCGCCCGCGTCGTCGTACGGCGAGGACTTTTATCGAGTTGCATCTCGCTCTAGAATGCAGCTGACCGATGGTTTGTCGTTTAGTACGACGGCCAGCTCCAATAGTAAGATGGAGCGAATCCTGCCGAATCCCGCGCTCTGCGCCGGCCACGATGTTCCATATTGTCTCAATGGCTTCGCTGTCAATTTGATCACTTCATAAGGCTGACTGCACGATGCTGGAGGGACCTGAGGGGGAGAAACATGGAAGACAAGATTGGAGAGGGCGACAAGGTGTTCCAAACATAACAGCAAAGCAATATGAATTCATCTGTTCGCAACAATCACATATCTTACGCTGGATGGGCCGGCGATGAACAGATGCGCGATGCCACCCTCCCTTTGGGGCCGTCTACCACCCCAAGATCCCTCCGGAGAAGTCTACCGCCCCCCCTCGAGAAGAATTGTACTTTTGAAAGGCACAAAGGCCAGTAATAGCAACCGACAGACACAGTCAATGGCTGAATACCAAAATAACGGGAGCCGGGCAGCGAGCAACCCCCGGCCGGACTGACAAGGCACGACTCTGCAGCCTCCGCTCTCACGCAGTTTGCCTGCACAACCAGACAGGGGCCAGGTTGGCTTTTTGCACCGCCGCAACATGCATACACAGCACCGCAACGCACCACACACACACGACCACTTCCATTACCACCCCCCACCTGTCATTGTCCATGGGTAAGTAGATCTGCCCATCCAAGCTGATAGTCTCCCTGACTAACACCCCCAATCCGACCATGATAGGTACTGTATTGGTACGGGCACAATCATCAGCTGGTCCAAGATGGCCCCGACTCGCTTGCTTTTGTTTGTCCTACACGCAGATCCAGAACAACATACATACAAGCCAGCCCTCGGCCTCTGTCCATGTTTCCAGATGGCATCCATTATTCCTTTCCCCTTTGTCCTTGGGCTGATTCCCCCGGTCATGGATTTCCTTCCCAGTCACGTCACTCGTTAGGGACTGCAAGATATTCCTCCCCTCCCCTTCGTATTTTTTTCATATATGGCATGTACTAGACATGGTGAACCCATACTGTCCTTGAACTGCTGCATGAATCCCCTTTGTACGCCCAAGTCCTCGACAGCATGTCTCGGTCGAGCTTCAGCATACGGAGGCTCATCTCACCTCGCCGCTCTCAGACGATAGATGAGCGCCGTCATTCCGGAGACTCTGTTGGAAGCGAGGATATTTCGCTGTTCAAGTCTCGAAGAAAACAACAAAAATCAACGTCTTGGGCGCCGGCCAGACGCCCCTCCAAACCCAAGCCCAGAAGACCATCGAGGGAGGAGACCCTCGTACGAAGGACACAAAGCATCAAGAGGATACCGGCAGAAAGCCCATTCTGCCCACAAGGATCACCAAATTCGTCGTCGAGTTCTTTGTGCAGTTGCGAGTGTCATACAGACACCGCCTCAACCAACACCAGCTATGGCACTCTTTGTTCCCCTCGACTCCAAGAGAGGCCCTCTCGATCAACGGCCCCGAAACGTCTCGCGGAGCGTCGACATCTTTGTATATCTCCTCTATCACCACCTCCCAGCAGAAAGCCCAGACCGATGTCGACAGAAGCGGACATCAAGGCTCAAGAAGCTGGCGACATAGAACTATCAGAACATCCCGCACTCAGAGAGACCATGACCCCTCCACCTACCCCAGAAGACGATGGCTTGGACCGCTGGTCCCTCAATGTTCAGGAGCTTATCCGAGAAACCGACGAAGCCTTTAAGGCCGTAGGAACAGCAATCGAAGAGGCGAAGATGGCCGTGTCAACTTTCCCATCCCATATCAAGACCGGGTCCGCGTCTTCATCACCAACACCCCCTTCTAACATGGCAAAGCCTGACTCACCAAGCCTTCCACTCTTGAGGCTACAATCTCGAAACAGCACACCAGCGCTGCTGCCTCCATCAACGAGCACCGTGGTATCATCTGCCTCAAAGCCCAGAAGAAAAAATTCAAGGAAGTCCAAACGGGTCAAGATGAGATCAAAGAAGTCTGCCCGGTGGCAACTGGGAGAGGATGTAGCCGACATCCTCACCGGACAATTCTTCCGTAAAGTAGAAGTCGATGAGCTTCTTACCCCAGACCGCCTCCATGCGCTACGAATGGAGAGAGAGTCTCAAGGACAACCGCGCCGATCAAGCGATACTCTAAGGACTGTTAGCACCGACGGAAGCGAGACGCCCGTTGAGCCTTTTCACCTCCAAGACCTACTTTCTCGAATCGGAGCAGCTGGGACAAAGACCTCCGTGACACCTTCTGAGGCCATGACTCCACCCGAACTTCTAAACCCAAGTGTACTACGTGACTTGCCCTTCAGGGAAAAGCCGCCGCGGAGGAAGAAGCCTGTCACCAAGGATGAGTACGAGGCGGAGGATCCGACGCAGGCTGCTCCTCCTCCACCCGCAAAGAACCCGGCGAGATTTCTTCCTAGACCGCAGCCGCCGCTATTACCAACGATTCCCGAAGTCGTCGTCACCACACCCGACGTGGGGGGTCATTCGGCAAAGCACAGCAATAGGACTCCACGAACTTTCGCGCCCGTGGACGAAGACGACTTTATCTTTTTCCAATCAACGCCGTTTACCTTCAATCACTCCGCGTTCCGACACGGCAACATACGCTTTCCCAAGTCAGAAGTCGTCAAGGGGCTGAAAATCGACCCCGATGACACGCTAGACTGGACGGCCTTTCAGATGGCCATCCTCGGTGGCGCGGGCGACCTCTTCTCAGATCCCGCGGACTTTTCACAGAGGGCAGAGGCCGAAGAGACCGCCGACCTGGCAGCGTGGTTCGACGACTTCGGCTTCGACAGCCACGGCCGCCTGCTCACCAGCGACGCCGATGAGCCGACGAGCCGGCTGCAGCTTAGGTCCCGCGCGTCTACTCTAGACTGCTCGCCAAGGTCCTTTGGCAGAGTCGCGCCGCGGGACAGCGACCTGCCAATTCCCGTAAAGGCCGAACATCCCACCGGGTTCTGGAACGAAGGCAACGTCAATGTGTCCAAGTTCCTGACGCAAGGGTGTAACATTCGGCGGTGGACAATGGAGGGGCAGCAGCAGCACCCAAAGCGGCAGAATCGCGAGAGCATCGGGAGCCTGCCGCCTAGTCCGATGATGGACCTGGTCATGATGAGGGGCTCTGATGGGGAGCCCGAGGTGGTGCCTATGGGGTATAATCTGGGACACGACCTCGGGGATTTCCTGCGATGGGAGGCGGAGAATGTCTATGCTACGGGCGTTTACTGAGCGGTATTGGCTCACGTGGATATGGGATTAGAATCAGATTTGAATACCTAGGTGTCTGGTATTGTGATGTTACAATCAACTCGGATGGCGTGTAAACTTTCTCTCTCCATCTCTCTTCGACACTGTCTGTATTCCACGAATTAGTCGACATGTCCTTCTGCCTAGCAAAACCAGCGAAGCCAACTTCTGTCAAACAGGCACCAACAATCCAACATCGCAACGTCACAACGAGATGGGTATTTTGAGTCCCCTAGGGCTGACTTGCATGCAGTCACAGTGCCGCTGCTCTCCCACCTCACAGGTGCAGCTTCCAAGACCGGCCCCCGCCCTGAGCCGGATAGTGGACCCTCCCTCGCCGCAGCGAACGCCGGCCCCCATGACAGACACCCACGCATCCCCCCACCACCACCACCACGGATCGCCCCGGCTTGACCCGCTCGCACCATCCGTGGATGTTTTTTTTTTTTTCTCTCTTTCGCGCGCGCCGTCGCCTGTCCCGCCAGGGTCGCGCTGAACCTTAACGGAAAAGGGACAACCAAAAGCACAACGACTCTCAACTTGCATATCAGCCACAGTCTCTTCCAGACGACCCACGATATTTTCGGCCAGAAAGACCATCCCCCACGAACCATTCACCGAATTTACGTACTTCCGTACCTTGCATAGCATCGCATCGCATCCCGTTGCAGAAATCCCGCCTCGTGCTGCACTGTTCAGGCCTGTCGTTGTCTTTAGCTGTCCCCCCTGTGCCGCGAACTCACCCTGACGGGACTCACCCGACGCTCACTCCATCACTCATTACACTCCACGACTGTAGGCTGTCAACCATTGCCTCTTACGAACTGTCATTCCTCCCGAATACAACGCTCCCGAATTCTCAGCCCCGGGACGTCAATCGACTACCCTTCATTCCGAAGAAAGGATCAAGGCAGACCCCCTCCTCCCGCTAGGCTACAGCTCCATCATCCACCGGCTTCACTTCACTCATCACATCTTACCTTATCTCATCACATCTCATCACACACACACACACACACACACACACAAACCATGCTCCGCCGCCCCGCAACAACCCTCGCCATAACGGCAGAGGACATCGCCTCCTACGAAGACCGCCGCGCCCGCGAAGCCATCGTCCGAGAACGACAGGTCCTCGTCCAGGCCCAGCAACAAGCCCAGCAGCAACACCAACAACGACACCAAGCCGCCCTGGCCGCGCAACAGCAGCAGCAGCACCCCTTTTCCTCACCCGCACCGCAACAGCAATCGTCGCCGGAGCATCCACAGCAGCAGAGATACACGCAAGCTCAGATCCACCAGCTGCAACAAATGCAACGTCTGCAGCAACAGCAACAGATGCAGCAGCAGCGACAGGGCCTAGACGATGACAGTATGCTCACGGCGGACGTGGACGTTGACGAGAGCTTGGAGTACGACGAGGTGCAGCAGCGGGAGCTGCTTCGAAGGCAGCAGGAGATGATGAGGGCGCAGAGGGGCCAGGGCGGGCGCGGCGGCAGCGGGGTGCAGACTACGCCTACGCCGGGGGATGGGGGCCGTGGGGGACGGACGAGGGAGGAGAGGATCGGCGTTGGGCGGCGTGGGAGGTAGAGACTCGTGGCAGGATATCGCCGATGTTGGCGACGCGCGGTATATTTCATCGTTGTTGGATAGGAGAACGGTTGGCGCTTTGGAACGTTATTTTCCGCGGACACGCCTTTCCATGTGGTTTTTCATGTTCGTTTACGCGTCGTTCATCTGAGACTAGAATTATGGAGAACTTGGAACGTCACGCGTGAGATATGTCTCGGGCAAAGTATGTTCATCTGTAACTTTCTGAGGGATCTCAGTCTTCTGGATGGTAACAAAGAGTAACCCCTACATCAAACTCATGCGAATCATCGTCAAGTCGTACCCGGTGATCTTAAGACCAACCATCCTCCCAGCATAGCCAGCCCGCCCAAACCAATTTGCTCAAGAAAGAGCACCAAGACAAATTCCACGCTTCCCGCTTGCAGTTGAAAAGTAATGAATAAAATAAAGATATAAACGAGCGCTTGATGATTTGAAAGAAATCCCTTTAACCCGGAACCTCGAGAAGAGAAAAAAAACATCTGTCTTTTGGAAAACCAACACCGCGCGGGAGACGGAGCCTCCAGAGGCCGCCTCTCGGATGATGTACACCGTACCAAATACAACTTTGGCCGTAACAGTCGTTTGTAGAAACGTGAAAGAAATTCTGTACAGTTTGAAATCCAAAAAATGTGTAAGTCGCTGACGCTGGCACTGCAAAAAGTATGTGAATCGAACGAAAGAGATGGAAAGTTGAAAAAGTCGCTTGGTCTCGTGTCGCTGGAGGAAGGAAATGACCGTTTCATCTCGTCTGTATGTATGTATGTATGTGATCAAAAGGGCATGCTAAGCAGAGCGTCCGCCCCAGAAGATGAATGGACGCCGGATCTGCGGTCTCGCTCGATCTCTCGGGATGGAGAGGATATATCGTGCATCTGTCAAGGTTTAGCATTCGTCATCGCTCATCGCCGTCGAGACATGATCTACTACTTACGTTGTAGAAGACGTTGGCTTGCCTGATACCAGCAACCTCTGCCAAATATTTGAGACGACCCCTTAAGAACCTTCTCTGTCTGGGGGTCGCAAAGTCGCTGCTGCAGGCCGTGACCATGGGCCACAAAACCATCAGTCCAGCAGCACCCTTCAAAGGATCATCTGGCTTGGTGTTGCCGCATGGGAACTGAGCCACAACCACGCCGTAGCCATTCCACTTGCAAAAGAAAGGGGTCGAAGCGATGGTATCTTCGATTCGCAGGATAGCCGAGCGCTTCAGCTCTTCATACTCCTCGCCCATCCGATAGTCGTCGGGAGACACGAGCCATGCCATGCACCGCAGAATGGTCGTGGTGAGCATCAGATGGCAGCACCAGGTGGCGACGTGCAAAATTGCGAGAGGCAAGTTGAAGAATCCGTACACAGGCCCTGGAAATGTGTGCGTCGTGTCGAGTTCGTCGTCGGATCGCTCCAGTATCCACTCCACGGTATCAACTTTCCACTGCGGGCTTGGATCGTTGTTGAGCTTGCGAAATTTGGCCTCCAGCGCTTGAGCACGCTTGAGAGCATCGAGTACCTTCTGGATGGTCTCCGGCTTGCGGTCCCCCGCGCCGAGAACTCGATCGACGTCTTGCCGAATCTGACTGCTCTGGATGTCCATGCTAGCAATAGCATGCTGCATCCGACCCCGGCATTCGTGGTGCAGAAGCCATGTGAACTCGGACACCTCGGGAGAGTTTGGGAGACAGTGGATAGAGAGGCACTGGTTTCGGGTAATTGCAAACATCTCTTCGCCTTCCGGTGTCTCGAGTCCCTTTTGGCCCCTTAGTTTGACAATGATTGCCGCACCTTTCATGTGGTTCGTATACTCGGCGATCGAGTCTCGAGAAGACGTCAAAATCTGTCACTTGTTAGCTTGTAGTTCTCAAAAGTTCAGATCAACAGACATACCTCGTAGAAGGCCAACATCAGGACGGCCCCTAGAGTTTGATCATTGAGCACCTCTCCAGGGTCCATTATAGCTTTGTTGACGGCCCGGACCGCCCGTAGATAGTGACCTTGTGCGTGAAACAGAGCAGCACTGGCATTGACCGTACGTCGGCTGGCCAACGCAGCCATAGAGACAGCCTTGTAAGCCTGAGAGAGACATTTGGAGACGTTCGTTCCGCTGAGGAACCGAGGAAGGAAGCGGTAGTACCCTCGAGCCGTGGGCGTAAACGGGACAATGATGAATTCCGAGAGGAAGTAGCAAGAGGCTTGCTCATCCAGCGAATTGAACATAGATGCTGGAATGTCTTCGTCTTCTTCGGTTGTATCGTCGTCATTGTGGTAAGGGAAAGCAGCGGGATTCGAGTAATCGAACGTTTTGTATTTCGGACCAGCAACCGTCTTCAAGCACTGCTTGTTGCAAACGGGCGCAATATCTTTGCCTTCCTCGTCGGAACTCTCCTCGCCTCTCGACTTTTTGAACCTCTTGATGGTCGCTTGCGTTTCGTCGCGGATGTTGGCCTCGAACGGATCTCGGTAACCTGGACATTGCCGCCGCGACTTCTTGCATCTCATGCAGAATGGCTTCCCCTCATCGCACTTGATCCTCCTGGCTCTGCACAGCTTGCAACCGCCCGAAGGCTTTCCCGTGTTCACCATAATCGTTTTGGGCAGTGCTGGGACTGCAAAGCAGGTTTGTAGAACAAGCCGAAGGTGATCGTTCCGAGGGGGGGCTGTGAGGGGTCAAGCTCTTTTTCACAAGTTGTCGGAACAAAAGCATAAGTTCCCGAGGCCGATTGTCCGCAACGATGGAATACAACAGAGAAAGTGAGCGGGATGGAGGGGTAGAAGCTCCTATGTCATAGCGATGAACCACATATTCTTCATTGAATACGGGACCTCTAAGGCTGAGTCAACATGCTGTATGCCTGCTCGGAAAAAGAACAGCGGAAGGGCTGGATCACCGATGGGACGCTCTACGAAACTCTGTGGCAGCAACTCGACGCGCTGGCAAATAACAAGAGTTCGAAATGATCAAACGGTACCGCGCCGTTGGTGGAGGACGATCTTGATAGTCACAGCATTGGGCAGCCTGTAGCCTATGCTGCCTGGTCTTTCGGAAGGTTTGTTTCATGCACTGCTAAGCCCTGACGATTCGTCGATGATGGTGATCAAGGGTGGCCCCATCCGCTCGTGCGCACATTGTTTGAGACGGCAAACGAAATGTACCGTGAGAGGGGAACAAAGGCTGGGGTTCTTGTGTCGATCATGTAGGGAAGAACCCGGCTCTTCGGCAAGCCGGTCGATGGATGGCACCTCAGACAGGTGTCAGGGACTGCGTGTGCGTATGTGCGCTGCATCGTGGTGGTGGCCTTGTAGGGCACTTTCACCGACTGCCGTGCGAAAGGTTTGCGTGACGGGCCACTAGAAAGCCGTTGAGAGTATTTTCAATCTAAACAATCAAACGTAAATGGTTCATACCGAGAAGTCGGCAGAGTCTGATCGCAATGACGCGCCGCCGTTGGTATCGACTACCGCCGACTATGGTGCAAGGGTTCTTGCTCTGGCATACTGCACTCGGCTTCGGCTCCGAATCCGGCTCCAGAATGGAAACAGATTGAAGTAACGGCAGATAGTCCTCCATCATGGAATCTGGCGGATCTTTGGATTCCGCGGGGCTGAGCACGTCAACCTCCAAGCTGTTCACACTCTGCGGGCCGCTGGCGGGCTAATTAGTCCCTCGACATCAGGGGGCAGGTAACTTCGGTCGACAGGGTTCCATGGCTGCTAACGAGTCGAGCAGCGGACACAAATCAGTGTTTGCTGAATCTCCAGTTCCAACGGCCTGGTTGTCGGGTGGCTGTCCACACACACGCGACACTTGACGGCGTGGAGCAGATTTAGCCATTCGTCATCGTGGCTGATGGGATCGTTTCGTCCGATCGTGGGCCTCCCAAAGAGGAAATTCGGTCGTGGGTGTCGGCCTTTACGGCGTAGAGTCTAAAGTCCTGAAGTGAATCTAATGAGGGAAACGGGCTCCAACCCAATTATTGAAGTCCGTCGAATGACACAGAAACCCGTTCGGCATCTTGCGTGGTGATCAATGTCCAGTCTGAGCAGCGCCCTAACAGAACGTCGACGCATTTACTCGATCCACACGATTACGTCGACTTGGTCTGGCGAAATCGATTACGGCGATGCCCGAAAGATGTTTCTCTCAGTCTATCAAGAGCCGTGAGGGATGTGACACTGGCGTTGCATCTTGATCGTCTTGGGCAAGTATGGATGGATGTTGAAGTTCCCAGTCAAGATTCACTGAGGTATATGTACATGATACCAGCTTGCTTATATAAGTGGCACAAGTGGAAACGAGAGCCGCTCTCTCGGCTTTAGTGAACCCCCACGATGATCTACCAGTTCTCCACTTCAACGTCGGGGAGGCGGCAAGCTTATTTCTGACTTCAATGAACTGTCACCTTTCATCCATTTCAATGGTCACCAGCCTGACGGTGCACTGGGATAGTCTCACAGACTGACATGCATCAGAATATGCACTGATGTGGCAACTCTCTTTATCCCGTATTCCGTATTCGGGGCTGTCAACCTGTCTACGCCGTTTGACATCTATACGCTATTGGTTTCTTACTTGAGGGTCCGAGGGCGACTTTGGCGGATCTTCAATGCGCTCTTTTTTTCATCAACCAAGTGTACTGAGGAGTTGGATAATGTGATCAAGTTGGCGGACACACTATCGAAACCCTGGATGGGATGAGGCCTGGTCTGCAAGCACCGTCAAAGCCTTCTAGGTGCATTGTAATATGGGCCTTGATTGCGACTGTGATCCGCCAGTCTAGACAACTGTAATCTCAAAGTCTACATATCGACAGGAACACGGCGCCAAGACGTCTATCAAATTCGTTCCGAAAAACCCGCAAGCGAACGACCCGCCGGCGGGGTTCAAGGCCTGTGATGCCCAAGTCCTTCTTTCAGCTGTCGTTGTCAATCTGTCAGGGGCATCGATGTTTACGAGGATGCGCAAGTTTACCAGGAGTGCCCGAGCTTAGGGATCCATGGCAGCCTTATCCGGATACTGTCGAACCGACCCTTCGACGCATATATCCAACTGAAAACTCGCGTCGATGGGTCACGAAGGAAACCGAGCATCTCAGTTCAGGATTACGCACTTTCGTCGCCTAGTATGAAGCTTGCCCAAATAAGCGCAGAGTGAGCTCCCATGGATAATTACGCTCTCAGAAACTGATATTCGAGGGCGTGGCTGGGTCTACCCTGTGTCAAAACTTCGGGAGTTGCCCATTTGACTTGACTTGAGAAAACACCGCCGGGATGCGCGGAGAATTTCGCCCAGACAACTTTCTCTCTGAAAAGTTTGACACTTAGTTTTTGCCCTTTGATGCCTCTGTGGCTCTCGGCGATTTACCTTTGATTATACTTTCCCCCATAACTCGGACGATCCGTCTAGGATAACCAAGGCGGCTCAAAAAGAGATATGGGGAAATATACCAGTTCGTCAACACATCAAATCTACGGCACTGAGGCCAGCGACCTGTCATCTCTTTTGAACGAACAGCACTCGCCTACTTAGCATGGTGACGTAATACCATCGCTTTCGTCACTACCCAGCTTGTGTTAGAGGAGCGTTGCCCATCAGGCCCCAAGGCTGTCGAGAACACCCAGCCAGTCAGGACAAGCCGTTCGGGGTTTGGGCAAATTTCATAGCGGGCGCTCACTATCCCAGTCTTTCGGGTAAGCGGCTGTCTGGCTGGCAGGGTGATCCCATTGACTTTCCGGACAAGCGAGCCTTGATATTGTCGATCAATTCCGATCTCCGAAAACGAGTTTTGAGCACTCATGTCATTGTTAAAGCTTCGAGAACTGCTGTCACGGTGTCACTTGAGCAAGCGCGGCGTCTGTCGCCAGTCAGTACATCGGCCATCATTTGTGAGAGGAACCCATCTTGTTTGGTGAATTTTTGAACTTTCGGCTACTCGGTGAATTCTTCTTGTTCCTGAAAAGCCCGAGCTGGGACAGCTTGATGCAAATCCCGATTTCTGATCTGGCAGTCCAATCAGTGCTGGTTCGGAGATAGCCGGCCACAAGCGGGGCGTGTACACGCCACAAAGTCGCCTGGGCGCAGAAGATCAGGAGAGAAATCAGCACCACCCGAGCTCTTTCTTCGCCCAAGAGACCGACATGAATAGGTCACAAGATGCTGCTGGTAAGACTTGGGTGCAGCCGGATGCGAGAACAATTGAGCAAGCCCGACTTACGAGTCACGAGAGCATCCGGTGCGCTATCTCAAATGTTGTTGCTTGGGAGGTTTGAAGCAGTGGATTGGAATCACTTCCAATGGCGCACTCCGCTAATTATTCGCAGATCTTGCCTCATCCATTACTTCAGGACTCTTCTCTCCCTTCACAATCGTTTACTAATGTATCCGTACGGGAAAAGAACTTATGAGCACCATGACTTCAAGGTGCTGGCCAGTGCACCGAATCCTTCGGCCGGGTTAGGCCCCACAATGCCCCGAACGTTATGCCGTTCAGGCTCTCGCTCCCTTCGGCATAATATTTCGGCCGACTCAACCTGGTGTACCTCAATAGCACGTCTAAACGAAGAAAACTTGCGCAAGCAAACATCATAATTTCCTCTAAGCCGGCTCTTAATCCGGTCGTACGGTCTCAGTCGGGCTACCCTCGTGTCTTGCGGACTTGGCTCCTCGGCGGCGGACTATGACTTGCTCGGACTTTGCGTACCGTAGGTGGTGAATCAGAACTTTTGTAATGATAGGCCGACCGGCTCGCACTCGGTCGCCCATGATGCCATTCACGGCGCCCTACCAACGTGGCCTCGACGGTGGTTGAGCCGCACCGGCGTACGGCTTACCAACGGAGCGGGTCTGTTGGGTGAAATTTCTCTTGTGACCAATCTAGCCTTGGCTTGGGCATGGTGATTGCCATATAAGGCTTTGGAAAAGGCCCGTCACTGATTCACGATATGGCTGAAGAGGACTCATCTTACTATCACAGTTCAAAACAAGGAATTATACCACGGGTTGAACTCAAGTTAGATTTAGTCTTGACCCCTTTTACCTCCTATCTTGGACACAGTCACCCTTCTACAAATGACTACAACACAAACAGAAACACCAGCAGTGGTGCTGGAGAAACAAACCACACAAATCGACCAAAATGGCAAAGTCGTCTTCAAACCCTCAAGGGAGTTCCTCCTCGCCTTCGGCGCCCTTTGCTCCGTCGCACTAGCCGTCGCCTTTGACGCAACAACCCTCTCCGTCGCCCTCCCGACAATGAGCGTCGCCCTCGGCGGAACCGCCCTCGAAGCCTTCTGGTCCGGCACGAGTTTCCTCCTGGCAAGCGCCGTCCTACAGCCCACTGTCGCCGGGCTGAGTAGCATTTTTGGGCGGAAAGCCCTCGTCTACGTCTCGGCCGCCTTCTTCGCCGCGGGCTCCATCGTCGGCGCCGTCGCCAACAACTTCCACGTCGTCATCGCGGGGCGGACCATCCAGGGCGTGGGCGGCGGCGGGATCCTCGCCCTCACCGAGGTCATCATCACGGACCTCGTCCCGCTCGCGGTGCGGGGCCAGTGGTTCTCGCTGCTGTCGGTCGTCTGGTCGGTCGGTACCGTCACGGGGCCCCTGATCGGTGCCGGATTCGCGCAGAATATTTCCTGGCGGTGGATATTTTGGATCAACCTCCCCATCATTGCCATCGGCATGGTCATGATTTTCTTCTTCCTCAAGCAAGCTAAGGTGCCGGGCCAGATAGGAACCAAGCTCAAGAGGGTCGACTGGCTCGGGAGCTTCCTGTTCACGGCGGGTTCGACGAGTTTCCTGTTTGGTATCTCGACAGGTGGTGTCATGTACGAGTGGACTTCCTTCCGGTGTCTGCTGCCGATGATCATAGGTGTCTTCATTCTTGTGGCCTTCGGGATCTGGGAGCTCAAGTTTGCGCAGGAGCCCATGATTGACAAGGGTATCTTCAGCAACTGGACCATGGTCGCCAACTACATTATGACTGTCTTCCATGGCATGATTCTCTGGTCGATTCTCTACTTCCTTGGTAAGCCTTCTCCTAGCAGCCTCAACACTTTGGAGACCGTTCACAGCTAACTTACACCTCGTAGTCCTGTACTACCAAGCCGTCAAGGATTACTCCGTTGTCATCTCCGCCGTCGGTGCCCTCCCAGAAAGTCTTACAGTCGCACCCTCCGCCATGGCCGTCGGCCTCATCGCCGGCGTCACAGGCCGGTACCGCTGGTCTCTCTGGGCCGGCTGGGCGCTGACGACCCTCGGCGCAGGCCTCATGTGTCTCATGCGGCCCGGCACCAGCGTCCCCGCCTGGATCTGGCTCAACATCCCCATCGGCATCGGCACGGGCATGCTCTTCCCCGCCATGGCGCTCTCGATCCAAGCCGCCTGCGAACCCGCCCTCAACGGGCAAGCCGCCGCCTTTTACTCGTTCCTGCGCACGTTTGGGCAATCCGTCGGCGTCGCCGTCTCGGGCGTCATCTTCCAGAACGCGTTTCGGAATAGGTTGCTCGATATCCCCTCGCTGGCGGACGTTGCTGAGGAGTACTCGCGTGACGCGACAATTGTAGTGGAGGTGATTAAGCGAATGCCAAAGAGCGACCCTACGAGGACGGAGCTGGTGGAGGCGTATTGCGATGCGCTGCGGGCGATTTGGATCAGCTTGATTGCGTTTGCTGGGTTCTGCGTGCTCATCAGCGTGACGGTGAAGAAATACAGCTTGGACCAGGAGCATGTGACGCAGCAAGGGCTGGTCACGAGCGACGACACAAGTAAGGAAGATGAGGAGAGCCAGGGAGGGGATCTGGAAAGGGGGCAGAAGGTGAGATCTTGAGATGAGTTTAGTCCTTAAGAAAGGGGTGCGGGTTTTTTTCAATATGGGTTCTGCCAGTCTGGGAGCTGGATATCGCCTCTCCCTTCGCTTACTTGATCTCTTTGAGGGTTGAATATTAGACATCGCCAGAGTTGGGTCATGGTTATCAGAGTTCTAGAGATTTGGGTATAGCCTTGATCCTAGAGAGGATATATCTTTGATCTTCTCATACTTCTTCTACGTAATACCTAATGATAGAGTGAGTAGAAGTACTCTGCTTCACCCCGTCTCACAAACGTACCACGATATCATCTTCCAAACCTTTGAGCGCCCCCTTGATCACAATGGACCCGCGTCCCTCGATCGTGAGAAGCTTCTCCGAGCGCAAAAGAGGGCTCATATCCAACTTTGTGCCCTATTTCCTTCCACCTCTCGAATTTGATTCCCCTTTTACTTTTCCACTTCACCACTCTCCTCTTCACCTTCAGAAAAGGGCAGCAGTGGTGATCCAAGCACCAACTTGAAGCTGAACCAACTTGCTTCAGGGGCAAAGCAACAAAGTGTGATTCAGTTCTACCCTCCTTCTTTTTCTTTTTTTCTAGGCTTTGCTAAATCCAAGGTAAGTTAGTGCCAGGTGTTGAAAAATATTTGGTAGAAAGGGAAGTAGCTCACCACTTCTAGAACTTACCAGCCTTCACCTCGGCCCTTGCTCACGATAGCTTCACTTTGTTCACTTCAGCAAAACGAAACAAATTGCCTAGCGACGGGAAATTCTGTAAAGAAGATACAGGGAAGTGTACGAAACAAGGCAGGCGAAAACAAGAGACAGAAAAAAGAACAACGAAAAAAAGGAGTTTCGATTCACCAAACAGGCACCCCTCGCCCCTTGACAGACATACTGCAGCATACCTCAGGTACCGATAGCCCAAGATGTGTCGCCGCGTCTACAAGCACTACACAGCCTGCGGCTGCGTCCTCAACGCCCTATTCTACGACAAGTGCGTCCGCGGCCCGGCCTCGCCCCTCTGCCAAAAGACAACCGGCATCGTCACCCGCAACGGCGAGACATGCCCCTACCACACCCGCGTCGCCCGCCGTCAAGACCGCCGCCGCCGCCAAGTAGATGGAGGAACCCAAGACTCGGAGATAATCCGCATGTCCATCGAGGATCCCTCCACTTTAACCGGCACCGGCAAGGAGATCACTCCCACGAAGCTCGAGGACCGCCACAAGCTGGGCGACTTCCAGTTCTTCATCAAGGACCTTGACACGTTCCTAAAGAGGCTGTCGGAGCCTGAGAATGAGACCCCGACCGAGTCTCAGCCCGAGCCCAAGCCCAAGAAATCGGGAAAGAACGACCAGCTCAAGGACAAGAAGGTGAGCCCCAACCTGTCCCCCCTCACCGGCTGCTCAGACTGGACCGACGACGACGAGAACGACAACGCCATCGCCCGCCGCATTCGACGCGAGCGCCTTAAGAAGGAGTTCCGTGCTTTCGCCCGCGAGAATGAGAAGAAGAAGGCGCTCTTCGACTTGAGCGACGAGCTCATGAGCTCCGACTGCGGCGATGACAATGACGTCTCCGACAGCAGCAGCTATACGGACCCGGGCGATACGTATCCTTCGCCCATGAGCTTGAGCCCGTACTTCAACAATGAAAATGACAGCGACGTCTCCGAGAGCAACGAGTCGTCGGACGCGGGTGATGTTCATCCTTCGTCGTCGAGCCTGGATTTCGATCAGGGAGATGACAGTGTCGTCCCCAAGAGCAGCAGCAGCAGCGATTCGGACCACAGTCACATGATATCTACGATTCCGCGCCCGGTTCAGCGCGATGGCGCTCTCTATGCGGATCTCTCGTGGCACACGCGTCCCGAGAACTCTGATGATGACATGGGAGAGGATGGAGAAACCGAAAATGCGCCTGATTACGACAGCGAAGACTCGGATACGCCTGATGCCGACGAGGATGATGGAGGAGACTACGTCCCGGAGCCTACCTGGCCTCCCACTGGGGTTGAGTGGACCTCCAAGCTCAAGTACATGAGTGGAATCCCCCGCCGCGCCGCCGCGATGATCGATGATTGGAACTGAAAGGTATCCGATTTGAAGAACTCTGACGGAAGACACTAAGGTCGCTGATTAAGAGAGTTATGATAAAATGATGGCATGGTGAAGGCAATGGAAACAACCGCCAGAATGGTCTAGGCGTCTTGTATGTGTACCTAAGCTGTCACCTGTATTGATAGCCAAGAGATTGTTGCAAATCTCAAACGATGTGATGATTTCATGTCTCATTGCCCTGTGTGCACTCTTCCGACTTCCAGTCTGCAGAGGAACAAGTTATACATACGTGGAAGTGGAAATGCCGTTATATCCCAGCTAAATTACCCAGCCAAAATCCAAATCTCCTCAAGTCGCTCAAAACAACCCGCTAAACTCAGTACGCCTCATGATGGAATTAGTTCCGAATCGGCGGAGCTGGGTATTGTCGTCCCCCAACGCCAGAGATGACCGGGCTTTCCCCGCGTTCTCTCCACCGCTTTCTATCTCTATCGTCTCTCAGTTCCCGATCGCGGGGATCCCGAGGGTCCCATGGGGGCTCGGGCCTTCCTCGCATGCGATCCACGTCGGCATGACTACTCGTTCGGCGTGTCGCTTCGGGCCGTACGACCGGTCGTTCTCTTCGCTTACGAGCCTCCATATCTTCTTCTCTCTCCCAGTTCACGACGCGGTCACGCTCGCGTTCCGGGACCCTTTCACGGTCTCTCTCTCTTTCTCTTTCGCGTCTACGGTCTCGGTCTCGACCGCGATCTCTCTCTCTGGCTCTCTCCCTCTCCCGTTGCTCTCTTTCCTCCAGTTCTCTACGTTCTCTGGCTTTAAATCGGCGGCGGCGCTCTTCTTCAGAGTCCGAAGCCTCCGAGTCTTCCGACGCTATGTCAGGCCAACTCCGGTTGAGCTTAGAAGAAGGCAAGTGCTCTCGGCTACGGCGAGATGGCGGATCGCTTCGGCGACCGGAGGTGCTTCGATGTCTTTCTGGTGATCGACCAGTAGGAAGGATAGACGCCACTTTCTCACTAATTTTCTCCCGGATGCCATCTACCACTGGTATACTACGACGCCTTGCGTCTTCTGGTCTCAATTCCGCACGATGTACACGAGTGACTGGTGGCGGCTGGGGTACCGAGGGAGCACCCATGCGACGGAAGCCAGGTGGCGGGGGCTCGTTTGAATGATGTGTATGAGGCCGGCGTTTGGATCGTGGACTCCCCGTGTCCTCAGAGTCAGACGTTGAGGACGAAGAGTAGTGTCGAGGTTGACTGTGTCGGCGGGGTTGCATGGGTGGTCGATTGGGATGCAGGTGCTCGGCGTTGGCGTGCAGTGGATCCTGTGGAGGGGATGGGTAGTCAGAAAAGCTACGGCGTCGACGGTCGTCAGGAGAGTTCTGTCCTCGGAATCGATCTTGGTCCGGGGTCCTCTGGGGAATATTGAGGCGAGACGGGGGGTACCGATTCGCGGAGTGACCCCCGGGAACATGGCTGTAAGCAACCGGTGGTCGACCTGGCGGAACGAAGTAGTCTGCTTGAGGACCACGAGGCGGAGGTGAGGGCTTCGGTGACCCCTTCGGAGGGTAGGGATTCCGGACGTGCACGTATGCTGCCTTCACTCTCGGCTCGTCTCTTTCTGCTGGTCGACTAGGGGCAGTCTTTGGTGATGCCGGCTCCTCATCTGGCACTGCGGCCTTCCTCAGTTTTTCAGCGCACTTCTTGTGCCATTTCTCGATTCCGGCGTCTGGCTCGCTGGGCAGAGCATCGGCGGGTAGGTCTGGGGGAAAAGGTTCGCCCGTCTCGGGATGCTTCAGGTTCCAGCTCTTGACGGCCTGTTGGATGAAAGGTACATGTTCCTCGGGGCTCAGCAGGATCTCGATCGACTCCCATCGAACGAAGCCGCGAAGGGTCAAGGCCGGAACGGAAGGCGCGTCGAAATCGTTGTCGGAGGGTTGCATGGAGTGCTGGCAGCCGGTAACCTGCCAAATGTAGGATATGGCGGGAAATGGCATCTCGACAAATAGGGCTGTGTTGACGAGCTGTCAGCATGGGGTGCTTTGCATGCGGGGTGAGGATTCAGGCTTACAGTCATAGTTACCACCAACGGCCTTGTAGAAGGCAGCCAGCTTTTGAGGGGTCAAGGCTTGAACATGTCTATCGCCAACATCGCGAATCTGTAGATAGGCGGAGTTCGGTTAGTATTTGGCCATGGGGGTGGAAGCGGGGTGGAGGAAGCCAGGGTTTGAGGTGTCGGAGAAGACTGGCGCGGACGTACAATGTGTATGGCAATGGCGCGAAGGAGAGCATCGAGAATCGGTGTTGGAGCCTTGTCTGGGCCGAACAGATAACCGTAAGAGGAGGATGGCTTTGGATCGGGGTTCTGGGACTGTGTCTGTGCCTGCGGTTGAGGTTGAGGTTGAGGATGAGGATGAGCAGAGGACTCTTTGGAGTCGGCCTCTGCGGTCGCCGTCGCCATTCGGGGCCGAAGTCTACATCAACGGTGCGTTTTTGTGGGCAGGAATGTCCCGGGACAAAAGTGTGGAGATGGGACGGGATGGAGATATATAACGGTTTTGGTGGCGTGTGCTGCTGACAAGCAAGGGTTTGGGCTTCGCAGGCAGCGGCTGTAACGAGCTGGCGTTGGATTGTGAACGACTTGAAGCGCAAGTTATCGTCCAGCTCGGTTGTTGTTGAAAGGCTTTGGGAAGAGTTCAAGTTGCTAGCGTTGGACTGCGAGCGCGGGCGAGGTTGAGTTGAGGGTTCAACGGCTACTAATAACTTTAGGTACTTTGGGTGCGGGCCGCCGCCACAGCATCGTCATACGAGAGAGACAGAGATGCGAGGCAGAAGTAGGCTGAAGCCAAGCCAAGCCGTGAGTCAAGACCAGATGGATATGTGCGGATGCAAGTCGAGGCTGGGAGGCGCAGGATCAGGACTCGGCCAATATGCGCGCCAGAGGAGCGAGAGGGTGCGCGCGAGGGCAGGAGAGAAATATCCGGGTCGACGAAGTCTAGTGGGTGTGAAAGTGTGGGCGAAGGGGGATGGATGGATGCGTGAGAAACACAGTCCAGGGTCGAAAGAGTTGAAAGCGACGACGGGAGAGTGCGGTGCAGCTGGTTGATGGAGGATTGGGCGGGCAGCGAGCTGATGATGTAACTAATGTACTCGGACTGCGACTTGATGTGAACAGGGTACTTGGGCTTTGTTGTTGCTGGGGGTTGGAGGGGTCAAAGACGCACGATGGGACGGATGGGCATTTTTTGGGGGTTCAAGGTTGCCGCCGCTCTGGGGCTCTAAATTGTTCTTGTGGTAAGATGGACAAAGCAACTGGCTGGTTCTCACTAGGTACCTTACCAACTTCCCTTAGGTACGCAACTGGGCTCTTTCACAGCTTCAATACATACATGCAGCACGCGCTGCGCAAGACAGGGAAGGACAAGGCAGTGGCAGGTAAGAATAGCGATCAAACAGGGAAAACGTTTGGCTGTTGGGCTGACACGTGCACCCTGGCGCAGCTTCCCTTGCGGGGACAAATTTGGGCCGGACCGTCGGCTGCCTTTCGAGAGATACATGCTTTTTCTATGTGATTCGGCACCATCTCCAAGTACCTTAACCTTCTTCTCCCACTTGCTTCCATCTCCAACCGTTAGGTACGTACCGCCTTAGGCCCTAGATGCCCTCTCGCTGCTTCCATTTCTCACGATGTACCTTTTCTCCCCATGGCAATCTCACCTCTTCACGACCGCTAGTTGGGAACATCACCGCTCCCCCTCTGACTTGCATAGGCACACATTCCTCCCGAAATACCTTACCTCACACACATACACACACACACACACACACACACACACACACACACACACACACAATCTCTCTCTCTCACCAGTCACCGGCACCACCCTACGGCATCTCGATGCACCCGTACTCGGCTTGTCCGACCTTGATCTTCTGTTGTGGTTTTGGGTTCAACTCCCGAGGTTACGCCTAATCTAATATCTTGACCATCGTGTCCAGACTCCTCCACCAGCTGATCAACATGATTTGGCATCCGTATCCTCCAGGCTCCAGAAGATAAGGCAAAGTGAGGCTGGGCAGCAAAACGGACCCGACTATCCAGATGATGCAGATGACCAAAGAGGCCCGTCGAAAGCGATGGATGCCCAGTTCCCTCGGCCCCCAGGATGCAGCCTGAAAGTCTGCCCAGGTGAGCCGTCTGCTGGACATGCCCAGCTGCGATGTGCCTTGTTGCGGAGGCTGGTGCCCGCTCAGCCACCAGCCGGCCCTAGCCACGCAACCCTCTATTCCAGAGGCAACCCGTTCAAGCCGACAGGTTGACCCGTCTGGTCTGGCTTAACTATCCGTACTTTGTACGCAAATGGAGAGAGTTAAAGGTCAAAGGGAACCAGCAGACGCTGAAGGGGAACTGCCCAGCCACACGCCGTTGAGCTGCTCGAATTCTGCTCCGTCTCATCTCTTTCCCCAACCTTCCACCACACAACTTCTTGAACGCTATTTTTCCCAGACTTCAGAGTCACTAATCTCCAAGACAGCATCACCATGTCCACCTACGCCGTGGCCATCTGCTTCCCCGGCAGGCTGGAACCCGGCGAGCGCTTTTGCAAAACACCAGAGATCCGGTTCGACAATCCACCCAATCTTTTCGCTACTCCCGCCCCATCGTCCAGACTTCCAGAAACACTGCTAGCATCCGGAAAGTGATCCGCGGCGGCGCATCGCACATCCTTACGAATACATGGCACAGTGTCTCTACCCCGGCCTACCATGGTGACTCGGCGTGCCCATCTAAATCTAATTGTTGCGGCAGCCATGTATGATGCAGTTACAGCCAAGGTTTTGGGACAACATGATCTGGCGGTGAACACAGGAGCAAAGGGTACAAACAAGGCCTGCAGGGACCTGCTGTTGTACATTGCGTTGACCAAGTACCATTTCTACCACTTCCTGACACTGCAGCAACCAACGGGATGACCACCTGTTGTTGTTGCACTGGCCGCCAACCATCCGCCTGGTCGGCACACCTCGAGCGCTATCTTTATCTTACATGAATCTGTCGCCGTTCTGTCGCCGTTCCGTCGCCTCGGCTCCCTGTCTATGCAGAAACGATCGACATGTCTTGGATAGGAATCAAACCATCTCACGCTCATTGGAAAGCGGTATACCACAACCCGATAGCGGCGCCCGCCAGAGAAATGATGCTTCTTACGGCGTTGAGTGCCTGCCACCTCTTTAACAACTCCGTGGTCTCGGACAGACCCAGCGTTGCGGTGCCCCGTGCGCCGGCCATGAGCGCATTGTTTGTTGACGACATGAAGATGATGGTATAGGGCACGATGGCGAGACTCAAAGCTCCAGCGGCAACAAACGGCTTCCATGCGAGACCCTGATCGTAGCGATCGTATGCCGAGTAGGCCAGCGAGAGCGTAATGGCGAGCGCTACTTTTGGGCCGATCGACGCGCCGTTCAAAAATATGTGTTGCCACAGCTTCAGTGCATGACCTGGCTCGGCGCTGGTTTGAATAATGGCGGGGATGCTGAACATGGACAACGATGCCGCCGCGCCTGGCCTAAGAGTCAGCAATTGGCGTCGACCCCGCTGATGGCACGAAGAGAGAGAGAGAGAGAGAAAGCATGCGAGTGAACAGAAATGAGCGCTTACCTGCCCACCACGCGCACCCTAAGATGCCGGTGGCAGTGGCGATGGTGTTGGCCAGCCCGAGTTGCGACATGTCGGTCTCGATGGCTCTTATTAGGGCAGCAGTTGGTGTGGTAGGGGTGACGACAGTGACTATCTTGCGAAGGCAGAACTCGAGATCGGGTCGGCTGAAATGAGGCAATGGATTACGGTTTCGTCTGTAAAGTTTGTCTCTATGGTTCTATTCTAGGATGAGATGTATTTGACTCCTCGGCGTCATCTGTTCTCTTATATGTAGAAGAACGAGTCCCGCAAACATCGGCGGTGCTAGCCCCCGATGTGAGATCGGAGGAATCACGGACGACGCAAATTGTCCGAAGCTGGGTTCCCCACCCCGAGTCTTGCACACCCGGTGCCGTCCTCGTTGCGACCTCCGAGCCGTGACAGCTAACCACACTGGTCCCATCGCTACCGTTCTCTCCAGAGCTAGAAAACTCGAGTGTGTCCCCTGTTAAGATGGTGCTGAGCCTCCCAGAAATCTCTTGGCCAACTTAAAAGGGTATCCGTAGACCAACAAGGTTTGCGGCAAAGCGGTTGGAGCAACGCCGCAAAGAGCCCGGGGATAGGCGGTTTAATCGAACGACACATGGTCAGTGTAAAATTCTTTCCTTGCACATCTCCTCACTCATCGTAAGTGCCCACTCTGTTCCATCGTCGTGTTGAGTTTCCTATTTCGGCGCAGCGATGCCATAGCCGACAAGCGTCGTCGTCTCCCGTGTCTTCTTATCGACTTCCGTCCAGACCTTGAATTTCCGAAAGCCCGTCTTGTTCAAGACTTTCTGACTGGGCAAGTTGTCCAGCTCCGTGACGGCGGTGAGCATCTCCTCCGCCGCCGCCGCCACCTCCTCGGACCCGGACCGCTCCGCGTCCTGAACCGGCCAGGTCTCTCCGATGACGCTCTTCTCAACCCGGAGCGCACGCGCGGCAGAGCGGGGCAGGGACCACCAGGCCCCGACGAAGCCCCGCAGGAACTCGGTGGCGTACCCTTTGCCCCAGGCCTCTTGACGGAGGAGGTAACCGATCTCGGGCCAGCCCAGCTCGCCGCCGGGGCCGCTGCTGCTGGAGCCGTGGCTGATACGCTTGACGCCGCCGAGACCGACGAACTCGCCCGTCGACCGGAGGCAGATTGTGAAGTTATAGTTGTGGGCGTCGTTGGGCGGGAGGTTGTCGTCCAGCCATGCCTGTGTTTCTTGCAGGTCCGCGTCGGGGCGGCCGGCGACGGCCCACCTCATCACCTCTGGCTGCGAGCGCATGGCGTGCACTGCGTGCAGGTCGTCTTGGCTGACGGGTTTGAGGATGAGACGTTCAGTGAGGACGGGCTGGCGCGTGACGAGGGGGGGAAGGGGGAGGGTTGGGAGGGTGGTGTTCACCGTGATGAAGTCCAGTTGTTCGTCCATTTCTGTCATTGTTTTATTTTCCCCTCTTCCCTTACTGTTACCGTCGTGTTTGGTTCCAACTCTTATGTCTTGGACTGAGAATAGGGGCAAGTTTGTGTGTTTTGTTCATCTCATCTACTTTTCTCTCCCTCTCTGTAACATTGTCACGAAGAATTTTTGGGTTTGACTCATCTCACCGGGCCCCAGGAACCTCGAACGAGTTGAATGACTGTTCATGCTGAGAGTAAGGGTCCCCGGAATAAAGTGCGCAAGCGCGCTATCACTATTCCAGCATCGTCGTTTTGGCTTACGAATACCTACCGAAAGTACGACGATACGTAAATACGACGAGGGCCTGGGGGCTGCGGGCTAAGGTAGTAGGGACGGATAGCTCCGTAAGTCTCATTATTAACTCGCACTCGGCGGTCTTCCGAGCGCCGCGCCGCGCCGACGTGTGATGGTCTAGGTCTTTGTTCCATCTCTTGGACAGACTTGGCTCTCCCGGTGCACTGGTCAAAAACAAGCATCACTGCCGTAGGTGCCTGGAGTTGGGTCAGAATCCAAGAAAACCCAAAAGTATAGAATTATAATTACGGTTCACGATGTGTTGAGGTAGTTCGTCGAATCCTTCCTAATCGCGGCATGCTACCGGACAAGAAACTTTACTTTCCCCAGGGTACAGAACGGATGGACCTCCATCTCTAGCGAGACCGAGCAAATCACGACTAGGAATTTACGCTTCTACGAATACAGAACATGCTGACATATCACTTCTTCTACCCAAATCTACGAAATAGTCGCACCTTTACTGCGAATGCCACCCAGTCTTTGTTTTTTAAGGTTTTTTTACGCCTGCTGCAGCGGGGTGGTAAGGTACCTAGTTTCGGGCAACCCCCCCCCCCCCCCCCCTGGGAAATTTTTACATCTGAACGCAGATCTCGGGGCCTGGGGGTGGACAGTGGGGAACCTAACCACACAAGCTACAGGCTTACAGCCCACCGTCAAATCCTCATAGGTATATTCCCCCCGCGCTTCAATTCATCCTGTCTCACTCACAACCCTGATCTTTTTGCTCACAAAGCAGAACACCGTCCATCATCAAGCGAAACCCTCGGGAACTGATTCGTGTACTAGTTCATTCTCATAAATCATTGCCTCTTCTCTACACTTTCCCCCCGCCTTTTCATTCTGGATGGAAACCTAAATACTCTCGACATATCCGTACGGCGGACGAACGTCAGCCCGGGCTTAGGAGTTACAAGGACGTAGATCGCCCGTTCGCTCTTAACTTACAAGGAATGCAAGCGCGAGCTTAGCGGGGAAACGCTCAAAATCGTCAACGTCAGCAACAGCCGACCTCACACATACACTCACTCACACCCTGAGCTTCACTTGAGCTTCCCACTCGCTCACCTTGGGGTCGCTCACACCCTTCACCCCCATACTCACTCACCCACACCACCTTCGACTGTCATACACTCATCGAAATCTCACTAAACAATGACACCGCCGGCTTCATCGGCGACCGCAGCCCGACAACAATCCGACCAAACCAGCGCCGCTACTGGCAACAGCGGCGGTAGCAGCAGCAAACAACAGCTCAGCTGCGCAAACTGCCGCCATCGCAAGATAAAATGCGATAAATTACAACCCCGGTGCAAACAGTGCGAGCGCTCCGATCTCGACTGCGTTTTCCCTTCCCGGAAGCGAAATCGCAAGCCGCGCCAGGGGAGGCAGAATGAGCTGTTGAACCGCATCACTCGTCTAGAGAGCATCGTAAGCAAAGTCGACTCCGGGAATGTGGATGGGGTCGCCAGGGGCGGTACCGCAGCCGGCTCGGGGACAGCTGCCGCCGTCGCCGCCTCGACGCCGCATTCTATATCGGCGGCGGGCCGGAGAGGTGTTGGTGGCGACTCGGTCTCGGGCATGAATGACGCGGAGCCGTCGCCGCCCGGCGCGGGGTGGGACCCCCAGCCCGCCCCGCCGACCAACTACATGAGCGCCGAGTTCTGGGAGAACCTCTGCCAAGAGGTCGAAGGCATGAGACAAGCACTGGACCAACCTTCCGACAGCGAAGGGTCCGATGATGAGGATGGAGGCCAGGGGCAGGGGCAGGGGCAGCAGCAGCAGCATAGCACGACGAGCCCCGAGTCATCCATCGCCAACAAGGGCCAGACGCCGCCCGCGCTGTCCGGGCTCATTTCCAGCTTCGTCACGAGCAGGGACGAGCCGTTGAGGCACCCGCCGCGGGATCACATCATGTACATGTGCGGCATCTTCTTTTCGAATGTCGATCCAGCGTTCAAGGTGATTCACCGGCCGACGGTCTCGGTTGAGCTGGAAGGATTCGCGAACGCTGTGAATAAGCATATTGACGATGCGACGGAGGCTTTGTTCTTTTCCATGTACTTTGGCGCCATCACGACCTTGACGAATGAGGCTTGTTTGAAGAATTTGGGGGAGGAGAGGAGTGTACTTGCGCAGAGGTACCGGGAGGGCGTTGAAAGGGCGCTTCATAATGCGGATTATCTCAACAGCAGTGAGATCAGGACACTTCAAGCGCTGACGTACTACGTGGTGAGTCTAGTTTTCCTTAACTTCATGCGAGGGCCATTCGATATCTAACCATCTCACAGTGCTTCCTCCGTTCCCACAACGCCAGCCGCGCCTCGTGGGCCCTCATCCCCCTCGTCGTCCGCCTCGCCCAGGCCGTCCACCTCCACCGCGACGGCGTCAACCCCCCACTCCCGCCCTTCGAGGCCGAGATGCGCCGCCGGCTGTGGTGGATGATTGTCGTCCTCGACATCCGCGCCGCCGAGGACCGCGGCACCGACGCCGCCATCCCCCGGCAGTCCTACAACACCCGCTTACCCTTCAACCTCGACGACGACGACTTTGGCCCCGCGACGACGAACCCGCTCGAGGACAGAACGGGCCCGACGGAGATGACGTTTTGCCTGTGCACGAGCATGTCGTCGGGTATCTTTGGAAACCTCCGGCCGCGGCACCCGCAGCTTGCGCTCGATCATGACGGCACGCCGGAGCCGACAACGTCAGAAGACGAGATTATGGCGCATGCGCAGCGTCTTGAGGCCCTCTTCGGCACCGCACCGCCCAAAACTCCCGCATCAGACGGACCTGGCTCCGGCGGCGGCGGCAACAGTGACGGGGACCAGGACACGCGACACCTACCCGCTAACCACGCCGCCGTAACGGTACGCATCATCATTCTCAAAATGTGGCTGTCGGCACAATACCCCTTTACCCCACGAGCATCCACGGCGACAGCGAAGCCCCGCGTCGCGCGAGAGACTATGCTCCGCACGGCGGTGAACACGATCGAGCTCGTCGAGTACAGCTCGGCAACGTACCGCGAGCGGTTCGGGTGGTGGATCGACAGCTACGTGCAGTGGCACCCGCTCGCTGTCGCGTTGGCGGAGTTGTGCGTGCAGACGCGCGGGGAGCTGGTCGAGAGGGCCTGGCGGGTGGTGGATCGGAATTTCCACGGGATGAGGGAGCGGATTGCGGATACGAGACGGGGTACGTTGTGGAGGCCGTTGAAGAAGCTTTTGAGAAGGGCGAGGGCTGCGAGGGCGGAGGCTATGATGGGGGAGTTGAAGTTGGGTGGTGGGGATGGCAGTGGTCATGGTCATGGTCATGGTGGTAAGGGGCCTGTGAGTGCGGCGGCGACGGAGCAGAAGGAGGCTGCGAGGAGGACGGTGGAGGTGCCGCAGAATGAGGAAGAGGAGGATGATGATGACGACGACGACGACGACGATGATGATGATGGGGACGAGGACGGGGACGGAGATGTGGATGTTACGGATGTTCAAGAACCATCGGCGGCGGTAGGGGGCTACGGTGTGAGTACGGGGACACTACACCCGGCCTTCAGGACAGATCGGATTGGTGGTGCCGCCGCCGCCGCTGCTGCTTGGCACGGAGGCGGCTCTACACTCCCTCCCACGGGTGCGCCGTTCGCGACGACAAACACCGTCGGCTTGGGCGGTCCTACGCCAATGGCCGTCGACCCATCGATGGCGGCAGCAGGGTTACCTCCGTCAACGTCAGCACCCATGAACCCGCCTTTCGGGCTGACGCCGGAGGACATGGCCATGTTTGGGGGCACGCCGCTGTTTAGTAACCCGCAGGACCTGATTGCGCACTTTGGGATCCACATGGATGCCGGGGACTTTGGGTGGGATCCGAGTTCGTGGGACGAATTTGTCGTTGACGCGAATATGGAGAGGTCACCTGGTGATGACGGGTGATTCTGAAGGAGGAGGAAAGCGTGCGACTCGCGTGGGATGAACTGAGGTGATGTATAACACGGAAAAGGAAATGATTGAGTGAATTGGCGATGCTTGTACGATAGGGATGATGAATCACGCCGATCAATCCTAGAGAATCCAACAGATGTTCTGACTCTCTCGATAAGAAGCCAGCGTTGTTGTGCCTGATACGTTATAGATTTTGCTGTCCGTAACATACGGCCAATATGTCGTCTCATCCATCAAGGGAATCACGCCGGGAAAACGGAGGCTCGTCGCCGATTCCTGCGCCCGCGACAAGGATGTCACTTCACATGAATACAGCAACCACAAATTGCAGGGATTACGTCACCACTGTGGTATTCACGGTAATTCAATGTCTACGGTGCAAACAATAGCCAGAGGAAAGCTCGCCGCCTTGACAATTATGTAGTAAGGCAGAGCGGCTTGGACGTGATTGCGGGAGTGAGGAATAATTCACTCTTCATACCTCAGAAAGAAGACGCAAACACGGCATCACGGGCAGACAATAGTTTGACAACCGACGCGGGGTGAGTTGGCATTTGTCTACGTAGACGAAGCCGGACGTCTTGACATCCCTCTTCTGGCCGAGCAGATCTAAGGTAAACCGCATCGTCTCATCAAGAAGTCGTAATTCACAGCTTCGTACTCAGGTATCATTTGTCCATCTATCAAAAGGTGATTTGAGTAGGTTTCCCTCCCTCCCTTGCTGCTTTTTTTTGCCATGCTCGCGAAAAGATGATGTTTGAATTGATTTCATTTCTTTTGGTGGCCCCCGCCTTCAGAGAGCAAATGCACGTGATAGTTCCATAGACCTAATGAACACCTGCCAAGTAGTAGTAGCCCGCCCCTCCATTTGTCGAAAACCAGAGAAACAACGCCGCACAACAGCCAACACTTTATGCGAAGGTGGTGGGACGCTTCGCGCTGAAGATCTTCTGGTTGTTGAGCTTGGAGACGCGGTGGGGGAGGGGGAAGCTAAGGTCCTTGGTGATGAGCTGCTTGATGTAAGGGCGCTTGACATCGTCGCCCTTCTCGAGCTCGACGACCTTGAGGATCTGTGGGGAATTTTGTTAGTGAGAGGTTCGGGTTCCTAGTCAGGGGCGGCCAAATGTCCGGCGCGAGGGCACATACGTGGATGGACCTGAAGCGGGCACGGTGGCGGGCGGCCATGTCGGAGTAGAGAGCCTCGACGGCGTCGGTGCGGGACATCTCGCGGTACTCCTTGTACATGTTGTGGGTGCCGGAGCGGGAGTCGTAGCGGAGCCAGACACCGAAGTTCTTGACCTTGAGGGGGTGCTTCTCCTGGATCTGTAGCGGACAAAGTCAGTTTCTGACTTCGGTCGTCATTGAGAAATCGAATTTTCGGTGACGTACCTCCTTGACGCTGACGATCTCACCGGTGGCCTTCTTGACCTTCTTCAGGCCACGCAAGAAGTACCAGTAACGGGACTTCGCAACCGTGACGTTGGGAGCGAAGATGATCATGCGGTACAACGCCGGAGTCGGGTTGGACTCGGTGGGCAAGTGGCGGCCGATGACCTCGTATTCCGTAAGACGACCTGTAGCGGAGATAATTAGTTATGCGTCGTCCTGTAGCCACACAATCTCTGTATGCAAGGATGCGAATCGCTATGTCGTTCCGAACTGCTGCGAATTTTCTGTTCGATCGATTTCGAATGCATGGCCGAAATCGCGTTGCGTCGTCAGGCAATGACAGGTCTTGCGCTCGTTTCCCCCCTTCCCGTTCCTCCAAGGTCAAGCCCTAACCCATTCGTCGGTTGGGAGAGTGTGATCTCGCTCGACATTGGGCTACTGAAATCCGGTGCTGTTGTATCCAAAAAAGCAGGCGTACCCATGGCTGTCGTCCCAAGTTGCAACATCTTCGTGATGTCTCAAGTGGCCGTGAAAAAGTTTTGTTCGTCGCGGTCGGGTTCGAAAATTTCGCAGCAGGCATTCGCATCCAAGATCCAGATCCAGGGGAGGAGAGAGGAATTATGCTTACCCATCTTGAATAATTTGTTAGAAACTGAAGATCCCCCGCGAACTTGAGTAATTGGTGACTTACTTTGAAGAGCTGGCCGATGGTCGTCGATTATCCGATATCGTGGTGGTTGCTGCTGGGTCTGAAGCCGAATTGGAAAACAAAAAAGTTGGGTAAATGAAAAAAAGGGCGAGAACCCTATGTGTCAGCGCCACACTTTCCTAAGCGACCGGACCCCACCTTGCTGCGGCTGGTGGGGATCCACTTCAAACTGCCCAGTTTTTCGAGAAGGTCTGTCAATGCATTCCTGCCTTGCATATTAGGCGCAGAACAGCTAGTCTCCATCAGAGGGGTCAGAGAGAGGAGCTGCCTTTGGTGTATCTCAAGGTCGCTGAATTTCAACCAATCACAGCGCAGACCGCCCTTCGTTGAGCAACAGCATCACAAAGACAATCACATACGCTGGCAGATGTTAGAGGTCGATCGCTTTCATCACAAGACTTGGAGGTGGATTGGTCTCTGAATACATTTGGCAGGCTCCTCTGGTAAAACCTGCGTCACCTTCCATCAGCAGTCTACAGAGCATTCGCTCTTCAGCTCCTCCATCACTCAACTCACTCACCTTGCAACATACACACGACAAGGGCATAAAGAGACAGGATGGAGCCTCTTTTTGAGGAGTTTCGCAACGCCTACAAGACTCGTTCTGGGTACTCTCTTGCGCAGACACTTCAGCCCTTCAGCCCAGTCAACAAGCCGGACAGGCTACGGTCCATCTATCTGAGCACCAACGTCCAAGAAGTCAAGAGCGACATCAAGTACATGCTCCTCGGTCGGGGCCCAGGATCTAAGAAATTCAAGCTCGACCATGAGGAGACCACAGGCTGGGTGGAAGTATACACAGCATACTGGAAGGCCATTGGTGAGATCCTCAAAGTAGAGGGCGACTCCGGTGCTGGAGGTAGGGTGAGCTCTCGCGCGATACGCCTTCCCGTACCCCTTCTTTGGCTTCATCACTAACACCGACAATAGACTTCATCATGGACCAAGGTGTATGAGTCTTGGAAGGAATTCACCACCGCTCTCATCCGAGGCTACACTAATTACGGCTTCGAGGCGTGGACAATTCCCTGTCTCTACCTTGCTGGCAAGCATCTGCGTCTCTTCGCCATCAGCTCAGACGAGGAGCGGAACACCACCGATGCCACTGCTGACGCAATGGAGCTTGCTGACGACTACGATCCGGACTTGGAAAAGCAGAAGCAGCTGCGCGACTGCGAACAGCAGCTCAAGCGTATTTTCACCTTGTGTTTGAGCGATAGGTACGTCGAGAAACCCAAAGGCCGTTAGCTAGTTCTGACTGTGTACAGAGCACCTCTCGAAGAATCAAGAAAGTGGGCTATCTACTACGTCATCAACCTGCTTTTCAAGACCTACTTCAAACTCAACTCTGCGAGTTTGAGCCGGACAATCCTGAAGGCATTGTCTACGAACCGTGGAGATATGCCTCCCCTGGAAGCATTCCCTAAGTCACAGCGGGTGACATTCAAGTACTACGAAGGCGTGCTCTTCTTCTTGGAGGAGAACTATGTTGAGGTAAATTTTCTCAGAGATTGCCGGTTCTCCCATTCGAATCTGACGAGATGTAGGCAGAAAAGCACCTCACCGAGGCATGGTCACTGTGTCACAAGGACGCAAAGAGCAACCAAGAGTAAGTCACCTTGGGATACCCCACAACGCACTTCCCAGCCACTAACAAGCATCATAGGAGAATCCTTACCTACCTGATCCCATGCCATCTTCTCACCACACACACTCTGCCCAGCAGCAAACTTCTCGAGCCCTATCCGCGGCTGCAGAAGCTCTTTCTCCCACTGTCGCAATGCATCCGCAAGGGCGATTTGCGCAACTTTGATATAGCTCTGCAAGAAGGCGAGGAGGAATTCGTCCGTCGCAGAATCTACCTCACACTGGAGCGCGGTCGCGATATTGCCCTGCGCAACCTCTTGCGCAAGGTCTTTGTCGTCGGCGGCTTCGAGGAGGCGAAAGAAGCCGGCGCCGCCCCCGTCCGTCGGACCAGGGTCCCAGTCGCCGAGTTCACTGCTGCTATTAGCCTCGGTAGCCAAGAGGCTGTTGATCCAGACGAGGTTGAGTGTCTGTTGGCCAACATGATCTACAAGGTACGTGGCAGCTTTTCCTTCGTCGTGCCTTTTGAGCCTGGTCTGCTGGTTATCCCAGAGGTGGACAGCCACCGTCTGTAGTCCAGACGTGTCTTCTTCCTGTCGTTTGATCGGCTCGAATCGGTGCTGAGATCTCGCTGCACATTTGTCTGCATTGCCAAGCTTGATTCATACCCTCCGTGAACTCCAGGTGCCTCGTAGGCAACGTCCTCACGGGGCCGACATTGCGTGCTCAAGGCAACTTAGTGCCGTGATGACTTCCCCAAAGGCCCGCTTGCTTCGCAGAGCTCCACAGCCCTCCAGTCATTCATCCAGTACATGACTAACAACTCGTATCTATGCAGAACCTGATGAAGGGCTACATCGCCCGCGAGCGCGGCATCGTCGTCCTGTCCAAGAACGGGGCGTTCCCCGGAACAGGGGTTTAACGGAGATGGTGGGGTGGGGACACCAACCGCGTGAGACTTTAGACCGGCCTGAGGGCCTGAGATAATACAGCCTTGATACCACACCTTCTGCGCATCAAAGCAGCGAGACACATTCTACCCAATAGGCATGGGCGACATGGTCTTGCTGGACTTGACGACCTCGTGTAAGGTGTGAGCAAACCTGGCAGCATGCATTGGTGCGAGGAGGGATGGATGCATCGTCTCTCTACTAGTGATAGCAGGCAATTAAAAAAAGCAAAGTCTATCTCGACGCCCTTTGTTGGGATCAGTAGATACAAATCCATTGGTACTTAAATGGAATTAAATTATATAAGCATATCGAAAAGATCCAAAATACCAAAAAGGCAAAAGAGTTCTCCTCCCCCGGTGCTGAACTCAGGGCTACATCTCTTGGCGCTCATGCTGGGAAAATTTTGGGTGCTTAAGCCGGGATTCGAACTCGTATGCGCTGGGCCTGTCGTCGAGTAGGCTGGTTGGCGAAGATAATTGATGTTGACCATTAACCAATTCCACCACCCACGCCACAGTTTGACCTGACCCCCGACCTAGAGGGCGCCTGCTGTGCTGGTGACAGACTTGGAGTTGAGGGTGTCTATATGGGCTTCTTGCTGTGTGTGTTCATCCAGGTCGCTGGTGGTGGGAAGGTCATCGGATGAATGTAAGGTAGTTTTGATACTGGGAAGGTAGGTGCGGTGGGTATGGCTTGCGCCTTCCATGGCGGACCGCCTCGGGTAGGTAGGCGGGCTTTTATGGCCTCGTGGGTCTTGGGGTATGGGAGGGAATGTCAGGCTGGCGTTCAATTGAATGAACCAGTGGGAAACACCAACTTTTCCGGTCCCAATTACTATCTAGCAGATCATGGATAGGACGGGGTCGTCTATCGAAGAATTTGGCGCGTACCTGTGTTATACCGCGTGTTTGCTATCTGGTCCACCAGTCACCGTTTTACACAAGGTGGGTAGTTTCTTTTGTAACTTCACAGCCCATACCATTCGCACGTAGCGACGCACAGTCAAACACCATTTCTCTGTATACAGGAAACCAGACAACTTCCAGGGCGTAACTCCACACACACCTCTACCGCACCCATATCCACCTCTAATCCCTCCTTTCTGGAAACTTTCCCTCCCATGCCGACTTAATGGGCAGAGGAATCGTATCGGTGACTAAAGTCTGGCTTAAACCCTCTCCCAAGCATCACAGCCTTCTCTGCTACGAGCGGCCTACCCAAGTAAGCGAAGAGGGTGTGGTTGAGTTTAGTTTTAGTGTTTGCATGAGTAGCGTGATAAGATACTTAGTCAGAAGAAGCAAAGAGAAAAGCCGGGGTGTGGAAGAGTGTTCCCGATGAGGGTGGTGGGGTTGGGCTGTGGTGATGTGCGTGAATCGGTGATAGTGTTGTTAAGAGTCAGCCTCGGTGATGCTAGCAAGATGACTCACAGGCCAAGCTTGTAGGGAGGGGCAAGCAAACACGGCCGCCACGCTACCTGGCGCTAGGCGAGCCATTGTCGCCGCGGCGAGCGGACCAGGAACCGGGACACTCTACCGGGGGAAGGTGGACCGGGGGCGATGGACGCGGTTGAGATAGGCAGGGATGGTTCGCCTGGATGGGGTCTGTGAAGTTGTGTGCCTCGGGCATTCGCGATTATTCACGTAGGACTTTTGGGATCGGAGACTTCGGTAGGTGAGATAGTTTGGGATGTTGGCTATGTTTCAGATAACTAGGGGGAGACAAACAGAGAACTCGAGCAGACTTCTATCAAACCACTCATTGGATATTGCCGGCGGTTCAACAACGGGATATTCTCGTTCATACCGAACAGAGACTGAATAATCACAGCAGCAACTCCTGTGGATGCTCAAACTAGAAAGCGAGTGTGAAGAATAGTAATTTTACAGTTAATGATTCGATCTCTTCGTCAAAGATGCAATCTGTCCCAATTTTTTCGTCTCTTTTCTAGTCCTTTTCGCTCTACCACAGCCAGAATATCTTGCTGTCGTTTTCTCAGTCGTCTCTTAACGGACGACAAGGAACAGGTTTTCCTGTCTTCATTGAAATTGCCTCTCAAGAATCTCCTCCCCTTGGGGGGAAATATCGTCGCGCTCAGAGTATAAATGTACAAGGATTTCTCGTGAGAAGTCAAGAAAGAAAGAAAAAAACATTGAAGTATGAAATGCCAAGAACACTGCAGATATAATACATGTGTTATCTCCAAACGCCATGACCATCCCGGTCCAGTGGGATGGATTTTCAAACGTCTTGATGTTTATGGTATTTTGCGGTTTTTGCAAGTCCAGTAGGCTCCATGTAGCCCGTTTCGACAACAGTCAGTAGCGAGATAGTAGTGAAGAATAGATGAGAAAAATAAAGACAAGATTGCGTGAGAACATAAAGTCATTAGTTATGGTGAGCCGGGTATTCATTCGTCCTTGGCTGAGATGAGAATATTTGGATGTTGTAGGAAATGGGGAAAGGCTCGGGGTATGACCATTAGAAACGGCCACCGCGGGGCGTGCGAGGAGAGTTACTGTACATTCATCAGCAAAGAAGCGGTGGTGTTACCGTTAGAGGGCGACTTACACAGTGGAGATGTCATCGACGTGGTTACAAAGCGCGACAAAGAGGTCAAAGAAGAGCGGGGTGCCGCCGTTGAACATCTCCAACTGCATCGTACCGCTCCGCTTGAAGGTGCTTCGGCTGCGGATGATGAGGGCGAGGTAGTGCGCCCGCAGCTTCGAGTCGCTGTCGGGCGTGTTTGCGTAGGCGTACCGGGCAGATGCCAGGATGGTGCTGCACTGGATGCCGGATTCCATAAGCCATATGTTAGTAAGATACGTCGAAATGAAAAGAGATGGAAACACCAGGATGAGAAACTCACGAAGACCCTGCTTCCTCAGCGAAACCCTTTTCAGTTCCTCAAGACCATACTTCTCCGCGGCACAGTAAATTACCGTGTCTTTGAGCAGATCGCCGTCGATGCCATGGTGGTAGACGGTCGACTCGACGCCGCCTCTGCCGTTGTCAGCGGTCCTGTCGAGGGCCTCAATCTCCCACGAGTTGCGGCGCTTGTTGTGCACCAGGCGCGGGTAGTAGTCGCCCTTGTAGAGGTACTCGAGCACGGATGAGAAGATCTCGGGCTCCTCATCCGGAAGGGCGATGCGCTTGGTGGAGGCGGCTGACGAGGAGGCAACGGAGGCCGGGGAGCCGACGACGTCGGCGGGGCTGCCGTATAGGTTGGCGCGGAGGGCATTTTGGAAAAAGGGCGATGCGCAGAGGACGTCTTCGTGAGCGGCGAAGAGGCGTTGTTCTGTGCCGACGACGAGGGTTACGATCGCAGAAGTGAGGTTGCTATTGTTGGGTGGGTTTGTTAGTGTCTGGTTTCGTTATCTCTTTTGAAACGACATGCATCTAGTCGATGGGGAACATAGGGTAAATGCGATGAAGACTTACTTGCTCATGGAAGTATCCTCGGTCGCAGTGCTCGTTGTGGTAGTGGCGGTCGTTGGTCGTCGGCTGTGTCGGGATTCATGGCGATGTTTCGAGACGCCGCTGGATTTGCTGAATGACGAGCTTGATTTGGATGCCTTGTGGCTCTTCGAGAAACTCTTGTTAACGGTCTGTGGCGGTTCGTAGCGTCTGCTGAACATTTTGACTGATGATTCCTGGACCGGTCGGGAGTTTTTCTGCGGAGTAGGAAAGAATGAAGTGCAGAGATCAGATCTCACACCTCGGATGCCTCAGGAACGTCGTCGGGGGAAATCTCAAGTGATGGAAACAAAGGTAGATGGTGGATGGAATAATTGATTATTGAAGACTATGGGATTGACGGAAAGATTGATCCTGATGGGAAAATGTGTTTGACCTACCTAAGGCGCCGTTTCCGAGATGCGTGAATACAGAAAAGAGAGAACTCAAGAAAAAGTCTATGGGGGATGGGCAACCGGATTCTAATATATACAGCCTGATATCCTGGCACGGTCCCCCGAGATCCCTCCCCTACCTGAAGTACGTTGCAGTGATTGCCTTGCACTGGCTGCTTTGGAACAGGATGCACCGAGACTCTGTGCCTGGGGAGAGGGGGGCGGACTGATTAAAAAAAAAAGTGGTGAGAACGTCCTCATTGGACGCGTCTGGGGGATCAAGGGGGACGCGTCGGTGGGTCTGAGGGACACACGCCTCGGATGCGATATCACGTGCACGCCAACAGGGTGCTTCGCTGATGTTAAAGTGGGTGGCGCGCCGGGTTCTGCTTGGCTGCCTCTGTGGTGACACTCTTGAGAAAGCTGGCGGACACTGGCAGGCACTGAGAACCAGGCCGAACCCGGTCCTAAAACCGCGCCATGTCCAAGCCATCCGCAGGGGAACAACCTAACAAAGAGCCGAGTCTAGGGAAAAAAAGAGAAGTGTGTGCAAGCTTGCGTTGGCTTTGGTGCAGTTGGTTCGGTGCAACTGTGCTCAAGTCAGGGGGGCTGGATGATTCCTCGCTCCCGTCGACAGGTCACTCCGCGGTGACTCAACAGCCCAAATGGTACTTATGCCCGGGAGTCTGCGGGCTGCCGAGCACACATCTGTGGTGCTTCCACGGTTCACAGTTCACGCGAAAAACTGCCTAGGTGCCTGGAACAGTGGGAAAAGCCTGAGATGATCCACGTTGAGACGGCATGGCCGCGTCCAAGCTTCTGTGCCCATCACTTGGCCGGAATAAGAAATGTTAGGAGCAGACACTCAATCTGGCCTCAGTGCCGTCGAACAAGGGGCGAAAACTTTCAGTCAAGTTACAGGAACAGTTGACGGGACCAAAGGAATGTACTGATGATATGCGGCATCAATTGGGATACGGATTGATCTCACAGTGATTCAACGTACTATTTGGCTCTATCTCAAAAGCCCGACATCTAGAGAGAGGCTTTAGAGATGGCGCACATGGCGTTGGACCGTGAGGGATGGTACCACCCACCCGGCTCGGTTTCGTGCAAAAAGAGGCAAGGCATTTTAACCCCTGACCATCACTTATCTCTCCAATAAACCTTGCACTGAGCCTTGAGGTGGTTTACCGGGGCCCGGGGAGCGGTTCCTAGCTTCCCAGTCCGAAATCCAAATCGAACTCGAACGCCGAGGCAGCTTCCCCCGACAGTGCAATAGCCTCGTTCAATTTGCCAATCAGGTTTGCCCACTTCAGGATGACTAACATCTACAGCTTGAAATGTCACCGTGACAGCTTCATGTGAATTTATTGCTCAGTTGGACAGGTTTTACTTGATGTCATTGCTAGAGTCCATCAGATTTTAGCAGCGACCTGCTCAATGCAGGCGACGACGGCTCTGCGTCCCTCTAGCCTGATGACGGCATCGTTGTGGAAAGCGCCCTGCACCGTCTTCTTCTCTACCTCGAGCCCGACCTCTTCGCAGCGCCGGACCAGCTTCGCGCCGTGCTCGGCCGGCACTAGCTCGTCCCTGCCAGCTTCCACGATCGTAATGCGAGGTCTCGCACAGCTCCTCGACCCGGACCAGTTCTCGGCGATCGCGGCTAGGTTCGTCCAGCTGTCCAGGTGATTCCGGAGAAACGGCCAGAGATGACGGTATGGCACCCATTTCTGGGGGTACAGCGTCGCCAGCATGTCCTTGACGGACGTGAAAGGTGTCTCGAGGATCAGCGACCGTAGCCGCAACGTGGGCGGGAACGCCTCCCACGCGGCGAGGTTCGTGGCGACCCCAGCGCCGATGCTCTGACCCCAGAGTATGACCTCCGGCGTTGGGTGGTGCCCTTGGACATCGTGCTCGCTGTGCATTCGCCCAATCCAATGCAGAGCCGCCTGCGCGTCTAGATTGATACCCTTCTCGGAGGGACGACCCCTCGACGTCCAGTACCCGCGGTAGCTTAGACACACAAAGGTGTATCGCGCCGGCCGTTTGCTCTGCTGCAACGATTGCAGGACCCATGATAGGTCGGGCAAGCGTGGGGGAATGGACGAGGCGTTTCCTATGTTCCCCAGAGCATGAGCCTTTGTTCGTTTGGAGAGGCACAAGGGGAAAAGCTATGTGCCTGCCGGGGTACGGGGACGGGGGCGAGGCGGACCCTGAAAGTAGAGGATGTAGATGGACGGGACCGATATAGCATCGTCGAGCGACGTGGTCTTCCTCTCACCAGTCGATGTCGCCGAGGCCACGCAGAGGGCTAAATCCGTCCCGTCGGCGGCGCGGATCCTCCTCTCCTCCCACTGTACACCCCAACACTGCTTGGCGTAGTCTTCGATGCGCTCCTTACGTGCATTGGGTGGCAGGCCTGGCATGTAAATGATCTTGTTCTGGAAGACGATCATTGCGAGACACTTTTGCGTCCACAGAACGACCAATAGGCCGGTAAAGACGAGGGGCGGTAGATAGAGTGCTTGAGCATTGAAATGCCGCTTGTGTGTGAGGCCGAGGTGCGGCGTCAGAGGCAGCGTCGGCATCGACTGCCGCTGAGACGTGGCTCGCCATGGTGCCGTGATGAGAAGTGCTTGCAGACGGCGAGGATGATGTAGGAGCTGCCCAATCGAGGATGCGCGGATAGCATGCATCACGGTTGCTCGCGAGACACGGAGGCGCGAATCGGGCGTGGTGTGAGAGGATGTGGCCCAGTTGTTGGGTTTAAGATAGCGGAAGAAGACCCTGAGACGCGGATTACCTTAGACAGAAGCGTTAGGTACCCTGGGAAAGAGGGGCGGTTCCTGGCTGCTGCTTGCGCAAGAAGACGATACGAGGACGTTTGTTCAGAGAAGGTATCGTGGACTTGAGGTGACGGGTCATGACATGGTGCGTATGTGGTCGTGTTCGAACGCGACTGGGTTCACTATGGCCGGGCATGCAGGCGGTCCTATTCCGTCCAGAAAGCTTCGGAGGCAACGTTCGAATTCGGCGTCGGCAGGAAATGAAGACGGACTTGTTAAGCACAAGGATTACAGGTCGGGGTCCCAAGATTCCAGCCCAATGGTCGGCGGTCTGCATTCATCCATCCATTGCAACGGTGATTCCTTCTCCTCCTGAGGGGTCCGGTGCGTCCGTCCTCTTTGAATACTGTAATTGACAGGACCGAGGAGGAATGGACAATAGGCGGGCTTCCGCCATTGACACGAGGTGTGTGTGTTCCGCTAAGATGGAAGATGGTCAAGACATGTGCTGAGTCGGAGACAAGGCCGCTCTGTGACACCAGGCAAGACAAACTTCATCATGACAGGCTGCAACAATAGCTTTCTAGAGGATGGTCTCGATTCATGCAGTAAGACAGTCATTAAAGATTGCCTGGCGCTGCTCTATCTGCCGCTTCGATATCCGTTCCCTTCCCAAAAATCATCATCTCATTCCACAGCGTGATTCTCGCTTTCTGGGTCCATCCAGCCCGGTAATACCTTACCGAGTAGGTACGGAGTACACTACCTTGCAATGGTAGACCTGGTACCCCCGCCCTCACTGCTACTCAGGTACTTCGTCAGTTCCTGCCCGCCTTCCTGGTCCATTGGGACGTCATACTCTAGCGCCAAACGGCCCTCATGGATTGCTGGAACCAGCCCTCCAATCCTAGGCTCGTGAAATATCTAGTAATAGGTCGAATGGAAATGGAAAAGGCAGGAGAGGGGGACGAACCGTACGGAGTACCTACCTACAGATAGATACACGACAAGCCCAGCCATCCCGTCACTTCCCACCTTGCCTCATTGCAGGTGTTCCCAAATCCCCAGGGGCATGTGCTGTGCTGTTCTCCTCCCTCCCCGCCCAAAACCAACACCTGCACACCAGGCATTCGGGGGAAAGGCGTCCACATGTGAGGTGTGCGAGAAAGCGGGCGTAACTAATAAATAATCAATCAGCCCCCTCGATGCTAGACGTTGCCTTGCTTTACACCGCGAAATCGCACATCCTTCTCCCATGTCCCGTATCCCAGCATGTGTGACACTAGATCTTGATTTTCGATCCTTCAGACAACAACAACCCCTCCATTTCCCCGATTCCACCTCCGCTGTGTCCATTTTCTCCAGGTCCTCCAAAGCATCCCACTTTCTTGATCAGATCCTCCCACCCCGCCCCGCCGAGAATTCACCGCCGACTATCAGCAACTGCCTTTTTTCCCGTTTGCTCATTCTCAACCCGCCACTTTTGAAATCTCCAACATCACTCGGAACCACGACCGAACAAAATAAACCTTATCCTTCAACAACAGCCACCGCAAAAAAACCCCCGAAACGAATCGAAACCCGCCCATCATGCCCGGCCCCGTAGATCCCACCACCCCGACAGAACCCTCGTCGCCGAAGCACTCCCCGCGCATCGAGCTCCCTGAAGAAGACGCCAGCGCCTCCCCGCGGACGGACGGCCAGACCAGCCCAGGCCTCAGGAACAGCAAAGGATGGGATGGCAAGCTCAGGGTCCAGCGCACCGCTGTTCTCGCCAACCCCGAGATCCTCTCCGACCCGGAATCAGATGACGAGAATGTCCTTCCGGGTGAAGAACTACCCGCTGATGAAGGCAAGTCTCCCTCTGGCGCGCTCTCTCCGCTAGGCTAGGAGTGTGAGGCGAGGCGAGGCGTACGCATGGGAACTAACATACACCCTCCCACAGATCTCCTCGACGGCGAAGACCCAGAAACAGACGAACTCATCGTCTCCCACGCCCGCGTCTCCTCCATCCCCGCCCTCCGCCTCGAACGCTTTCAGAAAGTCGTCCGTCTCTGTCTCCGCCAGAACTCGATCCAGTCCATCGACGGCCTCGCCGCCCTCGCGCCTACCCTCGAGGACCTCGACTTTTACGACAACCTCATCTCCCACATCCGTGGCCTCGACGACCTCGTCAACCTCACGTCCCTCGACCTCAGCTTCAATAAGATCAAGCACATTAAGCGCGTAAACCACCTGACCAAACTCAAAGAGCTCTTCTTGGTCGCCAATAAGATTTCCACAATCGAAAACCTCGAGGGTCTGGATAACCTCACCTCCCTCGAACTCGGCTCTAACCGGATCCGCGTCCTCCAAAACCTCGATTCTTTGAAGAAGCTCGACGAGCTCTGGGTCGCCAAGAACAAGATCACCGAGCTCACGGGGCTAGGCGGCCTCACCAATCTCCGCCTCCTCAGCATCCAGTCGAACCGTATCCGCGATCTGGCGCCCCTCGCCGAGGTGCCCGGCCTCGAGGAACTTTACATCTCCCACAATGCCCTCACTTCCCTCGCCGGCATCGAGAAGAACGAGAAGCTGCGTGTGCTCGACATCTCTAACAACGCTGTCGCAAGCGTAAAGGGCCTTGCGCCCCTCAAGAACCTTGAGGAGCTCTGGGCCAGTTACAACCAGATTGGCGACTTCAACGAGGTTGAAAAGGAGCTCAAGGACAAGGAGCACCTGACAACGGTCTACTTTGAGGGCAACCCGCTGCAGCTTAGAGGACCCGCAGTGTATCGCAACAAAGTCCGTCTGGCGTTGCCCCAACTATCCCAGATCGACGCAAGTGAGTACATTGAGAGACCCCCATTATTGCGGAATCACATGCTGACAAATCGTTCTAGCCTTTGTTAAGACATCATGATTTTCAGGCACAGCATTCTTGCATGAGACCTACGAGGCTGGCGCGGCGTTACAATGGCGTTTGATTAGAGATCTGGGTGTAAGGGCAGAAATCAGCGGACATATAAGGGCCTTTCTTCACCACACGAGATAATTCTCGGTAAACACACACACATACACATACACGCACAAAGCTGCACTGTGCATGTTGCTTAGTGTGATGCATTGTTCACTGGCGGGCGGCTTCTTCTGAGTTTTGGGTGTGTAAACGCTGCATGTCACCGACGAGCGGGATTTCCAACCTGGCTTGGTCATGACTTTCATTGTATTTTAGTGGCAGATCATAGTCTTGCCGAGGGAGAGGGTATCTAGATACAATCGACGTATGTTGTACGTGGTTTGATACATGTTGGACAGAGCTCCCAAGCACACCGCCAGTTGCAGACTACCAAAAGGCCGCTTCCAAAGCGGTGGTGCGAGTGATTATGAAGTACGATAAATCAGGCAAGATGGATGGGATGTGAAATGTGACCCATTTAACCAAAGATCCAAAGCTTCTCAGTGGGGAAGTACTGGAATATCTGTTAGCTGACAATCATCACACAACAGCACCTCGATGATGAATGAACTCACGTTTGCGGGCTGGTTGAAGCGCGTCTTCCTGTCAAGGGAGCTGATCTTGTCGATCTCGGACTGCTCGAGGTCGAAGTCGGTGACAGACAGGTTTTGGGCAAGGACGTGCTTGCGGCTGGTCTTGGGAATGACAGCAAGACCGCGCTGGGTAGCCCAGCGGAGAAGGACCTGGGAAGGCTCCTTGTTGTGCTTCTTGGCAATGGCCGTGACGGTAGGCTCCTCGAAGAGAGGAACAAAGTCGGTGGCGTGCTCCATGTTGAATTCCTTGAAGGAGGCAGGGCCGAATGAGGAATAGGCGGTAACGGCGATACCCTCGTTGGCAGCCAGCTTGATCAGGTCAGGCTGGACAAGGTAGGGGTGGTGCTCGATCTGCAGGGTAGCAGGAGGAATCTTGGCGTAGCGGAGGAGGTCGTAGAGGAGCTGACCCTGGAAGTTGGAGACACCAATGCTCTTGGAGAGCTTGCTCTCAACGAGGCTCTCCATGGCAGTCCAGGTCTCCTGGATGGAGGCCTTGGAGGAGCGGATCTCGGACTTGCCATCGTAGTGCCAGCCGGGAGGGTATCTGACGGAGGGGTCCACGTACTCGAGGGCGACGGGGAAGTGGATGAGGTAGAGGTCGAAGTAGTCGACGCCCCAGTCAGCGAGCTGCTTCTTGACAATGGGCTCTACGCGCTCGCCATCGTGGAAGGTGTTCCAGAGCTTGGAAACGATGAAGAGCTCCTCACGCTTAACGAGACCCTCCTTGATGGCGCGGGCAACACCCTGGCCACACTCGACTTCATTGCCGTAATCTGAATATTGGACAACGTCAGTAACATATTTATCTTATGGCAGGAATTGCGGTTGTAGGGATTCACAGGTGGCATGATTTGTACATGTGTAATTCGGGGAATACGGGAGTGTAGCCCCGAGTGTAAGTGGATGGTATTGGTGAGGGGAGTGACGAGTAACAGGGTAGGTCGAGGGGGAGGGGTGCCAATCCCGGATGAAGTGCAGGGGTGTCTGCGGAGAGCTTTCCGGGTGAAGTTGTAGCGCATGGGGGAAACCCCCCATCGGTGCTCTGCAGAAATTCGCACCGATCATCCGTGGTGGGGTTGAGGAGGGGTAGTTGGTTTCCCAGGAAGAATTATGGAGGGGGAGAAACGAAGCAGACCACCAACACCAGCGTCAATGGCAGCGCGCAACGCGTTTTTTCCAATGAGGAATCTGTTCAATTGCTTCTTTGTTGCCACGCAGTTGCTGCTTGTCATTGAAACTGAATTGGATACGCTGCGCTGCGGTATTCCCCCTCCTGCTCTCGCTCTTGCGCCACAATGGCAGTGTATGCTTGTGCTCATGATTTGTTCACTTACCGCAGGCGCCGTCAAACAGACGGTATCCAGCCTTGATGGCCTCGTAGACGGTGTCGGCGGCAATGGCGTTGTCAACCTTCCACAGACCGAAGCCCACTTGGGGCATGTCGAAGCCGCTGTTCAGCTTGATATTGGGAACGGCCATGATGGATGGTAGCTGTCGTTCTTCTGGGGAATGGGCCGTAGGAGAACAGGTTCGAGGGTGTCAAGATCAATCAAGCGTGGCAAAACTTGAGAGAGAGAAGAGGAGAGGGAGAGAAGAAAAGCAAGGACGTCGCTCAGGGTTAGGAAGAGGGACAATGTACGTATTTATAACCATGGTACGTCAGGTGCTCTGATACACGGTTGCCAGGCAATGTAGGACATTCGTCTGGCCAGGAAGGCAAGCTCACTGAATCTTAGGGTAAGTAGACCAGTTACAACTTCCTGGCGTTCCCCTGCCCGCGTCGATAGCCTCCACTTGTACCAGGCCGGCTGCGCGCCTTCAGACACCCACCCCATGGTGCCGTCACCGTACAGGTTTGGGGCGATATCTAGGGCTCAAGAGGCTGGCGGGGTGAAAAGGGACCGATAGGATAAAAACTGACACACAGATCGCCTTCCCCAGAGCCAACCAACCAGCCAGGGGGTCCCCGCTGGAGGGTAGAAAGCTAGCTGCTCGCTCCGAGCCCGTGACACGTCGGCATTGGACGATATGAAATACTCATACGTGTAGTGGCCGGGTAATGTTACGGGCAGGAAAAGACACCTCAGACGGAGAGGAGTGGGTAAGCCGGCCGAGCTTCATGTGGAGAGGGGGGGGGGGGGGGGGGGGGGGTTCGCTGCTACAGAACGACACGCGCCCATTTGTGCGTTTAAATCAGCCTGGCGACCTGAGCGACGGTCGACCCAGGAGACTTCCATTGGGGTAAATTGGAGTTCAAGCTTCCCGCTGCTGGCTGTCAAGGTCAAGGTCCCAGTTTGCAAAGTTTCGCGGGATGGAGGCCAAGGTGCATGGGAATTGTGACTTGAGCAGCCCTTCCTTTGGGTCGGTTCAGGGCGGCTTTCCTGCTCTGCCACTGGTTCCCTTCAGCTCTACTCCGTGCCTGCTCTGTGAGAACCGCGACTAGCTGACGCTGTGCCTCCTTGACACTGAGAACCATGTGGAAGATGGCGTGGGGTAAGCATAATCGTGTATTCTGACAGATATCTCGTACCTATCACTGCCCCCCCCCCCCCAAGTGTGTCTGTATTTCGAACGAGAGAAGCTGCTTCTTTTTGGTTCTCGTTTTCTCCCTCCTTCACAAGCGTAAGTACCGTATCCGCATGTTCCTGGCCTGGGCCTTCTCAACGAACATTGCTGTTTCCAACTTTCCCCAAGGGCCCGCACGAGGTGCTATTGTGGAGAATCGATTTCGCCGAGACCCGTTTTATTTTGCATTTAGCCTGAATGCTGTCCGGCGCGGCTAATTGGCTTCTTTTCTTCCATCGTCAACGACTTGCTGGACTTCTATCCGCAGAACTTCACCCGCAGAGCCGGCACAGAAGATGTCTGTAGGCTCCCGAGTTCCGATTCATCAACGCTACTGAATACTACACAGCGCATCAATCAAGCGTCGCTACCTCGATTGCTAACCACACCAATCATACGTCTTCTTGGATGCCACTGCGATGCCAGATCTCCGAGTTGCACGGTGGCTGACGTCTGATAACACTAATTCACATCAGACTCGATCCGAATCTTCACGCGGAATGTCGCACATCCCGTCGCCTCCTTCAATGCATCTTCGGCCCATTTGCCGGAGCGCCTCGTATCCACGTGGGCGGGCGCGTGGGGTCATTTCGGGCCTGAGACCCTCTCTGCACTTCATCCGGGTGGATACCACCAGGAGATGAAGCTGAGCCTCATCCCACTGCTCTTTTGTCGACCAAAACTGCCTTTGCGCCCGAGGTGACCGAACAGAAGACCTGAAGCATTCTTGCTTTCAACTTCAACTGTTTTCTCCCAAACCTTTGTCGAAATCGTGACGAAAATAGTCCAGGGGCTTTACAATGATCTTTGTCTCGTGGCCTCGATCGAGTGCCTGCGTCCAAATTATTCTCTGCCTTGGGAAGACCGGCAAAGCGGGATTGTTCAAGCTGCTAATGAAACGTTTTTACGCCAGCAAAAGACACAATGAGCCAAGCTTTCCAAAAACTTTCATTTCAAGTGGCAGGACACGTTGATGCATTGACTGCTCTGAAAGACGGCGCTCCCAAAGTCATGCTCTCGTAAGTATGCGATACACATTATTCTCGAAGACAACCCCTGGGATTAGCTTCTTGTCTTGCCTTTATATCATTCCTTTATTGGACGAGTGATGAAGAAACTCTTGAGTGGGAAACACGTACATATACAGTCGACTGCCGCTGGCATTTGATCACAAGAAATAGAGACATATTCATCAAACACGTCAGCATCATCACTTACACTTTCAATTCCACCACATCAGCATCGTCACTTACACTTCTGATTTCACCACATCGAAGCAAATCAGGCAAGTACCATCGCGTGACTATATCCAATTAAGAATACTCAGCATGGCACAGAACCCTATCTATCAGGCTCAGGCAGTCGGGAACAATAATGGCCCTCGCCTTGGCCAGGCCGCACAGCGGGCAGCGAGGGAACATAGAATAAGGCTGAGGAACAGGATCGCAGCAAAAATGGGTCACGAGAGGGCTCAGACTTATGTACAATACGACCAGAAAGGCGACTGCTATCCTTGGCGTTACGGCATTTCATCCCAGCCGCCTGCTGACCCAAGAATCCAAGAACCAACGATCAAGTACGCTCCGCGCTACTTCGACTCAAGACATCTAGATGAGGCACAAGCAAAGTACGGGGGTCAAATGAACCCCAAGGGCTACAATATCCGTCTGAAGAGTATTTTGGGGGCCGGGGGCTACGGGATAGCAGCTCACATCTCACACAAGAGCCCCGCCAACGGATTCAACACTGACTGCGTGATTAAGGTTGAAAAGTCTCGTCACCATGCCAATTCGGCGCTGGCACGGGAGGAGAGGGCTCTCTGGGTAAGTGCTTCACCGCCCCGACCTAGTTTTATGGTTTATCATTCTAACGTGTTGCAGAAATTTGTAGGAGCAAAACATATCCTGCAGATATCGGATATCACTGAAGAAATCAAAGCACAAAGGGCTACTGACTTGACTGCATTCCAGAATAGCCATCCCCCTCCCCCAGCTGGGGCCAGACTTCCCCACCCAGAGGTCCAAGACAAGAATTGGACTCTCAAGAACTTCCAAACCCAACCCATTCGCAACTTTGTCATTCTCGAGAATGCCAATCTTGGTGACCTAGGCTTGTGGCTCAGCAAGTCTAGCCGTCTTGGGCGGCGTTGGCCTGAGAGAGCCATCTGGATGCTCTTCCAAAGTCGTAAGTTTTTGAAACGTTCTGCCTCATGGTCTTTGGATTGTGTTGCTGACCTTGTTTTGATAGTCATCCTTGGTCTAGTTGGTATGGCTTATCCTCTGAGGGAGCATTATGAACCTTCGCATCCAGATTGGAAGTATCAGAGTCCCATTGACGAGGTGTTCCCCGACGATCCGAATTTCGAACTCCAGGAAACAGTGCACTTCGATCTTGACCCCAGAAACGGTTAGTCCTTAGACGCCTCTAAATGTTGGTCACAGGGAGCTAAATTTTGCAGTTCTTCTGGCAAACAGAAGCATGCTTTTCGGCAATCTGCCTACCTTCAAGGTATTTATAACCTCTCGCCCCCTCTTAAGATGATATACTGACAGTTCTCAGATTGCCGACTTCGGACTAACCGAGTTCTTCAGCGAGCAAAAGGATAACCCCGCACACTTCAAGTAAGTTAACGCCCCAATGACTACTGGGAATTTGACGTAACTGACATCTCTTTTTTCTACCAACAGCAAAGAGTACTTCTGGCACTGTCGTCTCAGAGGAAAGCCCGTCTACTACACGCCCGTAAGTTACTCGTCACATTACGTGTGTCTGCCGATCGCGTTTACTAACATGCAATGTTTAGGAACAATTTGCTGGCGATTGGGATATCATGGATAATGACCTCATCAACGACGACGGTGTCAACCACTTCGTGGCCACAGATGGAACGAAGCCGCCAGTTGCTGGCAACTACGGAATGCATACAAACATCTACCAGGTGGGCGCCATTGTAAGTTGATCACCATGAGCTCCACTTCACCACGCTATCCGAGACTAACAAGCTTGACAGATTTGGTGCGCCATCACTCTCTCCTCATTCTCAGACCGTGCCTTTGGTTTACCTTACAGGGACGCTTGGGGACGAAACATCGTCACCTACGGAGGCGCCCTGCAGCATGCGCGATTCCGCGACGTTGATCCCGAGCTCACAGGTTTGGTACAGAGATGCCTGGCCCATTGCCCCTCTGATCGCCCAACTCTGCAAGAGCTGGTTGCCGTGATCAACCATCGTCTCGCCAGGAACGACTTGGAATCGGACGAGGTTCTGAGTGCGTGGTCCCGGGATTTCTTCACAACCCCTCGCGTCCCCGGCGATGAACCCCCTCCCGTCAAGCGCGAACGCGAGGACGACGGAGACGATCAGGAAGGCGATGCCGCAAGGGGCGCAGCCCGGCGTAGGGTTGGCAACGTCAATGGCGAGGCCGATGCACAGAACGTCCAGAGGGTGCAAGCCGAGCCGTTGCTCTTCAACGCGTTCCAGCCCCCGATCCAGCCTCAGTTCATGCAGGGAAACAATCTGCCCCGGCCAGCAGTCAGGATCGGCCCCGTCGCCCCAGGCTTCCCGCCCCTAATCCCAATGCCCGTTGTAAAAGAGGAGTCTCAGGCGGTCGCGCCAGTCTTTGTCGGCCTCGAAAGCCAGTACAACCGACCTGCAGCTAACAACCCGCCTTCCGACCTCGACGCGAGAGTCTTTGAGGAAGTCATGCCGCCCAACAACAACTACATGTTCAACTTTGCCCCGCCCAATCCCATAGCACAGAACCAAAACCCGGATCCAGAAGCAGGTCTAGCAGCATATCGTCAAATGCAGGCGATTCGGGGCGTGGAACCGATTCCGTGGAACGCATACGTCCCGCCAGGTCAGCCCTTCCTTCACCAGCCAGTACCGAATATCCAGCCTCCTCCGCCTAACGCTATGGAGCCTCCGGTTGTGCCGGCTGCCGACTATAACCCATATGGTGAAGCCTGGCGTTTCAATTCTGTTCACCAGCATACCGTCGATCCTGCCCCATATGCTCAAGTCGGGCAGCTGGGCGCTTCTTCTCGCCGGCAGCGGGAGTTGCAGGAGTGGCAGCGGCAGCAGCAGCAGCAACAAGTTCAGATCTCTGCGGAGGCTGGACCTTCCCGGCACCCTCAAATGCGGGTGCAGCATCTTCTCCAGGATGCTCAGGAACACACAATTGGGGATGTCTCTAATGCTACGAATCTCTTTAATGAGTTTATCAATGACCCTGATGCCATGGACCAGGATTAATGCAAAGAAGCACTGAGTTTGTAAGTTATAGTCATTTGGTTTGTCATAGCCTTGCCTTCCCTGAAGAAGTGTAACGGTTATGGAGTGGCGATTGGCGTATGGTGTGGATGGAGACAGTGACGGCTGGCCCCTCCTTGGCCCACGGGCATGTATCCTCAAATGAGGACTGGTCAATCAATGAAACATAGGTCTGTAAGTATTTCTTGACGGGTTTAAATCCTGGCTTGCATGTTCCTAGATTCGGATTTGCTTTAATTTTGCTTGGAGCCGGCGTCTGGTGTTAGACAATTCGCTTAGATAAGACAATAGACATGAGTTTGCCCTGTTCATTAAAGAATGAGCGCTATCGAATTTCGATTCCATCTGATGCATCCTCGGCAACACCTGACAATTAATCTCTTGGGGTGGCTTGTAACCTGAGCCATCGCCATCGCCCTCAACCCATGCAGATCCTGCCCTTTTACTAAGGTATATTAAGTTAGGTATATATATATAGGGTATATTATAATGAAAGGGTACAGCAAACAATTACCAGAATAATACAACAGAGTCCGTCCTCCGCATGAGTCTTTGGAAACTTCTCTGGGCCTATCATAGTCATGAGCTCTACTTAAACCTTAGGCTTTTACCCAGAAGCCATAAGGTAGATGAAAGTATGCGCGGTCTTTATATGATGAGATGATGAAAGAAGTTAGGGCACAAAAGAGATAATTCTTCCAATGTAGGGTATCTTTTCAAAAGTCTAGTGGTAATGCCCTTGTCATCCAAAACTCCAGATGGTATGTACATTTCATCGTTTCCAAAACCCAACATCAACCCAAAAAACTCCTGAAGCAAAGACCACCGAACTTTTCTTATGCCTGCCAATCCCTCTTCGTCTTTTTCTGCGAGCTGAGGTCGTGATTGGCGTACCGGCACTTACACTGTTCTCTTCCCGCCGCGACCGTGACGGCATTCCCAGCTTTATCCTGGCACTCAGGTCCCCCCTTCTTGACTTGCACGATCTCGACTTGGCCGGTCCATGCTCCCCACTTGACGTTTCCATCAGTGCTAGTCGCGTTCGTTCCAGACGCAACAGTGCCGAGCAGCGTGGTCGTGTTGCGTCTCGTCCAGAGGGTTGCGCGGAATGCGGTGTCGGAGAATGTGCAGGTTGCAGCGCGTCCGTCTTCGGTGATGGCCTCGGACGGGACCACGGTCTTGGGAAGGGAAAAGTTGAAGACGAGGCGCTCGTTGAGTGTGTTTCCTTCGAGCAGTACCATTGTCTGGTTTGTGAACTGCGGAGCAAAGGGGTTGGAGGAGGATGAAATCTGGTAGGTGTACGAGTTCTTTGGCGAGATTGTCCAGAAAAAGGATGCGAGAGAATCGTTCGCGGATTGCGAGTAGTTTTGGTACGGGAAGCAGCGCCATGTCGATGGGTTGGCTGTACATCCGGTGCTGGATTCTAACAGAGCCGTGTTGAAGGCGAACGAGCCGGAAGGAAACAGGTTTGTCGAGTTCGTGGTAGCTGACGATGTTGGAGGAGTTCTTGAAGAGTGTTAGTGGCCGTGTAAGTGGATTAAGAATGGAAGGATGTGACACACGGAGTACGCTTTCCAACTGTCAGGCCAGCTGACAGACCAACAATCAGGCTGATTCCAAGGATAAGGACAATTATCATGCGATATCTCTTGCCGCGGCGGGTGATCCAGGGCCCCTTCTTGTTCTTCTCCGCAGCCGATGATAGCCCTACGGGCGTAGTGATGGGGAGGAGCCGAGACTTGTCCTTGAGAGAATTCCTGGGAGAAAGCCTGGGGGTTGATGTGCCCGAGCTCGGACGGCTGCCATAGCTGCCTCCGCTGAGCAGGCTGCGTGTGCTCAGAGTGCTGAGGGTGCTGTCACGAGACGAGCTGCGGGAATAGGCCGGAGGAGGGTAGGACGGGTGCGAGTTGATAGCTCGTGGTACTGGCGAGCGACCGTAGTATTTCGGTTTTGTGCTACGGCATGGCGGTGGTGGAGGGAGGGCAGCTGCCTTTGGGTGCGTGATGGCGGGGAGTGAGTCGTCCTCCGCGATGACGGGCATGCGGCCAACGGATGAGAATGTACGGCTTGAGCCCGGAGAGAAGGGTGACTTGGGCATCTTGTCGTCGAGTATAGATCACACAGCGATGGTGCGATTGGTTCCAATGTGCAACAGCCCGGCTACTGTTATACAAGACTGAAAATCGGCGTAAGATTACTTTCAAGTCGCTGAAATGGGTGTACAATAACGAGATTATTATTATGTCGTCACTCTTGGTGTCTACTGCCTTGGCGTTGTCGATTGCAGATGGCGTCAAATTTCAAGTATGTAAAGCGGGCGTGGAGAATGATATGAGTCGTGATACTAGGAAAGAATGGGAGTACACGGACTCGAAACCACCAAATTTCAAGGAATCGGGCTTGTAGAATGTGAAAACGGATGCGGCTGAGTGAACCAAGGATCTGGGTTCGCAAGACAGTGATGTCGAGATCTAGAGTCGTGGTACCCGTTCAATGATCTTAGACATGGGGCTTCATATAAGACTCCAGCATACCGGAAAAGTCGGCTATCGAGAATATCGCGTGGCAGCAGTCCTCGTTTGTTTTTCTCTGGCTGGCGATTCAGCTAACGTCCAAGGAACAAAGAATGTCAGACGGTTTACGGGGTGATGGTCAACGACCATGAACCGAGTCCCGGCAGACAAAGGACCAGTGGGGAGAGGGGGGAACAAGAGCAAAGAATGCTGCGTTTGAGATTTTGTGCCTTGAGAAGCTTGACTTAACAAGAGACGAAAGCCCACCTTTTGCCGCAGTTTGAAGCCACTTCTTGGCTCCGGGACGATGAACGACTTCGTCTAGATTCCCCCGAGAGGGGTCTTATCTCGTCGCATGGCATATCCGAAGGCTGAGCACACAACATGTGGGATCAGGGCGCACGATGCGTGGCAATCCCATGTGCTTGCATTTCAGCTGGGTCCTGGCACTTGCCAGTCTGGAAGCGTTCGCAGTCCGACATGCTGCTCTGTGATCGGCAACAGGAACGGCTTCTTTCCGAGCAAGGATCGCGGGCACGATGTAACAGGGGTTCTCGATCTGGCAGACTTTGGCGGGATGTCAGCGACGGTGGCCACCCGGGTATGTCGATATTCATCGACATTGCGACGCTAGGAAGTAGCGGGCAAAACGGGGTGGTCGGGAAACTGCAGACACACATCCACAATTGCTGGAACGGCTGCAGAGAACAATGGGATGAAGAGGAGTCGTCGACATCAAGAATATCCTTTAGAAGTCCAGCTCGCGGCGGCCCAGCAAATAGTCTCGACGATAGCGTCAGTCTGATCGGGCCATCATTGGTTGTTGGCCCCAGACTAAGACACCGCTAACCACTTCAAGCCATGGAGGACAAGGAAACTCGCAGCAAGTTGTCAGGAACCGCTCGACGGCGTCAAGCCCCCGAAACTTAGTCCAGGTGCCAGCGGGGGTTGAGTACGGAGTAGGTAAACAGCACCAGAGCCACATTTTCCAGGACCTTGATCTGTCAGCGTGGGGTTGCACGAGGAGGAATTCGGATGCACCAAGAGCCTTCAGATTCGGACAAGGGGACTTCAGTCTGAATAGAGTAGTAGGCGTGCTGACAGCGATAGTTTTTGGTCGGCGTTCAATACTGAACGGGGAAAGGGGCCAACTGGCGAATACAACGAGCCATCTAGGTTGAAGTGCGGAAGTGAGAAATGCCGTGGGGGGCTGATAAAAGAGGCTCAAAAAGACACAAGCCGAAATGGCGATCAGCATCGTGTGCAGATGTGCAGATTGCACGGCAACGAGAAACACCGTTGGATGAGGGGCATCTACAGAAAACTCGGATCGGTGCTAAAGCCACTAATATCGAAGTTTCTATGAACAGATTACTGGTATGATGGCTCTTACTCTTGATCGACAATGACGAAAATCATCCTTCCCTCCCACATGTCCAAATACTCCGTATATCCTGTAGTTGTATCCTTACAAGGCAGTGCCGACCAAACTTTCCATTTCAAGCATCACCCAAAATCTCCTGCGTTGAGGAAAGCGACGCCGTCTCCTTGCCCTTTCCTTTGGAAGAGTCACTCTCACTCTCAGCATAAGAAGGAGGATCTAACTCGTCCCCGCCAGCAACCCACACCTTGGAAAGCTCTTCCTCGATTTCCTGGCGTCGTGCCTTCCAATTCTCAACCTGTTCGAGGCGTTCACGAAGGTCCTGGAGCTCCTTCTCGACTTGCATCTTCTCATGCTCTGTTCCGATTCTCTCAAACTCCCACTCATCGCCACGTTCTCCGCCTCCGAGAATGAGGTTGTACGTGTGATACTTCTTGAGCGAGGCGCGTGTGGAGATGGTGATGAGAGCTGTTAAATGTCAGGAGATATGTAGGACATAAAAGTGGCTTTTCAACTTACTGATTCCCTTCTCCTTGCACACTTCGTAGAGCAGACCCTCAACATCTTGAGACACGGCGCTAGTACCCTCGTCAAGAATGGCGAATTGAGGCTCATGGTACAGGACGCGGGCGAAACCCATGCGCTGTTTCTCTCCACCGCTAAGAACATCTTTCCATTCCTTGCGGGTGTCCCAACCGCCTTCACGATCGGGAAGGTAGCCAAGACGAGCATCCTCTAGGATGCGCTTCAAGTCGTCCTCAGACTTCCTCTTCTCGCGCATGTCGTGATGCCCGTCTGGGTAGATGACCTGGTCGCGTAAAGTACCGATGCTAAGATAGGGTCTTTGTGGCAAAAACATGATGCCATCTTGACCAATATCCTTCGGTCGACTGACGAGTCCTCTGTAGACTGGCCAAAGGCCTGCAAGGATACGGGCAATAGAAGTCTTACCCACACCGTTGGGGCCAGAGATCTGAGCACGTCAGTATAATCTCTCTCCGTCCATAGACGTTGACAACTCACCAGAAGGTGCTCTCCTCTCCTGACAACCATGGAGAGAGAATCCATCAGCTCCTCGCCACCGTTGGGCCACAATGATGGAGCCACAACAGGTACGTGCTCAAATCGTACGCCGTCGAAGCCCTTCTGGATTGTTCCCTGAACGTCCGAAAGGGAGTAGAGCTCGTTCTGTTGCCCTCGCAAGAAATACGCATCGGCGTGGACGCGGTGCAGTGTCGATATCAGGGTGTAGACTCTGCTGGTGTAGCCGGCAAGCTCGGAGAGGTCCTTGATAGAGTACATCATCCTACCACCAGCATCCGCAAGTGAAAGCATGAGACGCTTGTTCGTAATGAACTCCTTCATGCGCCCGCGCTCCCTACTTCCCTTTGCAGCATTTTCGGCCAGCTCAGCAGCGCCGCCCAGACCTCCCCATGCTGGAAGGAATACTGGTAATGAGGATAGAAGGTAGCCGTACGCACTCCAACTGTACTTGAGTATAAAATCCTCGAGCATGTTGTACCGAATCTTGAGCATATAGATACCCTCCATCCAGTTCTTCAAAGACTTGAACTCCTTGTTGAGGAAAGTCTTCTCCATGTCGGCACCTCCATAAAAGGCAATCTCCTCGGCATTGGCGATTAGTCGCGCATGCAGCCCCCTGAAGTCTCCCTCCTTGCGACCCTCAACTGCCTTGAGTTTGCCAAAGGGAGGTGAGAGCCGGCGCAGGATGCTCGCTGTCAGGAAATAGTTGCTCAACAGACCCGTCAGAGCCAATGGGCCCAGAGATCGGAATAGCTGGTAGTTGAAGACGCAAAGATCTACAAACGGTTTGCCAAGGGATGAGTAGAGGTTTGCAGCGGCAGCACAGAACAGAGTCAGATCTTGGGTGATGAACTGATCCGCGCCCTGGCCGACACCTCCATCCAAGTTGGAAAGCTTATAGTAGTTGAGGTTGTTGTTCAGGTATAGATCATGGATGTATCGTGTAAGGCGGGTTCTGAAGGCAATGGACACCTTGGACTCGAGGAATTTGATCATCGCATTCGTGTATGACGCAAAGCCACCAAGACCACACCACTGTGAATGTCATTAGCAAGGGCTGAGGGTTGGTTGCTGGAGGTGTTGGGACACCACTCACCTTCACTAGTCCCCAGAAGAATGGCTTCCCTTGTCCGGCTACCAGATCCCGCACAATTTCACCGTCAAGTCGAGCGACAACGAGGGATAGGTAGGTGCGAAGCATCAAGAAAACGCTGTGACTTAGGAGTAGACCGGCTTCTTTACTCGACCATCTCGGGATCATGATACTCATGAGACTGAGGAATTGATGTAGGAATGCCAGGTTCAAGCCCGGCTTCGTCTGCGCTGAGGGAACGGTACCGTCACCGAGGCCAGATACCCGCGGAGGGTTGAGGAAGAGCCGGCGATGCGCCTCGAATGTCAGGGGCTTCGTGGTCTGAATGACAACCTTGGAGGTGCCATCCTTATACGGGACGTAAATGGTACGTGAGCCATCCTTGTTGTGCAGCCACGAATTCGTGCGGACAAGCTTGCGGCCCTGTTCCTTTTCCTCGCGTCGTTGTCTCCACCAGCGTCTACCTCCAGCGGCGCTGAGGACTATGGATGCAGCGAGGGCAAGTGTTCCGAGCAGTCGGGTTGTGCGGGAAGTATTTCGGAGGCGATTGCGGATCAGAGTCGTATATTTCTCGAAGAAGGCGGCGAGAGCCTCCTCTGCGGCCGACTGGCGAAGTGTCGATTGTTCTGCCATCGCAATGGTGGTAGGAAGTGGGAATTGCTTTTCAAGACTTGCGAATTCGTTGTGAGGTCGAGTCGCGCAGGCTCGCCACGTTTAGGGTGCTACTGCAGATGCGCAGCCATCACAGGGCGGGAATGATGGAAAGGAGCGAGCTGAGGAGTGCTAGGGTGTAAGACGCGATTGATGGTGTGTCTCGGGATCGCTGATAGACTCTTCTGACTATGCGTGTATAAAGGTGGTGAGGTAGTTTGAAAAGACTCAAACCAAGCACGTGGTCGCATTGGCAGGCTGAGTCGTTTGTTGTTGGAGAAGCGGCGAGTTTGGAGAGCAGACGCTGGCTCGTGATCGCATTACGACATGTGAATGTCGGCGGGCAGTGGAGTTCCGAGGCACCCAGTACCCGAAGCGGTGGATAACTTGGGGAAAGCTGCGGGCGGACAGGTTCACGCCTCTGGGGCTCTGAAGCGTCTCCACTGAGAGCCCGAGACACCTGGGCCCATGAGTGGCTGGTTCCGGCGGGAATGACGCTAACCCTAGAGGATCCGGAGGGACTGAGCCAATGACAAACCCGATGGCAAACCCCAGTTTCCAGTCACATGATGTATCTTTTTGAGCTTGAACTTGAGGGGTCCGGGGTAGGTACCGTGGTACCTTGGTGGCACTTGGGCACCTTGGCTGTTTGATTCAGTGGTTAGAGAGCCCAAGATGCAACGGCCAGCATTCTTCTATGCGATGAACTTGAACCGTGCTAAGCTGTGTTTTAGCTGGAGTTTTTTCGTATGGCTTAAGTCACACGCACGAGAAGGGAATGCTTCTTGTTGGGCTACTGAGAATGATTGTGGACTAACAGTACTGGCGAGGAAAGCGAACTCTACTTGTCGTGATCTTCCCAAGTTACCTCGAGACACACGTGTTGAACTTTCGGGAAGAGAATCGTGGCCTGGGAAGGCAAGCCTGCGTTATTGTTTCCTCTCTTGATCTGTCTACTGGGCGCCTTAAGTAGCATCACTTCTTGCCTCTTGCTCTCTTCATCGCTAGGCAGGCACGACAGCAATGAACTTGAACTCTTGAGCGGTCGCACCTGTGTCCAATGTTTTGTAGCATCTTGAGATGCAGCCGCTGAGATGAGAATGGCGAAGGCCACAAACGACGCAGGCACACCTTCTTTGCATACAGCCTTGGCTTCTCAAACGGGCAGTCAAGAGATAGGCAGCTACCTTTAGGGGTCTGACAACGAAAGTCAGCCCTTGCTTCCTGAATCAACGACTAAAGGGTCTTGTTTCGCAGAATACCGCGTGTTGTTGCCATGACTTCAACCAACAACATCCAGTTAAAAAACAGTCCGCCATCACAAAGCATCCCCCTTTTATCATCGATCTCTGTGTACAGGCTTGGGTACAGTAACCGCCGGAACGAACTTCATCGGACCTCGACATAACTAAGCCCGTACATGTTCACTACTTCTGCAACTTCATGGAGAACCGACGATTCCCTGAGCGTTGTACATGCTTCGAGGAGCAAGACCGCGCCGGCAAAGTCTTGTCGAAGACGGCGCAAGCCGATGTCGTCCGCGCAATCCAGCGTTTATACTCTACTGGAGTCCCACTCTTCGACAAAACAGTCATCGCCACCCTTGATACAGCGATCTGTGAAAGACATGCAATCATGAACTTGGTCGGCGTGGACGGAAACATGTCTGTTTCGAGACCTGATTGGATTTCCTTTGAGACACAGTAGGCCAAACCACAACACGTCTGCAGCATCCTGAGCAACTAACTGCGCAACCGCCAGTTACGAGCCAAGAATCGGCTTCCGTACCATTCAAAATATGATCAACGGAGTCCCTCCTGATGGCCGAATGCGCACCTGCGGGGCCCTCAGCTCCTATCGTGTCGCCTGTTTCCCCAGACATACAGCACCCTCGTCTCGAGCCACATTGTCATCAATCAAAAGATTGTGGGATATATATCAAAAATTATGGCAGCAAAGTCAAACCTGCTCAGTTCTTATGGAAATAATGGGCAAACTACCGCCACACTGCCAAGTAACAAAGGTTGTGTGCTTCGGTCTCGGCGCGCTCTTGCCAAACATCTGTCGGACGTGTGGGTTATGCCTCAACAGTGTCCATTGCAAGATACACAAAACAACTAGGTCGAGAACCTTCACACAACATGCCGCCGCTGTCAGCATCATGCTCATGTTGCGTCAGCAGAATCCCCACCTACAATGCTACTCGCAGGAGCCAGAATATTCGCCAGAATGCAGAAATATTTTACGAGGCTTGGACATCATTGTTGTCGATGGTCACAAAGGTTTCCTCGAAGTTGATGACAGGACACTCGTTATTTCGATTAAACCGGCCGTTCCTGTCAAGCAAATCATTACCGAGCTGGCAAGGCCAGCAGTGATAATCTGGGATGCTATGGATGGCGATGAAAGGGACCCTGACGAAGGGAACCCAGACAAGTGGCAGTTGTTGACTCGCAACGGGAGTCAATATTGGCAAAGGTAAGTTTGATGAACAATTGCATCGGACTTTCGAGCAAGACTGATTTCCTTAGCCCTTATGGAGTCGATCCTGATTCATCACGCACAAGAAATATGCTGACATACGAATATGCCTCGGTTCCGTTTCCCGGAGATGTGCTGAACTTTGGACCGCTTGATATCCATATACGACAGCCCGCCGATACAATGGCTGGTGGTAGCGCCCTCCAAATAGGAGGAGCGACAGCGGGCACACTTCTCTGAGCCATCAACTGCTGTTTATTGAATGAAGGATGCTTAATGAAGCGTAGGGAGAGCACTGCAGCGAATGCAGCTCTCTGAGGAAGGTCTTTAGAAGAATGAACATGGATACAGAATGGCTGTAAGAGCCGGAAGACCGTGAGAGGAGACGAAGCTGGTTTTTGACAGGTCAGACTGGTGATTTGTTTCGATACGGCATGGTATTGTTGTACGCTTAAGTTTTGATGGAGGAATAACTAGAGGGCCGCGCGAACAAGAACAGAAGAGATACACACCCTTCCACTAGACTTTCCAACATCATTGAGGATGATGGTCCAGCCACCAGTCCACAACCACCCATTCTCGCGTATAAGCTGTTGGTGCCATGCATTAGAAATGCTAGGCTTTCCTGCTGAAAAGACGAACCCCTTAGCAGCAGTGCGTATATCCCGACATGCTAGTCAAACCATCGATCATCCATGGGTTTTTTACTCTGTGGTGTCTGGCATACGTGCCTCTTCAAGACGGTTGTCAACTTGTCGCTTGGAACTCGGTCCAGGTCTCCCTCTGCACAATGACCACATAAAGGCGGGAGGCGTTGGAGGAAAAAGTAAGTTGCTTTCCCGTGGGCAGGCAGTCTACTTGGGACTGGAGCAAAGGACATACCCGCGACCAGTCATATTGGTTGCCATGTTCCATTGAATAATCAAGTATGACAATCACCACCATTGAGTATCTACCCTGATGAGAAGGTAAGATGCAGTCTGCGGACACAAAGGAGCTCACGGGCTCATCCCCACACAAAAAGGAGCATTGCATTTTAGGTTGAATGGGAAGTTTGCTCGTACACCGGCGGCACGGCATGGTGGGCCCCACACGTCCCGATGCCGCCGGCGCTGTTGCGCGCAGCACACCCACATGAGCCTCCGCCACACTAGCCTCTTTTGTGTTCAGAATGTTTGCTCCGGGGAGGCTTGCCTGCGTGCCTTGGACTTGGAGTAGGTACCGGTACACTGTATAGTATGTAGGGTATGGTGGTGTCCGGCCAATGCCTTTTGGGTTCTGGAACCTCTGACGCTTTATTTCTACCGAGTATAGAGCTCAATTTTACAGTCAAGCAGTCTGTCATCCCATGTTTACGCGCGGCGGGAGATGCGTGCCGAGACCATTTTTGGTTAATGCAGGCGCACCGTGTGTGGTTTTGTTTCTTTTTACGGATACACTCTTTTTCTTGGGAAAATTCAACGCCTGGGAAGTTTGAACTCGTCGACACTCGACAGTCGGACGTTTTGGCCAGTGGGGGAGGAGATGTAGACTAGGAGGTTTGGAGTGAGGGCTCTGTGAGGATACCTCAAGGCACAAGCTGCTCAACGGATGAACCGGGGGGCGGGAGAGAATGAGATACGGGAAACCTATCTCTGCAAGAGATCTCTCATCTCACTGTTAAAGTGAAAAGCTGTTGCGGGTTGCGACTTTTGCGGTGGTGGACCCCCTCCTCCGCAGCACAGAATCCGGCGCGAAGACATCCACGTTGGGAAAACGTTGCTTTGGGAACCTTTCGGGGGGTCATCCCGGTTGGATTTCTTGTCAAAGTCCAGGTCGCAGCGGGTGCGGAATCGGGAAGCCCTTCCCCTGGCGGCGGTATTGCCCTCTTTGCATGAGAACACCCCTGCTGCGCGGTGCGTGAGTGGTCCAAACCTGCGTCCTGCATACCCAACCTTGGAAAAGTTGGGGACTTGGGGACTCTTCTCTTTTATTCGTCCCTGTTCAACTCTGTTCACTTTTGGCGACCTTGTGGGATGGGAGATGCATCAGAAAGGCAGAGAGGCCAAGGTTGGTTGTATGCGAGAGAGTGTGTGTGAATGGAGTGAGTGAGCAACTGAGACGAGAGTGTGTGTGCCCGCCCAACCAGATCCGTCACTCAATCGGGCGGTAACATGGCCAATGAGGATAGAGCGGTCCAGGGGGGCAGTTTGTCTGGGATGTCTGGATCTTTGCCCCCGTAAGCATGTACGGATGCTGGTTGGTCGGGGACGTTCTTTTGCGGCTGTGAGTCGATTCGGGGTGATGGGGTTCTGGAATGTCTGGGTTCTTTTCGATGAGCGCTTCAGAATGAAGCGATTGTCCAACCGTCATCGCGAGGCTTGCGAGGGGGAGGGGGCTTTTGGAGGAGTTTTGGTAGAACGAGTGAGTGAGAAGTGGTGCAGTTGCATGAGAGCTCGGGAGGGAGCCCATCTCACTGAAGGTGTTCTCACTCTCATACTCACCCTCACTCAGACGAAATCCTCAACTCTGTACAATAAATGCGCGGGGATTTATCAGACGGAAGGCAACATGGATGAGGCAAACTCCAACCGCCCAATATCCTCATGCACTGAGCAAATGGCAGCTGGCATTCGCCCAGCAATGCCTCGAGCTCTCTGTCCCAGTGTCACTGGACTCTAAAGTCTGCAGTCTGGAAACTACTCCGTACCTTCCACTCATCTCAGAAGAGCTCCCCATCTGCTACCCGCATCGGAAAAAGTGGAGGGGGATGCTGGGGGCTAGCAGATGGATGGTGGTGTCGCGCATCGGGACGAGGTCGAGACTGTTGTTTTCTTGTATTTTATTCCAATTGTCTTACTTGACGGGGGACCCGGGCGGCGCACGCATTAAAGGAGAATGGCCGCCCGGCTGAGTTTACCCTGCACTGGTCCGGCGTTAGACCAGACTACTCCCCCAAAGGCCCAGCAGGAGACGACGGTGGCGGCAGCACCCACTTTGCCCTTGGCACTTGCGCGCGGTGCTTACTCTGGAAGCTAATTCAAGCCAGGCAGGCGGCAACTTGAGGCGCCAGGCGTGGTAATGTAATAGACCAGGAGGCATCTGATGCGACGACGGGGGCAAGACTCGTGGGTATTACTCCGGAGGCAGTATTTCGTACGCAACAGACTCAGGTTGGGTCCAGTGAGACTCAGGCTCAGTCAGACAAAATCCCCTCAGAATGTCTTTCTCTGTGAGCGCGATGGATCATGGAGCCAGTTCGGACAGGTGTGTCAGGGATGCTGTTCTTCTCTCTACCTCACAGACCGGGTTGTGGGTTTTTGTTGTTTCTGTCGTCGTTGGAATCGTTCCTGGGCCCTGGGGGCGTAATTTATGGGTCTCATCTTTGCCTGCCCGTCCTATCTGTTTTTGGTGCCTGCTCTTGATGAAAGAGTTAGTTAGACTGTGAGAAAACGAAATGACGGCACTGGGATGCCGAGTGATGGGCTCAACAAAGGGCCAAGGACACGAAGTAATCTCTGGGACAGACGCAGCTTCTCTCACAGCCCTTGAGGGGTTGCCAGGAACGGTTACCGCGCCAGTGCCAGCAGCTTCGAAGCTCCTGGTCGACATGAGACCCCGGAATCCACGATGTAAGTATACCGTATCTCCCAAGGTCAGACTCGAGACGAGAGTCGGAGAGATGTCTTGTGCTGGTGCATTGGCTAAATAGCTTCCCAAAGCGAATAGCAGACCCATCGGTCGAGGTCCAAGAGGGTATCGCGGTCGCCCATCTCACTTTACGAATTGGACCAATTCAGGCTCTAGCTCCTTGCGAAGCGTGTGATGGGCCGGGATGGACTCTGCTTGTGTTCCCACCATGGAGATTTCTGTAATATGAGCTTGGCGGCACGGCAATGGGAGAGAAATGGGAGATGAGACATGGCGTCTGATGCGGCGCGATAGTCGTCTGGTGTAGGGCACAGTGCGGATCCCCTCACATGGTCAGTGCAGGATGAGGCCCCACTCTCAAATCTCGAGGCAAGAAGACGTCACTCGGACTCACTTCCTGCCATTATCATCCATGTCAAGCTGGCTCAAGTTGCATTAATTGTATTATCCGCTGCACAAGCTTCATCAGTCTCCAACAGTATGAAGACATCTTGTCAACTGTGATCTCTTCGAGCCCCCTATCGTGCCCCATCTCTCAAGCCCGGCCTTTGCTTAACCAGGACGGGACGGGCTAATCTCACCGGGAAACCCACCCACACCCTTCCAGGTCTCTTGCTCTCTTGCTTCTCTCTCCCTCTCACTCTCTCTCACTCTACGGAGTACCTAGTCTCCATTTCCCTTGGAGCTGCAGCCCCCCAGCTTCATCTGCACCTGTAGACACGGGCCAGCCCCTGGCCCCTAGTAGACCCCATCCAAGTGTTGCTTTCAAAGGCAAATCATCTCGCTTGTGCCTTTCACGCTCTTTCAGCCTCTGATACGTCCTCTTGCCCATCTTCCTTAATTCTCACCCCCGGGCCCTGGGCTGCCATCTGCTCTCTTCCTCTTCCTCTCGCCGCCGACGCCTTGTCTTTCTACTGGCCATTTGGGTTGTTAGCTTTGCTTTTTGGCTCTGCTGCTCTGTTGCTCTCGTTCTTCCTCTCGCTTGCTCTCCCGGGCTCTCACTCTCCCGTCTCTCTCATCCTCTCTTTCACTAACCACCCCTCCCCCCCCAATTTTCCAATCTCCTTGCACGCCTTGCCGTTGCTCCATTCTTCGCTCCTCGTCCTCTTTCACGCATCAGCAAACTCGCCAAATTCATCGTTCCCGACCTCTTCGGTCTGCCTCGTTTCCCCCCCCCAAAAAACCATTCGACCGATATTCGATACCTATCTCTTTTTTCTTTCCAAAAAGGCCAACCCATTCACTTGTTACCAGCGAACCTTAATTTCTTCCGCGACGTACCTTGCTGTACCCTGCAACCGCTCGCTCGCTTTCTTCTCGCCCACTTTTCTTCCCATCTGATTCGAGCACCACCACCGCCAACCATTACGACCTTGCCTTGGGACCGACTCCAACTGACACTGGCCGCCGCCGTAAACCATTGCCCCCCCCCCCAGGCCCAGCCACTTGCCTCGCCCACCTAGTCATTCCATTGGCGCCGCTTCTTGCGCGACTGAGCCCAAACCATCTTCCATTCTCCGCGTTCGACCGACAACCTCACCGGGACGTCGCCTTTCCTCCTCTTCCATTCCATCCATCGCCCACCCGCGTCGATCTTTTACTTTCCGACAATTCTCTTTCACCTCGGACCGCGCGACGAGCTTTGCGAATCGGCCTTTCACGGCCGACAATAGCTCAGTTAAGGGGTTGAGGATTCTGGGAAGGCTTGCCGGACCCCAAGAAGAAAGGAGGTGAGTGACGACACTTCATTTTCAACTCTGCCCGAGTCCACGACGCACCCTGTCTGCCATCAATCCCATGCTTGCGCGACACACCGCCTCACCGAGGGAGGAGGCATGCTCGTTCGTCTGTTGGTCCTAGCCCACCTTCACGCGCACCGCTTGCTTCATCTCGGGCGCCCACAAGTCGACAAACACGACCTCGGTCATGTCTTAGACCTTGGAATGAGAGGCAGAGGCGGTAGTGTCATGTTTGATCTAGATGTGCTCACTGGTGCTCGCCAGCCCCTCCTGGGCATCGTCGCTTGATTCATGCAAACCGTTGGTCTTGCTTTGATGGTCTTGGCTAACCACGCCCTGCTCTAGTTCGACAGCATCATGTCCGAGAGACCACAACCATCCAACCCAGACGAAATCACACCACAGATCCAGCAAAACGGTCAGTCAAGTCAAGAAATGTCCAAGGAAAAGGTGCTTCTGGCGCCAGAGGAGGGTGGAAATTCAAAGAAGGGTAGGGGCTTCCTGCATGTACCGTCTCGGTCTTCCTCGCAGCGCAATCAATCCTCTCCCACGTCGACAGGGCTGAGCGGAGCAACAGTCAGCGATTCGAGAAACAGCATCGGCGGACGCTCGAAAGAGTCCAAGGGTAGCTTTCTAGGACGCCATCGAAATGGCAGCGTTGGCAGCCACCGATCCGGCATCGAAACCGAACCTACCAACACCCCCGGCAACACGCAACCGAATTCTCCCGTGAACCCCCCTCAGAAGAAGAAGAAAGGCGGACTTTTCGCCCTGCTTGGGTGCTGCGGTGTCCCCGACAACGCGAACGCAATTGAGAACGGCGACGACGCCGTCCACAAGCTCGACAAGCTGCCCGCGAGACCGACCACCGCCAAGTCCCGACAGCCCACCCCGCAGGACCAACAAGTCCCTTCGAACAAGCCGCAAATCCAGGAGAAGCAGCCCCAGCCCGAGCAGCCAATGACGGCAACTGAGGCCAAAGGCAAGCGTGTGTCCGGCGCAACCACTGCCGATGATTCTACTGTTGGCGGAGAGGCTGGCGAATCCAAGCAAAATGTCATCAGCAATGCCGGAGCTAGCAGTGCCGCGCCTGCGATCACGGTAGAGTCGACCACCGGTGAGAAGACCAAAGAGGCGCCAGTGCTGGAAGCAGACAAGAGGGATGCGGAGGGAGACGAAGCGATGCCCGATGCGACGCCCGAACCAGAAGAGAAGCACCAAATACCTCCCCCGGTAGAGGATGCACCGACTAGCCAGCTGCCACCGCCTCCGCCTCTGCCGGTGTCAGTCCCGGTCGAGTCTGCTGAGGCCCTTCCGGAGCAAAAGTTCTTGCTGCCTCCCATTGCGCCCGAGTTTAAGGGCAAGAAATGTCTCGTGCTTGATCTAGACGAGACCTTGGTCCACAGTTCATTCAAGGTATGCATGGAAGCTGGCACCCGGCCCTATCCCACAGCGTTGCTCACAAATCTGTAGATTCTCCACCAAGCCGACTTCACTATCCCCGTTGAAATCGAGGGCAATTATCATAATGTCTATGTTATCAAGAGACCAGGAGTAGATCAGTTCATGAAGCGTGTTGGCGAGCTTTATGAAGTGGTGGTCTTTACTGCGTCAGTCTCAAAGGTAAGATCGACTTCTCGACCCTACCACTTGACTTCGTGTGCTAATTCATCCAAAGTATGGCGACCCGCTGCTAGACCAGCTCGATATCCACAAGGTCGTTCACCATAGACTTTTCCGCGAGAGCTGCTACAACCACCAAGGAAACTACGTCAAGGATCTTTCCCAGGTGGGAAGAGACTTGAAGGACACCATCATCATCGATAACTCTCCCACGTCGTACATTTTCCATCCCCAGCATGCCGTTCCGATCAGCAGTTGGTTTTCAGACGCGCACGATAATGAGCTGCTGGATTTGATTCCCGTTCTAGAAGACCTCGCAAAGTCGGATGTCCAGGACGTCAGCCTGGTTCTCGACGTTACACTTTGAAGCTAAAGATACCAATTTCTTTTCTTCGTTCATCACCTCCGAAGAAGTTTGCAGGACCGCGTGTCCCATCATAGCGGCAGGCGTTTGGGTTGAGATGGTTCGTTTCCAGCAGGTGTAGATGTATCACTGTCTAATCTTACCTTATAATGAGCATGGTGGAGGTACCAGACCACTGAGCCAGCTCACGGCGGCTTTCATGCAGCAAAAGCTCGATGGCCGCATTTCAAAGGACCGCGAGGATGACAATTTCCATCGAAGAACCTCGGGATCGGAAAGGGAAAAAAGTCAGGGCACTTTGGAGCTTGGGATGGCCGAACTGGGGCAGCTGGGGCTTTTCTGTCACCTGGTGCTTCTTCGTCGGCATTGTTCGAATAATGCGGTCGAGGAACCCAACGAAAGATGTCTGTCGAAGATCAGTCATCATGAAGAACAAAAAAAAGGCGGCTAGGGATACCATGGGTCCTCGGGTTGGAATCTGAAGGGGATGATGCCCTCTACGTGGCAGGATATTGTTTTTCCCTTTGTTCTTTTTCTATGTCTAAATCGTACACTCCACCACCACCACTAACACTACCCCCAACTACCACATTTCTCCGGGAGTCTGCAAGCAGACATTTCATCTTCCTGCCATTATAGCCGGCAATTGTCGAGAAGGAGAGAGCTATTGCAGGAAAGCGTTGCGTTGTGTTGTATTTCACCATGTGCTGCATAAGCTGGCGCCGTCACATGGAAGCTTTTTAGCTGCAGAGCGCGGCTGCTTCCTAGATATACAGTACCCTCGAAATTCAATTGAAAGCATTAACAAGGTTATCAGTGCGCAATTGCGTTTCTGGAATGGCGGAGAGAATGGAAAGTAAAGCATGTGCTCCGACGAATTGATGCATCTGCACCTCGCAATGACAGGATGACCATGTATGCCATGCCCTCCGGTCGTGAACCTGACTGGTCGTGCCAGGATTAGGGGGTCAGTGGAGTTTCTGGGAGCCGCTAGTCCGCTATGCTGAGCAGCCACCCATTAAGGTATGTTCGCCGCCCCAGGGGGGTCTGGAACGTCGGGTCGGAAAATCCCCTGGGCGGTAGCTGGTCCCCTTTCCAAAACTGTGGCCTCAACTCTGCCACTTTTGAGCGCAGCTGCACCCCCGAATCTCTAGAGAGCTCGAGTTCCCATCACCACGCGCTCACGACCGACCATCCACATCCCACACCACCCTTCCGAAATTCGATTCTTCCTTCCCGCGTCGACTTTTTCGAACGAATTCTCCTGGTTTCCGAGTATCCTGCAGCGATCTTGGATCTTTTCCCTCGTCACACTCCTTCACAATGGTAAGTTAATGTCCTTTGGCCGCTGCTGGTCACTCCGAGCTCCCCTTGCTGGATTGCACGTCGTGGCCTTACTCTACCATGTTGTACGCGACTTGCTGGAGCTTTGAGAACGAGATGTGTACTTGGAGTATGCGCCTGATTGTGATCAATCAATGCGCGCGCGCCACGACCACGATACCTACAGACTGACGGGAACAAATTGCTGACGTTGAATTTGTGGTATCGTAGTCTTCCCCTCGCCCTTCCTCGCCCGTTAACGGAGCCGGCGCCGCCGCCTCTGGCGCCAGCGTCGCGCGTCCCTCTTCGCCTACTCCCCCCGGCGGCCCCAGAACCGCCATCCGTCGCCGCGCGGCTGCCGACCAGAAGGAGAAGATTGCGAATGCGCGGCCGAACAGCACGAGAGCTGCCGGTGCTGGCGGTAGCAGCAGCACCATGCTGAGTACGTTTTAACACATGACGTGTCCCTAAACCTTCAGAGATGATGTGGCGGATATGGTGAATTGGTTGGAATTGGGCAGGATTTGAGGCGAAGAAGCTTCGTGGTTTCATAATTGGGAGTTGGATGCTAACATGTGGATTTTAGGACTCTACACCGACGAATCTCCCGGCCTCAAGGTCGACCCCGTTGTCGTTCTCGTTCTTTCCCTTGTTTTCATTTTCAGCGTTGTTGCCCTTCACAGTAAGTTTGAGCTATGGACCCATTGCTCCTTTAATTGAGCACTCAGCTGACCCAACTGCGCAACAGTCATTGCCAAGCTCACCCGCAAGTTCTCCTCTTAAGCGACTTGGGAAGACACATGGGAGAGATGCAAAAGCTAGCCTTGGATGGAGCTCACAAGGCTTTGTGAGGAACCGCAAACGCCAGAGTGATGCTACCGTAACACACACCAAAGGAATGCCATGGCAGCGGGAAAGAAAGCAAGAACTGTGCCTGCATAAACACAGAGTCCTTTTGGGATATGCGAGGAGTGGCATCTGACATCAAAAACAACACAAAAGCAACCTTTCGACGATAATGGACAGTGGAGTTGCCTGCTTGTGCTCGAGAGGGGGAGCAACTTGGTCAAGGAGGCAGAGTGCATGACTGATGCGCGCCGCTGTATTATACCTCTTTTTACTTTATTACGCTTGTAGTCTAGATAGTCCAACATAACTACTGGAACCCAACATTTTGCTGTTTCTGACAGAAGGAGACATTTGCCTCTAAAGCTGTAGTCTTCGAGCCTCGAAAACAGGGTAGAGACCTCGATGTTCCAGCAAGTTCAGTTACGACTTTGCCCAGACTGCCTATCTCACCCCCTTGCGGCGACCCTGAGCTCTATGGGCAGGTGACTGCCCAGGTGAGAAGGCTGATCCACCGTCCCACAATGGCGACTTGAGAGGTGGAGGCAACTGATTTGTGCCGCGAAGTACGGATAGACGGATCACCTGTGAGGATAATCAAGAGTCTTTCCAAACCTACAGTCCCTGAGAGGAACATAAAACAGAGGAAAAGAGCAAAGTTTCTTTGCTTCCGTCCTGAGTTAGCAGGAATTGAGCTTAGTTGAATCCAGTCGCTGGTCAAAAATAGTGAAGTTGCGTAGGACACGTGATTGGAAGCCAGTATGGCATATCCGAACCCTTTTGGGTAACCAGAGACGTTCCGCTCGCGCGCGCGCCCACGGTAAGTTCCAATTGGAGGAAATGCCCATCCCCACCAACCCTTCTCTCTTTCCCTGGTACGGAGCACGTACCTAGGTATTTCCCCATATTCCCGTTGTTGGCCAATAACTCGGCTGGCCACTTTGCTTTCATGTTCATCCACAGTTCCACATACACAGCAGCATTTTCCAAAATGGATACTCATATCAAAAAAATCAGCGAAAATAGCAACGATTCACCGAGAGCAGCCCAGCTGCCTTCTCCTCTCCTTGGTGTAGTTGGTTTATCACGTTCGACTGTAATGGTTACGTTGTCATCGAAAGGTCTCTAGTTCGATTCTGGAAGGAGAGAGAACCAAATATTTTGCAGTTTCGTTGCAAAAATTTCTTTTTGCTATCTGGGACTTGTCGCCTGTCTTTCCTTGTCTCTGCTCTTGTGCTTGCTGGCGTAATCTATGCTGTTGCTGCTTTTGTTCCTAGTGGCTAGGCTTTTGCTAGGCTTTCCGTTGCCTTCCTCACGTACTCTCATTGTCTTCACCTAGGTATACTTGAATCCTTAGACTGGCCAAATACGAAGGAGGTTACTCGAGTTGTCGTCGCTGGTCGACACAAATTTCAGCCGAGTCAGGAGACCAACTCGTTCGCGAACTTCGCCAAACGACCATAGCCCCCTTGTGTCAAGAAACAAACCAGTCGACATTTGACTGACTGGCGTTTTCACTAACCATATCAACTTGCGTCGTCGCTATTCAGAACCTGCCCAGAATACACCCTTAATAAAGCAGTTGAGTTCATGAGGTTAACCAACACCGACGAGTCAACCAATATCGAATAACAACGGAAATTCGTTAACAAAGCCTACAGCATTTCTGAAGAAACATCGAGGCAAGAGATGACAATGGCACTCTTGTCAAGCCCTTCCCGTGGGTTTGACATTGAAGCGATGAGTTACCGCTCGAGTTCCCAACACCGTTGAGTCTTGATGTGTCTCACATGGCTGTTGCCCCGACGGAAGCAACCTCTGAGCTGCCCGAGGAACGGGGAATAGAATCATGACCTTACAGCCAAAGCTCCACGCTTCCACGCGTCCCCTAGACACAATCCTGGACCCCGGTCCAGCTTTATTTGGTCCTCCTGAAAGTGTCCTACCGCGACTACAACTGACCAGCAAACCGGAAGACGACTTATAGTTGCTGCCTAACCGGTATCCTAGGCCTGCTGCTGAGACTTTGGAATATTACCTAGAACCTCACCTAGATATTTTCGCTTGTATGAGACGCGTGTGCTAAAGGAACGGGTCACCCCTGTTCCTCCAGACTCATATTCTCTTGGTCTTGAGTCTTGTGGCTGTGCGGGGTTCCAGAACCAGGCCCAGCTGGCACTCTTCTAAACCGTCCCATCAAAACATCCCGTCATTGGCTCAGCCGATGCCATCTTTCTTGGAGGATCTTCAACGCCTCCTCTCCCCCACGTCGTCAGGCCATTGGACGAATGAAGTTACGGGAGGGAGGTGGACGTCATAGCTCTATCCCCCGTCCCATGCAAATTCAAGCCGGGAGCGCCCCGTGCCAATCGCCCAGTCCAGTTCGCTTGAACTGAGGCGTTGAACTTGTTGATGCGACATTTCGGATGGTTGCGTAGGGCGGTGCTGTTGGCTACCTCCCTCTTCTCCATTACCTTATGGCAGGGCAGTGGAGGCCCTGCGTAGGTATCGGCGGAGATGTCGCTAGTGGCCCCTTATCCGCTCCCACCCCACCTCTAATCTGTTCCTCGAACCCACTGAAGCTCTAGGGTCTTTCTCACGAGCTTGATCATCTCAGCTTTTGGCTCCGATGATGAAACGGGGCTGAATACTTATGCTGCCTGCCTTCGCTCCAGCACCTCGTTTGTCACTGCACCTCTAGATCCTGCTTTCTAACCAGTCTTTATTTTCCACATCCGGACTCAGGGAGAATCCTGTTAAGCAATATAATTGTACACACCCACATCTTCCCATCTTGCCACTCCTGCTTGCCCCTCTTTTGTGTCACTAAGCTTGTTGCGCTGTTGAGACGGCGCCCTTTTCGGTCGAAAGCTATCAAACGTCAACACTACAACAACAACAACAGCCACGAACATCGCCGCTTCTACCTGCAGCCCAACTCACCGTGATGACCTGAACTCTTGGAAACAACCTAAGTACCCCTTGACATCGTCACTGGTCTTCGCATCCCTGCCTTGAGGAGTCGACAAGTTGACCTTCCCCGCAATGACGGTTGTCAAGAACCCAGGAGCGGGCGCGAGCTCGTCTGCCCCTCCCCCGCCACCACGACGGCCCAGCGATCTGAACCTCGACAGGACGGACAGCCAAGAAGTTCCCGACGCCCTCGTCTCTGACGGATTCAGCTTGCCCTCGCTGGAGGCCGAGACCGAGGCCCCACCGGCCTATGGCGACCTTCCCGACCAGCTGCAGTTCAACCAGGCGGGCTTCGAAGCCGGCGCCAATGTCACAGGTAACTTTCACCTCCTTCCAGCAACACCCACACCGCAAGGTCCCGCTGACGAGTGATACTAGGCGATGGCCGAGTCAACATCAACATCAACCAGAGCGGCAACCGCCTGGCCGAGATCCTCGCCCCGACGCTACGAAACCAACTCCTCGCCGACAAGCGACCGCAGGCGCCCCTGCCTCCCGCCTACATCCCCCCGAGTCTCGGAGGCCAGCCGGGCCAGACCCCTCCCCCGCAGCTCAACGTCGTGATACAGATCGTCGGCTCACGAGGCGACGTCCAGCCCTTTGTCGCTCTCGGCAAGGTGCTGAAAGATACCTACGGCCACCGCGTGCGGATAGCCACACACGCGACGTTTCAAAAGTTTGTTGAGGAGAATGGGCTAGAGTTCTTTTGCATCGGTGGCGACCCCGCCGAGCTCATGGCTTTCATGGTCAAGAACCCCGGTCTGATGCCTGGCTTCGACACCCTTAAGAGCGGAGAGGTCAGCAAGCGCCGTAGGGGAATTCAGGATATTCTTCTCGGGTGCTGGCGCTCGTGTATCGAGGCGGGCAACGGGTTGGGGCCGCCGCCGAAACCGCATGCCAAGGATCAACCGTTGGACGAGCACTATGGAATCCCTGGCGATCCCACGCAGAAGCCCTTTGTGGCCGATGCCATCATTGCGAACCCACCAAGCTTCGCGCATATCCATATCGCGGAGAAGATGGGAATTCCTTTACACCTCATGTTCACTATGCCGTGGACGCCTACGCGCGCCTTTCCTCACCCGCTGGCCAACATTCAGTCGACAAATACCGACACGGTCATGACCAACTATGTTTCCTACGCGCTGGTTGAAATGATGACATGGCAAGGCCTGGGCGACGTCATCAACCGGTTCAGAGATAAAGCGCTGGACTTGGAGCCCATGTCACTGATTTGGGCACCGGGCGTGTTGACGAGACTGAGGATCCCCTATACATACTGCTGGTCTCCGGCACTGATTCCCAAGCCGAATGACTGGGGCCGCGAGATCGACATCTCAGGATTCTACTTTTTGAACCTGGCCTCGGCATTCACCCCGGAACCTGATTTGGCAGCGTTTTTGGCTGCTGGGCCTCCTCCCGTTTACATCGGATTCGGCTCTATCGTAGTTGACGACCCGAATGCCCTGACCAGGATGATCTTCGACGCTGTTCATCAGACGGGTGTGCGCGCGCTGGTCTCCAAGGGCTGGGGCGGCCTAGGCGCGGAAGATGTTGGACTTCCGGAAGGTGTCTTCATGCTGGGCAATGTACCCCACGACTGGCTGTTCAAGCACGTGTCGGCAGTTTGCCATCATGGCGGTGCAGGTACTACTGCCGCAGGTATCCAGGCAGGCAAGCCTACCATCATTGTGCCATTCTTTGGTGACCAGCCGTTTTGGGGAGCTATGGTCTCGAGAGCCGGTGCTGGTCCGGACCCCATTCCCTACAAGGAACTCACTGGAGACAAGCTTGGCGAAGCCATCACATTTGCCATCAAGCCCGAAACCCAAGCTAGAGCCCAGGAGCTTGGTCACAAGATTCGCGAGGAGAAGGGTACTGATTTAGGTGGTAAGAGTTTTCACGATCACTTGGACACCGACGAACTTAGGTGCTCTATTGAGCCTAGTCGGGCAGCTGCTTGGCGTGTAAGAAGGACAAAGGTCCGTTTGAGTCCCATGGCTGCTGCAGTGTTGGTGGAGAGAGGCTTGATTAAGTACTCCGATCTCAAGCTGTGAGTACTCGTGCTCCTGTGGTCACACAATGTAGAATGGCAACTAACAAATCACAGCTATCGGCCCAAGGAATACATCACGGAGGGCCAGCCGTGGGATCCTATTTCTGCAGTTTCAACATCGCTGGTCGCAGATATTAGCAGTATCGGTATGGCTGTGGCCGATTTTCCCCGAGAGCTGTTCAAGAGTCGCAGCAAAGGAGACAAGACCCCTGAGCCTACAACACCTGCCCTAACGGAAGCTTCCTCAAGCAAGCAGTCTCTACACCAGACCTCAAGCAAGCAGTCTCTACACCAGACCTCAAGCAAGCAATCTCTACATCAGAGTGATAAGGCATCAATTGCGGCTCCAAGCACGCACGCTTCGGAGTCCTCGACGCAACTAGGCCTCATGGAAATGGAGGGCTCTACCCCGACGTTGCCGCAATCTCCACAGCCGGATACGGCGTCTTTAACACAATCCCAGACGGCTTCCACTGCTCCCTCTATGGTCTTCAGCCCCCCTGATGGTGCGTCGATTGCTCGCAGCGAGACCACGCCTTCAGAGCATGCGTCGACGACTCAATCAGTGAGGCCACCCAACAGTCCGGGAAAGAGGTCGTTCAAAGAATCGATGCCTGCGAATGTGGGCGTTGACGCCGCCGTGGCAGCTGGAACGAGTGTTAGTCGCATCGTTACTACCGGTGTGAAGACACCGATGAATGTGTGCCTCGGCTTGGCACGGGGTTTCCGGAATGCCCCTCGATTGTACAACGATGACACCGTCCGACCGCCCGAGAAGGTGACGGACTTGGCAAGCGGTATCAGAATCGCTGCCAAGGAATTCGGCTACGGCATGTTTGACGGCATCGGTGGACTGGTCACTCAGCCGCTGAAGGGTGCCGAGAAGGAGGGTGGGATAGGCCTCATCAAGGGCTTCGGCAAGGGCATTGGTGGCTTGATTCTCAAGCCTGCATCTGGTGAGTTGACCCGTGCCATGGTGTGGATGACTGTTACTAACCTGTAAAGCTGTATGGTCTGTCCCCGCGTATACCATGCAAGGTGTCCATGCTACCCTCCGCAACGCCTTTTCGAGTAGCGTCCAGAACTACATCATTGCGTCTCGTATGAAGCAAGGACAAATGGACATGGATAGTGCCGGTGTCGCGGAACGCGAAGACGTCGTTGCGCGTTGGAACAATGTCAAGTTTGACCTGAAAAACTTCCAGGCCATGAAGTTGAAGGAGCAGCGAGAGAAGCAGAGGGCTGAAGGGGAAGGACCCTACGAACAACCCGAGAAGAGTCTCACGGCCCCGGTCACGGGTTGGGCCCACACGAGAAAGTTGTCCTTTGAGGAAAGGAAACAACTCCATGCCCGGAAAGAAGCGTGGAAGAAGGGTCATGTCGAGGCCATTGTCCCTGCCTCAAGGTCTGATCTGTCGCTCTCGGAGCCTAGCTCAACGAGTGCCGCCGAGGACGAAGAGTTTGAGCGCGCCATCCGCGTATCTGTCGCCGAGACTTCGCGTGGCAACGCCGAAGAAGACGCTGCGGTCGAGCAGGCCATCCGCGCAAGTGTTAACCACTTCCGAAGCTCCGGAGTCCCAGACATACGGGCCGAGAAGGCTGCGTCTCATGCCAGAGACGAAAAGAACCTGGACCAAGACCCGTTCACGAGTGCCGAGCTGGAGATCACGGATGAGGAATACCAGCGCCTCATCGAGCAGGCCATCAACCAAAGCATGTCGCTTAAAGCTGCGGGTGTACAACCGGGCGAGGGATCACACGGCGACGACGAAGAATTCCAGCGCGCCCTTGAGCAATCCAAGATTGCCCAGCAGCAGCAGCCCCCGGCACACGAAGACGACGAGGAGCTGCGGCGGATCCTGGAAGAGTCCAAGAGGCAGCACGCAGAGGGAAACACAAACGAGGAAGAGGAACTCCGCAAGGCGATTGAGGCGTCGGAGGCTGCGCACAGGGAGCAGCAGAACAAGGACGCCGCGGCGCGGACGGAGGAGGATGTCGTGATGGAGTATGTCAAGAAGCAGAGTCTCGCCGAGGAGGAGTTCCGGCGGAATGCGTCAAAGGGTAAGGCGCGCGATGTTGCGGCGGATGCTGACGACGACGAGGACGAGGAACTGAGGAGGGCGATGGAGGAGAGTTTGAAAATGAGTGGGCGACCTGGAGGGTCGAGTTCCTACCAGTGATCTTTTCTCTCTTTTCTTGTTCTCTTTTTGCAATGATGGGGTTGAAGCGGGGGGGGGGGGGGGGGGTGGTGAGACAGATAGATGGCACCAGCACATCCGAGATACCATTTTAGTTTTCCCGAGTATAATCCGATCTACATTCTAACCCTTTCCTCGCGAATTGCCTAGAGACACTCTCTCTATGTCTGCGGGACATATTTTCACGGAGGAACGAAGCGGGGGCGGTTCTCGTCTCTGGAATGATGGCCCGATCGGGCAATTGACGTCCTCAACGATGCGGCATGATTGGTCGGGTGACTTGCCCAGGCACGGCCAGAGTGGGATGAGGGAAATAGAACGGCGAAGTGCGAACTTTATATCACATTGACCATATCTGCATCATCTGCACAGGCGTGTAAGTGGCTCAACCAAGTCACTCACGCGGTTCCAAGAGTATTACAGCTGATGGATGTATTGGTTCTCAAGTCAGTCTCCACCCATAGAGCTGGCTGATGATATGTTATCTCCTAATGATACAATTCTTTACACAAACTTGCTAGGCAAGTATGATTACCCTCCTTTTCCTGTTGTCTCCTTTCGTTCCTAATTTTCTTCTGGCTCAGTGGGAGCTCAATCGCAAACGAGCAAGTGTATAGCCAGATCGTCACATTATCCTTTTCAAACTTTGCATTATTTCGTGTTCCTTCCGCCCTTCCACTTAGTGCAACTTCTCCTTCAAATAGATCACTGCCGCATATCCTGCACAGCAGTTTGTCGTCATTCCGTGAGCGCACCATGGGCACTTCACTGTCGTAGAGATGAGCCCGCTGACTCCCAGCTTCCGGTCCTCCACCATGCTGTCGGGTTTTGCCATGCATTCGTAGACCTTGCTCGGCATGTCGTGCAAGAACTTGCAGCTACAGCATTCTACAAGCATCTTGGCAACAGGCTCAGGGACACCGCTGGGAGGAACAATAGACGCGCGCGAGACGCGGCTCGAGCGCGGTGGCGGCATTGATTTGCGGGCTTCTTCGAGGTAGCTTGAGGGATTCGAAGGCGCTTTAGTGGACACTATCGCTTTCCTGGAGGCTACATCCACAGGGAACGAAGACTGCGAGGCTGCTTTTGCATGTAAGTTAGCAACAGAGCCACGCTTTGATGAGCGCGGCGGTGGTGGCGGAACAAGAGACCGAGGCACCAGAGGTTGGTGCTTGAGTTTCGGAAGGAAACTCGTGTCAAGTGCGAGGTCAGGACTCGAGCGGCTCTTAGTCAAGCTCGGACGACGCTGAACGACATTGAGGACTTCCTCTTGTACCGTTCCAATGTTGTTGCTGGCCTCCTGAACGGGCCCATTATTCCCATAATCGTAGGGACTCGTCAAGGAGGCAGATGTAAGAGGGGTTGCCATTGCGGATGTTTTCGAACTATCGGTGTGTGTTGGAGTGGGATAGCTCAGTGACGAGTCGCTGTCCTCGGCATCAGCAACGCTAGCCTTTCTGCCAAACTTCTCCGTCACCAACGCTTCAAGCTCGTTGAGATGGGCCTCATGGTTTTGGACTGGGATTTGAGGGGGCAGGCTGATCCGTTGATTCGTGGCAATTGGTGAGGCTGTCTGCATCGCTGCCTTGTGAGAAAGCCTGTACGATCGTGTGTCATTTGTAACAACCACCGTCTCGTTATCGACCCGACCGAGTTCTCCGTCCAAAGGTGGCAACCCTTTCTCGGATTGCGGTCTTGAGGAATCAGGAGTAGTGGCAGGTGACGGAGAAGGCAGAGACTCGTCGCATGAAGACATTGACGACCTGTGGGTCGGGCGTGCTGACGAGTCTCTTGAAGCCGACTCGGTAGACTCGGCAAACGGACGAGGCGGGGCCGTGAAAGGGGACGGTTCGTCAGTTGAGTATCTAGAGCTTGACGTCGAGTCGGGTGTCATTGTAGTGTCGCGCGCCGCTCTAGTGAAATAGTTGGATACAGGCGGTTTGGATGATCCCGAGGGTGACACTCTCTGAAAGGCTGCTTTGGCAGCATCCTTGAAACTTCTGATGGCTGCTCCTGGGGTAGGCGGATGCCCCTCACGTGATGCCGCTCTTTCGGGAGGCAGGGGTATCTCTCTAGACATCATTCTAGACATGGGTGGTCCTTGAGAAGTAGACCGATCGAATGATGGCTGTCCGGGGCTGCCTGCGGGCGGTGTGTAAGGAAGGCGGAATGTGAGCGTGAAATCTTCACCTGGTGTTGGCTGATCTTTGTAACCACCGAGGCTTGAAAGCGATCCGTTACGTGGTGGGAAGTTGGAGCCCATTGAGCTGCTGTCCGAGGAAGAGGAGTGTACTCGGGATTGAAGTGGGCGATTGGAAGCTGGAGGGTAATGAGATTTGGCAGACGAGACACGAACTTCCTCTCTGTAGCCGTTGATGGACCGTTCTCTACTCTGTTGGCGGGACTGGTGAACGTAACTCTCTCGTCTGCGGCCTCGTTCTTGCTCAACCACAACCTCGCTGAGTCCGTTGTGGATTTCCAACTCGTCGTCGTCGGCAGGCACTTGCGATTGCTTCGTGTCGTTGATCCATTGTTGGAAGTTGCTCACATCTGGTACAGGCGGCGCCGTGGGCGAAACCAAAGGCTGAGACCAAGTAGGGGTATTGATAGAAGCAGATCGCGGAGTCTTGGGCTCGTCCAAGCCCTCGTCGTATTCGTCAGGCCTTTCTCCTTGTGGATCGAATGAGAAGGAGCGTGGTAATGCTGAAGGCGTCATGGCTGGAGGTGTTACCCTCACTTCGGGCCCAAATGAGTGAGACCTCTGGCCAGTCAGGAAGGCTGGTGGGTTGGGTTTTCTGAAGGGTATGCCCGCATCGACCTGTCTTTTCTGCTCCAGCTTCAAGCCTCCAATGAAGCCTTGGTCATCGCTGTGATGAGACTGATTCTGAGTCTTGTGGCCTGTCAAAGCAGCTTTCAGCTGCATTGCTACTGAGTCTGACCGTTGCCTGGCATGCTGAGGACGAATCGGAGGCGGAGGCTCATAGAAGGCCTGGGCGCTGGCTGACCGAAGATGCTCATTGACGAACACGGTTGGACTGGAGATTGACCTCGATGCATTTGGAGGTCTTGGCGGGGAAGCTTTGGTGTTCGGCCCAGCTTTGCTAAGCTTAGCTGCCAACTTCTTCTTCACAGACTTGGCCTCCTTCTCGGCTTGCTTCTCGGCTTGTTCCTTCTCCTTCTTGCGCATTTTCGCTTCGGTTTTCTTTTCCTTCTTTTTGTTCTGGCCAAATGATTCCCAGCTTGGTGAGTGGCAGATGGAGGATGCGTCGTCGGCAGTTGGTTCGTCAACGGTATCAACGTCGAGGAACGTCACTGTCTTGTGCTTGTGCTCCACCGATTCCTTGCGCTCCGACCCGCGATCGATTTCCGATTTGACGTTGGAGGGCGGTGGAACGGAAATAGAAAGAGAAGGCAACGCTGTTGCTCGGCGGACCGCTTTCATGGCAGAAGGTGGTAGCTCGGGTTTCTGTGTGGGAAGTTGGGCAGATGACTCCCTCCGGCGAGACTGGAGAGGAGTGATAGGCTTCACAGGCGGAGCGGGATGAACGGTGGGAAAAGGTTTTAGTTTCGGAGGTGACTGGGCGGGTCGGCCATGATTAAGCTGTTGCTGAAGAACCTGCTGAAACGCCAGGTGAGAGGGATGGGTCGCCGCAGGCATAGCAGGCATGGAGTGATGCCCCTGAAGACGCTCGAGCTACAAGATGAAGCGTGTTAGTGGGTGGGAGCTAACATAGCCAAATTGGGTGTGGATGCGACGTAGTAGGAGGCGTCAGGTTAGGGTGGGATCGGCCTACCTTCCGAATATGTTCCAGCTCCAACATCTTCTGAAGGCTGTCAGACCTGCCGCGTTGCGGCTTGGTCGACTCGCGTTGAGCGCCCGTTGCAGTCATTCTTGGATATCTTGTCTCGAGGTGTGTTTGGAGGTGGATTTTCGTAAGTGGAGTCGTGGCGTCAAAGGTGGAAGAGGATAGCCAGCTAGTGTTGGCAGATGGTGGAAAGAAGATGAGGCGTTGCTAATTGAGGCGTTTCTGCGCTGTCGTTCCTTCGTGGTGCTGATATGGCGTATGCTTAGAGTGAAAAACTAGGAAAGTGATGCAATAAACGGTTTGTCGAAGTGTAATTGAGGCCGAAAACCCCCAGGGCGCGGCGGTGAATTGGTGCTGTAAAGACGTCGTCGCGCGGTTCGAGGCGTGGCCCAGAAAAAGACGGTGAAAGACGGGCGCGTATCCGGAGAAGTTGAGACGGAAGAGTCAACACACGGTCGAATTAGGTATCGGAGAGGCCAAGGCCAATGAGAGAAAGTGCGACAAAGTAACGTTGTCGTCGTGAAACCAAAGGAAAGGGAAGAATTGTGTGAATTGTCCAGCGAGGGGCAGTCACGAAAGGGAATTCGGGAGGAAGGAGCAGGGTAGGGTCGATATTTGGGAAGGATCCGGGGTTCGCTGAGACTAAGAGGGGTTCTCGAACGCGGGATGCTTGCTGATGCTGGTAAGAGAAAAAGGAATAGAAGGAACTGCAGATCGGGATAAGCTGGATCCCAGTCATCGGAGGCACCTTATGCAGACTGCAGAACTGGAGCTTGTTTACAACATCTCAAGCACCCTGACCGAAGGCAATGTACCTTGGAGGGCAAGACCAACAAGATCGCAATGACACCACAGACGTTGAGCAACCACTTTGGACCATTAAGAACGGGCACAACAAGTGAAGTCAAATCATGGTCAGATTCTACCAGGTCTCGTCTGCACGACAACCGGGAAGGGCCATGGCCATTGAGCGGGACACGGACTGGCGGGATGAGATGGGTACCATGGGGATGCCTTCTCAATAGACAATTGGCGTGAGTGTGAGGTAGCCAACGCGCATATTAGCTAAGGTAAGCAGCTCCCATCCGACAGCGTGCAGACCACACCGGACGGCCTACCCCATAGAAGTCAGGGCAACGTGAGATGGGATGGTGATCAGCCCTTTACCGTCCCAGA